TACTGACCACTTTAGGAAAACTCATATCTCACATTCTGTCTCCATAGACACCCAAACAACAAATAACGATGGAAACTAAAATTGATCCGCCGTCTGTTTCCTGCACATTTCACCTCCCTGTTGTTCTTCTCTCACCAGCATCTGCAGTAGGAACCAGTCTGGAAAGTGTTGTCTCTTGTTTCCAGTGATGCAACAGTGCACACGTCACACTCCAGAGAAAGGAGTTATAAAAAGTTGTTGACCCCAGTCACATGGTAACTTTTATAACTAAAACACGGATGTTTTAGGTAAATCGGAGCTATTAAATACTTAAAAAGGTCAAATTTACTAAACTAACAAATATAAGAAATAGCACAAGTCTTGTGGCTGTTTCATGTTTGGCCTTCAAAAAAAACGGAAGGTTTTTTTCTATGTGCATTGCAGCAACTACAGATAAAGGAAAGCATGCAGGAGAAGTTCAGGGAGAATGTTGTGTTGGGATGCCCCCTGCTGTGACCTTTGGGCCAAACATCAGACAAGTTCGCCTGAAAGACGTCTACTCTGCAACGGTGTTTATGTTTGTGACTCATTAATTATCTGATATTGCTGCAACAGATCCATGTTTTCAAAGACTGAACCGTCAAGTCTGACAACTCTAAACGTATGCTTACGGTATTCCCGTTATTTAGACAAACTATGCTGTGTGTTAACACTAATTTAAAACACATGTAAACATAGAATTTAAGTTGTATGTTTTATTTTGAAGAAATCTACAGGAAGTGCTGATGAGTTTTGTCTTGTTTAGTTTTAGGAACGCTGCCTGTAGTAACAGATTGTGTCCGCTAGAGGGCAAAAAATCCTTAATTCCTAAAACTAAAGGATTGAGTTTCCGGTTAACCTAAATAAAAATATAAATCCCTTATAGACCGTATGTAGCCATCAGTCAGATCAAATAACAGATTTTAATTAAATTATTTAAACAGTAAACAAATATTGCATGTATATTCTGTTACTGGTTATGTTGTACTATTTGATTCCTATATCGTTTAATTGAGTGTTTTAAACATTAGTTAGAAAATCTAAATACATTGATGTTTTCCCCGTTTAAAACAAAACATGGACCTTTAAAAAAATCAATTTCTCAGTGTGATGCAGTTGGGTATTGGTCTTTGAACAAATACCTAATAGTTTTATATCTGACATGTTTGATTAAAACTACAAATGCATTCTGATAAAAATTTGTAACTAAATAAGCATATTTGACATCACCTATTAATAAATTTATTTAATCGATTAAGAGTTAAATTAGGGTGACCATATTTCCATTTCCAAAAAAAGAGGACAGGACATCTGTGCCTACTGATGACGTCACACTATGGCAACACCACACAAACCACGCTGGGACCCGTAGTGTTAGAGCTAAAATTCATCAGATTCTGCCAACAAAACAATTCAAATGTAAATGTTTTGCATATTTATTGCAAAATCTCATTTTTCTGCTGCTTTAGTGCTGCAGCAACGTTTTATTAACTATACCTTTTGTTTTACTACAGCATCGGTAAACTTCCTGTGCACAGATTATTAAGGATGCTTGTTTCAGCTGTGAGATTAGACGATAGTCAATGAAAAAAAAATTATAAAAAAAAGTTGTCACAGACGCCAGTCTCAAACTTTCAGAGAATCCACAAATAGTGGTTTTTAAATGACTTTGTTACTGAAAGGCAGCAGTAGCTCAGGTGGTAGAGCGGGTTGCCTCATGATCGGAGGGTCATGGGTTCGATTCCAGCTCCCGCCAGGGGTATCCCGCTGTTGTGTCCTTGGGTAAGACACTTCACCCAACTTGCCTGTGTTGGTGGTGGTCAGAGGGGCCGACGGCGCCAAATGGCAGCCTCGCCTCTGTCAGACCTCCCCAGGGCGGCTGTGGCTACAAGTAGCTTACCATCACTAGCAGTGTGTGAAAGCGTCTTTGGGTGTCTAGAAAAGCGCTATATAAGTTCAATGCATTATTATTAAAGATTTTTACAAACATTTAAGGACATAACAATGATGGACAAAATAAGATACTCATGTAACAAATGTGATATCAGAACTTGGAGTGTTGTACCCCACTAATTATGTTTTAGTTGGAGGAGACTGGAACATGACCCCTGATGAATGGGTGGATGGGATGCCTCCATGACTGGGTACACCACGCTGTAGAGATGTTGTTAAAAGCTTTATGACAGATCTAGCAGCCATAAATCCTGACATGTTCAAACCCAGTGAGTGCTTTTAATAATAATAATAAAGTTGTACCTGAAGTTTGTCTAATGAAGCCAGTCTGTTACTCCTCGTTCTTTGTAGATCTTACCGTCAACAAACAGTTTATCCACGGAGATCACAGCCCGCTTCCCATCCTGGATAAACTTCTTGCACAAGCGGGAAGAGAACTCGGCGGCGATCCAGAATTTCTTTAGGAAACTGATCGTTAACGCTGTAATATTTACCTTTAAGCTCTCTCCCGCGGCTTTTAACAAGATCCTTCTGCTTAAAGTGCTCAAATTTAGCCACGATGGGACGAGGTCTTCTGCTGTCTGTTCTCCTGGCTCCAAGGCGATATACCCGATGAAAGGTGATGTTTTTAACCGTTTCTTCAGGTATCTTCATGTGGGTGTGGAGAAAGTTCTTGATGGTTTGTTCGCAATCCTCCGCTTCTCCTCCGGTCTGCTCTGGAAGGCCTGCGAACACCAGGTTATCGCTCATGCTGCGTTATTGGAGATCCAGAACCGCCTCCTTTAGAACTTTGTTGTCCTGGGAGATCCGATCTAATCCTGCAGTCAAGGAGGAAACTGGTTCCTGCTGAGACGCGTTCTCAGCCGCGAGCCGCTCCACCTGCTCCTGACTCCTCTCTTCTCCTGGGACTTCTTTTGATGATGTAGATCTTCGTCTCCCCTCCCCCTGTCACACCTGGTGTGGAGTGCGGTGCCTTGGTCTGCCTGGTCTGGCTCCCGGGTCTGGGGGTTTAAGATCTTTGGCGCCTGCCTGGTCAAACCCGGTGGCGGCCTGGTGGGGTCTGGGTCCCTGGGCTCTGCTGGGTCCCCTGATATCTCCCGGGACTCTGCCGGCTGCTGGTTGTGCCCCCCCCGAGGCGATCCTCTGTGCCTCTCGAGGGGGGCGGGGGCCTTTCTGGTTGCAGTCTCCTTGGGGTTCCTGTGTTCTGGGGCAGCGCCTGGATCTCTGGGACTTGGAGCTCCCCCCGTCTCCTACACATCTTTGGGGGGCAGATCTGTGGTCCCTCACACTCTCTATTAGACGCTCCTATAGAGAAACCTTACATAAACAAGCGCGTGCACACACACAGGTATTCACATAAGTATGGACTTGGGCACGTTCAACACTTGTTTTAAGGCTGTCGTTGCCACTAAATGCACTATGATTTATTATCGTGTGATTGTTCAGTAAAACAATGTTGATTTTATATTTCATCACCAGGTTGACGCAGTGATAGCTTGCTCCTGATGTATTGTTGTGTGTCCCATTTTTTTCTGCTCTGTCTCTTTCTGCAGGTCTAGAAGCAGACTCTTGTTCATTATTAAAAGGGAGTTTTCCTCTCCACTGTCGCTAAATGCTTGCTTAGTATGAGGATTGCTGTAAAGTCACTGACACTAGTCAGTGACCTCATGCAATTTGTTGGGTTCCTTATTTAGGAAACTTTTTTTTTCAGATTAGCTTAAAGAGCAAGTCACCCCCTACAAGAGACTTACTTCACTCCCACTTAATGTTTGAATAATGCAACAAATACTGTTGCCTGGCAGACCGAGAGGGCAGAGCTGCTAACAAATACACAAACACACAGGCTTACAATCGCATTGTGACATCATAATGTACCAGTTTACATCATAGCATACCTCTTAGCCAATAGCGGTGGCAGATTTAAATTCAAATACAGTGCAGAATTTTTACCTGACAACGGCGCAACACTGACAGTTTTAGGCAGAATATTTAAGATTTAACTAAAATGCACTGAAGTTCCAAATTATTGACTACACATGTCTGCAGCACGATTAGACACTCGTTCATGTTGTTTATCAGCAAAAGAAGTTGGTTTGGGGGTGACTTGCCCTTTAATGAACTGACCTGGATTGGAATGCTTATTATGTGAAGTGCCTTGAGATGACTCTTGTCGTGATTTGGCGCTTTATAAATAAACTTGAATTGAACTGAATAAAACCAAACCCTCTCTGACTCATTGGGGGAATGAGCTAAATCTCCTTAACAAATCTCTTAAACTGGTTAAAGATTAGAAAGCCCTTAAATTGTATGCTTTATTTTAAAAAAATTAAGTCAATATAAGATGGCCCCTCGTCTGTGGTTTTTCTGTCTCTCTTCTGTTCTTTGTCTGTGTGATTTGATTTCTGTAATTGTAATATGTCATATACATTTTGTATATTGTTGGTTTTGCTCTGTCGTTACGGTAACATATAAGTATATGTTATCAATCAATCAAAGCTTTATTTATAAAGTGCCTTCCGCGACCCTGTCGGGAAGCCCAAGGCGCTGAACATGGTACATGAGAAATGTGAAACATGATGAATAAATCGAAAATAAAAGCAATTCAAATAGTGCAAAAAAGGTCAAACATTAAAGTACAAGACAAATGGGTAAAACAAGGGATAAAGAGACCAATGAAACAGTGAAATTAAATCAACCTAAAAGAGGGCCAAATTCAAACACGTGCAGGGAACGCCAAACGGAGGAGGTGGGTTTTTAGGCGACTCTTAAAGACTGGCAGAGATGGGGACAGCCTGACTGAGGGTGGCAACTGGTTCCCATGTAATATGTTCTATGCCTTGTATGTTTGTGGAATACCTTCAATAAAAAAATTAAAATAAAAACGAACAACTAAAACCGGAAACAATTTGATGTGACTCCTCTTGTTCTATCCCTCACTTCCGCCCTTCGCCTGTTTGTAAACATGCGTCATGCGCACGTGATCCCGTCGACGCATTTTGCTTCGTCATCCTATCAGGAAACGGGGGTGTGTGTGTGTGTGTGGGCGGGGCCAAAATGTGTTGCTGTGAAAATGTCATTTGGGGGTGAGATTCTGGACTCGACAACAACCGGAGGTCTGCTGGGAGCTGCTAACCGGAGCGGCGGCAGGGAGCGCCGTCCTGGGTGAGACATCCACCCCCCCAGGAGAAAGCGGCGCTGCTCCCGTCTGTCAGTCGTGTTTATGTATTTGTTTATGTGTGTTGAAGTCATCGGTTAAAGTGCGTCTCCGGTGGGCGGTGCCGCTGTCATGATGTTTGGTAACGTGCTCTACTTTGTTTTGTTTTTATGTTTATCAGAATTATATGTTTATGTAATATTTACATGTTTTTAAAGTGCTATCCATGTGCTGATTGCCGCCAGTTAGTGACAAATCAGTTCAAACATCTTTTATTTGAACTCGGGCTGCTGTGCGCATGTTATAATATATTATAAAAGAAGCACTTTTGCGGAAACAGTGTGCTCTCATACGTTTTTCCCCAATAACATGTAGTCTAATTGTGAGGGGATTTTTTTCTATTAAATTTGTTTATTTTAGGGAGACAGTCTAGCTGACCGGGATGGAGAGGTGTGCAGGATGCCTCCTGCTGAGGATGTTGCGCACTTCAATTTGAGTCCAGTGGCCATCCCAGCATTCGGTTCTGACAAATCAGCTCATTTACCGCTTTAATTTTGATATAAATCCATAACTTCTATGGTTAAAGTGAAGTTTTAAATACGTGTTAACAATGTTTTACTTTGTACACATTTTAATCAAAAATAAATAAATAGTTTGCACATAATCTAGCCGATTTATGTTACATTCCCCATTTATTGAGATTATTATTGATGGGTGGCTGACTGTTGCGCTATCACCTTGACTCTGCTCTAACCAGCCAGAGGTTTCTGTGTCATACGCACTTTTTTCCTGATGTAAACAGTAAAAAAAATACCGTTCTCTATTTGAACACAAGATGGCGTATTTGAGCAGCCTTTATAAGAAGTTTTAAACTGATCCAGCCAGAAATCAGGTGCAGCTCTGTAGAGTAACCTGTGGTGGCGAGGCCGAGGACTGCATTTGGTGTCTAATTTATCTGATTTTAGAACATTTAATCTGAGAAAAATTTAAGGCAATCTGAAAATCAATTTTTAGAATTTATACAGCTTTCCCCCTCTAAAAACATGTTTTTTATCATCCAGAAATCCTATTTATTATCAAAAAATGGTTTATTTTGAAAAGTAAAATGGATATTTATTAAATTGGATTTCATAGTCAGTTATTTTCCTAAGCTGATTGCTGACTCAGGATGTGGTTTTATAAAGTCTCACATCATTTATATCTGTGTGTCTCCTAAATACTATAATGTTTTCAGGATCTGCTGAGATTGCCTTCCATCACGTGATGCTGGACTCTTTACTACAAACCAGGTGATAAATGAAATGTGATTTTTGTAACTTAAAAGACAGAGTAAGAAGTAACGGGTATCATTTTTCCATGAGACTAAAAACAAAAATAGCTTTTTGTGCTAGCTGTTCTATTTATAGCTGACTGGGTGTCTTTCCAGTGGAGAGATCAAAGTTTAGGAAGTGGAACAGGCGAGGGCTGATGGATGACATGGCTAACATGAACACACTGCCCTCTGGATGGAGTAAAAATAGCTGACAGGAAAAACAACACATGCACGTGTCATTAAAGCATGTAAACAGGTCAGTCACCAGTAACAGAATTTACTAAATACATAGGTTGGTTTCTGTTGCATGTGAAAACCTGTAGGAAATGGCCTCGGTTAGGATAAACAGATTAGTTCTTATTTATTTATTTTTATTTATTTATTTATTTATTTTATTCTGTTTTAGTACTTACCAGTACTACTGCAGGTCAAACACAGGCATAGTACACAATTTGCAAAACTTCCTTTCCACAAGTTTACCTCAAAACAAACCAAAAAGAAGGAGAAAGTTATTGGACCAGGAACCAAAAAGGAGATCCCAGACAAGCCCCCACTTTGTTTATCCTATCCTTTTTTTAATTTCTCCACGTCCCTGCCATCCCTTATAAAAGGAGAAAGAGGAGCATAACAATGGACGAGGTAATGGAAACACATAATGTGGGCAGTTAAAATGTCCATCCATCCATAAGTCCATCCACTCTTTCTTTCTTTCTTTCTTTCTTTCTTTCTTTCTTTCTTTCTTTCTTTCTTTCTTTCTTTCTTTCTTTCTTTCTTTCTTTCTTTCTCCATCATCCATCCATCTATCCATCAATTATTCATCCATCTATCCATCATTCATCCATCCATCTATCGATCCATTATTCATCCATCTATCCATCATTCATCCATCTATCCATCCATTTATCAATCTATCCATCATCTATCCATCCATACATTCATCCAGCCATCCATTTATTCATCAATCCATCCATCCATCCATTTATTCATCAATCCATCCATCCATCCATGCATCTATCTATCCATGCATCTATCTATCCATTTATTCATCCATCCATCCATTTATTCATCATCTATTCATCATCCATCCATCCATGTATTCATCCATCCATCCATCTATTCATCCATCTATTCATCATCCATCCATCCATCTATCTATCTATCTATCTATCTATCTATCTATCTATCTATCTATCTATCTATCTATCTATCTATCTATCTATCTATCTATCTATCTATCTATCTATCTATCTATCTATCTATCTATCTATCTATCTATCTATCTATCTATCTATCTATCTATCTATCTATCTATCCATTTATTGATCCATCCATCCATTTATTCATCCATCCATCCACCCATCCACCCACCCATCTACTCTCCAGATCCTGTGACCCACAGACGGGCTCTGAGCTTTTGTCCACAGCTCTTCAGCGCCCTGTCCACTTGCACGTGGAGTCAGCAGCACCATGCGTTGGGCATGGTGTGCGACACGTGGGAGACAACGCTCAGGTGCTCAGATGGAAATCTTGTCTTGATTGATTTAGTTGCTTCCATGATGAACTCTGTGTGTAACGTTTATAATGTCTGCACACCTGCATGAGTTGGGGTGTGAATTCCAATCCGTCACAATAATCGACAGACTTCAAATTTTTTTTGTCACCGTAACAAAAACTGTCAATATGGAAAATATCCAGTCTGTCCAAGTCTCCCCCGTCCTTTCGGCCCTCATAGACAAATCGCCAAGACTGAAGTGTAGAAAAAGACTCAGGACAACCTCATGTTTTTTTTTATTTATTTTACAGTTACAACCAACTTACACAATGTCATAGCACTCCCAGTCAGAAGAATCCCATAGAAGTCGACAAATGCTTTTTATTGGTCTTGCATGTTTAGGCTGAGAACATCTTTATGCTGGCGGTGTAGGCAGCTCCACAGATCAATTCTCTGAGTCTGCACAAGCCAAACACGCTTTGATCACTCTGATCCCTTTACATTTCCCACACAGCCAGAAGGCTGTTCCTCTGTTCTCTCAATCCTCCACAAGCTCAAGCTTTTTGTTCTCTGGAAGCTACAAGTGAAAAATATATTTCCACAACACTGAAATCCAACCAATCCAGAGTGAAGCTGAAGAATTCCTCAGTGTGTCCCAGTCCTATTGATGAGCCATAGATCTGCAGATAATGTGACACATCTGTGTGGTAAATACGTGGTGGAGAACCGACACAGACAATCATGTTGTTAACCCTTTTAGTGCTGGGACATGAAGACATGCCACCGTGTAGAGGAGCGGCCAGCTCATAAGCTGCTCTCCTTTATTTTCTCTGCTCTTGTTCCTGGGGCCGTTTGCATAATTGTGATTGTGTTCTAATGCTCTGCTTCTTTTTTCCTGCAGCACTACTGACCTATTTACATTAGGAGCAAAATCAAACAAGTAATCCGACAGAGGCACGTAAGCATTCATGCAAACCATAACCCAATAAACTCTGTCAATGTTTGACGGAACAAAAACCTTCCTATTTATAACACGGCCCTCTTACTTCCTGTTTTATATCAGATGCTTTTCCACTCATTCTTTTACCGGGTTGACGTCTGATTGGCCAGATGTTAGAGAGGGTTTTGTAGTCTGTGAAACAGTATCTGCTCCCTCACAGATTCCTAAGGGGGCAAATACAGAATCTTAAAAAAATGAAAACTATATTTTCTATTGGCTCAGGTTATGTTTCTCTGATCTAGTGATCTGAAATCTGTAAGGGGTCAGATACTTCCTGGCGGCGCCCTCAGGACTCCTTACATATTAAAGAGGAAGTTCATGTGATAGGCTGGTTCCTGGAGCTCGGCTAAGAAATCTTCCGTCCCACGTTTTTCTCCCCATATGTTAAATGTTCTATCGCTGGGTGCAGCTGAGCAAGTGCCACCAACTGGAGAGCACCAGGTTCACCATCGCTTGTGTTACAAAGCACCTCTGAGTGCTTATGTAACCAAAGCTCTCTCTGGCGATGGTGTGCCTTTAAAACCAATGTGTTGTCAGGTGATCAGGGAGGCTCGGTCAGCTCAGCCTCACAGACAGACGAGCTGGAGAGTGTCTGTGGCCGGCAGCCGAGCGCCAGAGAGGGAGAGACCCAATTCTGAGGGGACGTAGGGGGGAAATGAGGACACGGCCACGTCACAGAGTGGGGGGACAGGGAGCCGTGGTGGTAGGGTCCCTTTAACTGCAGTCTGCTCATGCTCACTGTCCTTCTGAGGCAGCTAGCAAGTGTGTTTGTGGCTCAGCTCGATCAAGAAGCTGCGTTTGTGTAAAAAGCACCGAGAATTAAGTGCTGCGTCACACTCAGGAAGAGGAATAGTGTGATTGTGCACGCGTGTGTACAGCTGTGAATGCACATACACATTACTACAGCCTGTGTGTGTGTGTGTGCATGCATGTGCGCAGTGGCAGTCCAATAGCAGTTTTTGCTGTTGCAACAAGATGAAAGTAAAGAGTGTGTGTGTGTGTTCCAGTGGCGAGCAGAAAGGAAGAGAAAGGGGAGACAGAGAGGGAGGGCGAGCAAGCCGGAGAGTGAGGGTGAGAGAGCGATTCAGATTAGTTGCTACGTCACTTTTTCATGTCGGGAGAAACAGAAGCTTGTGATAACAGAAGCCCAGAGTCATCGTCAGTCGATTCTCCACCCGGTGTGGGCACGGAGGGTTCGGACAGCCTCGCCTTCCTCCTCCTCTTCCTCCTCGGTAGTTTTGATGTGCTCTGCCTGTCGTTGCTCTAGGTGTGTGTGTGAGTGCTGCGTAGTTTCTGTGTGCCGGTGTCAGAGTTTGAACATGGATGCTGAGGCTGTGACACAGTTTTACCAGGTCTAGGTGAGGCGGCGCTGGGTAGGCTAGGCAGAGGTGTGACCGAGGGATTAACAGAAGAACATTCTGGAGGGGTTCTGGTATCGCTCTGGCAGGAAGGGTTTGCTGAGAGGTACTCTGCTTTTGTTGCTGTTGCTGCCACCATCATCTGGAATGCGGATGATTATGTTGTAAATAGGTGACTAGAATCAGCATGGCGGCGTCCCACCCTCTTATGGAACAGAGTCCAGATGCAGACAGGTTGAGCGAACAGCAAATCAGAGGAAATTACATAATAAATGCAGCTGTTCACGACGCCACGTCTCTGTATCTGTTGGCTAACTCTTATTGAAGTTAGAGCAAAGACTCAGCATCCGCAGACAGACACGAAGGCAGAGACTGTCAGGGATCCGATAACAGTTTGTACCTGATGTTACTTAGTCGTGTGATTTGTTTTCACCCTCCAGAGCCGGTGGGACTTGGTAAAACCCTTCCCAAGACACATTTGTTTCTGCGTAGTTAGGAGAGACAGAGACGATGGTGACGCAGTTGCTTCTGGGCTGGACTTCTCTGCAACCGCAGGCCGTGCGTCTCCCCATCTCTGCTCTCGCTCTGTTTATCTGTCTATCTGTCTTTCTGTGTCCTAGACAAAAGGAGGAAAAGCAGAGGGGGCTAAATGTCGTGGATCAGGATCAGAAAAGGCAGAGAGGAGACCAGGAAGAGCAGGGAGGCTGTAACCAGGAGGAGAGGGAAGTTGTTTACCTTGTTCTTTTTAGTGACTCTGCTTTGGCTTCTCTCCAGTTTACATGTGCTGGACTGGACTTCCTAAAGCTGCTGCATCACGGGCCTTCATCGCAAAGCTGGATTCTCATTGGCTGGGAGGAGCTTCCCTGGCTGCAAACGCTGCACAGCATTGTTTTATTGGCTTAAGCTTGCTGGCAGCTGCCGGCTGACCTCTGAATGGCTGGAAAACGCTCCGTTCAACCAAGGCTCTGCACTATTTGTGCTGCATGCTTACATAGCTCGACTTGATTATCGTTAAGGTTTAAGTAACTAAGTGGTTTTTGTATTCAAACTGAAAAACACGGAGACAAAAATGTGACATCTACTCAGTTCCTTTCTTCACACGACGCAGCTTTATTCTGCTGAGGGTTTGGCTGGAAGGTTCTGTAAAGAAGCTAACAGTCAGCGCTAATGATGACGATTGTGCTCCAATTTATTTTAACCGAGTCAGATTCCCAGGAAACACGCTAAGGTTTAGAGTGACATATCTGTTTCGTTCTAGGAAATCAAAGGGCGTGTGTTCTCGTCTCACCACTCTGAGGCAGGAACCTCATAAAATAACACAACTTCCTGGATGATTTAAAGCTTAAAGCTCTTCTGCTTTGAAAATCTGGCTTTTCAGACGCCACATTTCTGAGATGATGTAAGCGCGTGTGTGGCTGACTGGTCTGCATTGCAGTTTCTGCCTCGATGTTGGTGTGTGTCTGTTTTTTTGTTTTGTTTTTTTCAGATGAGCTGATTATAATTAAACTCTATGCCTTCATGGGCCTTTGATTTGTCCTTTTAAAGATAATCTGACATCGGTGCTAGCCACCTGACCTCTTTAAGGAGCGTTGATCTTTTATAATGCGGCACTACAGTCGACACCCACGCGGTTTATCGGTCGAGGTGTGGCACAGTTTGAGACGAGTGTTTTATTTTAGTCAGACAATTCATTATTGTAGTGATTAAATCACAATCTCAGAATTTATAGTAACAATTTGGCCTAAAGAATCTTTGGATTGGAGCAAGTCACTCCAAAGCAACATTTTTTTGCTGATAAACTATAAATGAGTGTCTGATCGTGCTGCAGACACGTGTAGTCAATAATTCTGCACTTTAGTGCATCTTAGTTAAAATTTAAATATTCTGCCTAAAACTCAGCGATGCACCGTCGTCAGGTAAAAACTCAGCACCGCATTTGAATTTAAATCTGCCATCGCTATTGGCTAAGAGATACACTTTGATGTTAAATGGTACATTATGATGTCACAATGTCGTGAGTGTGTGTATTTGTTAGCGGCTCCACCCTCTTGGTCTGCTAGGCAACAGCATTTGTTGCATTTTTCAAACAGGAAGTGGGTGTTGAGTAAGAATCTGGTAGGGGTGACTTGCTCTTTAAGTACAAACAAAAGTGAAAAAGTACCTACATTTATAAATGCAAACGTTGACATAGCTGTAGCTATTCTTGTGTAGTGGCTAACACTAACTAGCTACGCTCATTCATCTGAGAGTTAAAAGATAATCAAACAGATTAATTATGACCATGGACGTAATTTGGGGGGGACATTCCCCCCCACTTTTTCCAAAGTCAAGTTTTGACCCCTGCACTTTTTACCATCCAAAAACAATACGCTATATTAAGTTGACACTGGTTGCGCTCTAGGACCAAGCGGAAAACAACCGTTTGTGTTGAAGCCCATTTCCCATTAGAGCATACTGTAAAGATCCCCCCCCCCCCCCACCCCCCCCGCGTGTTCCCCCCACTTCTAAAGTGAAAATTACGTCCATGATTGTGACTAAATGTAGCTTTTGGTTTTTACTACTTTACTGTTTGTGTCTCATCGCTGCACTTTACAGCTATATAAGATTTGCCTTGAAACAGGGTCGTGTCCTCATAGATTTTCCTCGCTGTTCCTCCGTCGTTTATCAGCGTCTCAAGGCCTCCTGTCCCTTTAAATCTTTTATAAGTGTAGCACATCAGGTTGAGTGGCACACAAGTAACAAACAACCTGAAAAAGAGGGAAGAGTTGAGCCAGGCAGGCAGGGGAATCAGACGCCTATGGACAGAGAGGCTGTGTGAGCAGACCTGTCGCTGTTGCTGCCATGCCAACAGACCCAAGTGTTTAAAAACAGACCTGGCCCTTTTAAATGCTGTCCTTCCTCTTGTTGTGAAAAGTCCAAGGAAAGATGCGATCGGTGTTCCGAGGCTTGGATTGAGCCAGTTAGTGGTAGTTGAAGGGATTGTGGCAGACTGTGTGTGGGTTCTGAAGGGTAAGAAGGAAAACAGTAAGTCGTCTGTGCTTTGTTCACCTCTTTGTTCACCTCTCTTCATCAGAAGAGGGAACCGAGGGAGTAAAAACCAGGAAATTGGAAATGATTGGGTAGTTTTGTACTTTGTAGAAGCACTTGGCAACCAGTCAGTGAACTGGCCACTACCTGCTCATGCCCCACCCTCTCAGCTCATTGTAGCTGCGCCTCAGTGCCAGGGCTGTCTTTGCCAGCGACTGACTTCCTTCCTTTTGCCTTGTAGTGGCTGGAGAACAGCACGGGTTATTATCCTACCTGTCAGCAGCAGAGAGGCTGACCCCGGTCCCGCGTGTCTGCGTAGAGCTGCAGGTGAGCCGGTGCATTTAAACACATGCAGCGTTTATTCTGTCGTGTTGTCTGGCCCTTCACACATCCACGGAGCTCGGATTAGGTATCAGATCCGTCATGTGGGTGTGTTGAAGGCAAGGGAAAGCTGACAATACTCAGGCGTTTTTCACAGCGTTTTTCTATTTCACCTCTTTTTTTCTCACTTCTTTCTCATCCTTTAGCTCAGAACGCATTACATTGTCGAAGCTGCCTTCCAGTTTCATGCTGGTTTCATCAAAATGAGCAGTCAGAGTACGTGGTTTCTAACCCACTCTGCCTTTCATTAATTGGGAAACACACAATAGCATAGCAGAAACTCATAGTTTAGAACATAACTGGTCTAATTTTAGGAGGTAAAGTCTTCCAAAGTAAACCAGGACTCCCATGCTTTCTGCAGAGATACCCTCCAGGCCGTATCCAGATGAAAGAGGATACCAGTGTAAAGGTTTGCTGTGATGAAACACCATGTGTGTTTGAGTCATACACAGTGGCTGTCTGCTTAATGCATAATTCACATCTGCAAACTGTGAAAAAAATATCTTAGTCTTCATGCTTTCTGAATAGTATGCATGTGTAGTCAGTTCCCAACTTTCTACAAGTTTAGCGCATCAAAAGTAAAAGTTGGGTGTGTCCGATTTGATTTGAATCCTAACCAAAAGGAGAGAGAGCAGATTAGTGTAGCCCATGGTCACTGGAGGAGCTGCAGAAATCCACGGCTCAGAATCTGTCCACAGGACGACTGTAAGTCGTGTACTCCACAAACCGGGCCTACATGGAAGAGTGGTTAGAAGAAAGCAATTGTTGACCGACAGACGTAAAAGTTCTGTTTGTAGTTTGCCAGGAGCCGTAGGGACACACCAGACATGAGGAAGAAGGTCAGAAAAGACATCGGTTAAACTTCTGAACCTAAATGCAAACACTACATGTGGAGGAAAAGTACCACTTCTCATCACCCTGAACACAGCATCCCCACTGTGAAACATGGTGGGGGCAGCATCATGCTTTGGGTGTGTTTTTCTTCAGCAGGCACAGAAAATGTGGTCAGAGTTAATGGGAGGATGGATGTAACTAAATACAGGACATTCCTGGAGGAAAACCAGTTGGTGGCTGCTTAGGACATGAGACTGGGAATGAGATTCATCTTCCAGTAAGACAATGACCCTAAACATGCAGCAAAAGTTACAGTGGGATGGTTACAACAGGCCAGTCAGAGTTCTGACCTAAACCCCATCGATCATCTGCGACAAGACTTGAGAAGTTCTGTTCAGACTCCATCCAATCTGGGTGAGCTTGCATGAGCTCTTTTGCGTCGAAGAACGAGCGACGATTTTAGTCTCTGCATGTGTAAAGCTGATAGGGACAAACCCCAGAAGACTGGGGCTGCAGTTTTGCATGGAACTCCAAGATCATTAGCTTTTACTCAGTGATGCTTTTTAACCCTCTCAGGCTCAAAATCTGTTTTGATAAAAGGACTAACAACTAAGTCCTTCAGGGGTACTTCTGAGTTAAAAAATGCTCATGAAATACGTCTGTGGAGTAACCAGGTAGGTAGGTTTTAACATTGCACATCTGCAACACCTGTCCCCCCTGGCTAGTTGAATTATTCAGGGTTTTTTTATTGTTTAGTTTTACCCTGGCCCGCTACAGCGCTACATTACAAACCCTCTAGTTCTTTACCCCTCCTTGATCCCAGTAATCCAAAATAATTTTATAAGTTGTGCCAAAACTGTTATCATTAGTATCTGTTTATTGCTCTGTGCAAGAGTGGCTGGTGAAAACAAATACTTGGTAGGGGCTGATGTACCAACAGGTTCAGTCCATCGTAAACATTCAAATGAACACTTGGAAAATGACAATTCCTCAAAAATGATTTTTCTCCCTAGTGCCCCCATAGAGCCGCCACCACTGACTGCATTATTTAAAACAGGGCTGCCCTCCCATTAAGCTATGCATTTCCTTAAGCATTGTATGTACAACAGCTGTATGCCTTCGTAAATATGTGTATGTTATGTTGTATTTTTATTTGGAAACATATAGGAAATTAAACATTTCCCCACTTAAAAAGAGTTCAACTTTCCATGTTTTTCAGAGTCTTCTGGTCTTCCACCCAGAAGATGCCTTTCATCAAAACTACCCCCTTTGGAAGCTGGTTCCAGATGGTGGCTTAGAGTAACGTCATCTGTCTAGCACCATTTGAAATCAGTGTTCTTTGGGTGGGAAGAGTGTTTCACTACATCAGCGTCAGCTAATGAAGTGCCTGTCTCAGAAATAACTGTTGAATTTAAAAAAAAGGCATCGAGTCACGCATCTCAGCCATGGGTCTACAGCAACATCCTGATGTTTTAGGCCCTTTGTCCTCTCCAAGGTTGACCGATTTCTTCTGGTGTTCAGAGTCCACTTCTGTTTCTAGCACCATTTGAAATCGGTTACAGTGAAGGACAAGTCTCGTCTCACATTGAAGAGAACGTGCGGCTCCAGTGGAATGCCTGGAAAACATTTCGACGTTGAGGATTTTTTTAACCTTTGTTCTGATCCAATTTGTGAAGTTTTAATTCAGGGAAAAGGTTGTTCCTTTTATCTGATTGACGTGAGATTCCCTGACTTTGTCTGCACAAGATATATTAACATTGATTTGATTTTCAGTCACTTATTTTCTTCACCTGTGTGGTTGAGGTCATTAGAAGTGAACATGTGAGCTATCTGTATAAAACTTATTTCAGCCAATGAAGTTCATTTGTCACAAACTTTAAAAACGTTTTATTCCCTAATGCGCTCACATACCGTCTTCCTTCTTGTGGTTATCATGGGAATGTCCGTGAGAATCGTTCCTGTCAGCATCCTCCCAAACCGCCCCAACGCTGTTCCATTACCATCCCTGAACACCATCCTCTGCTGGATTGGTGAAGGATAGACCGGAACCAGCATCATAGTCACACACCTCACACATCCATGGCTTTGGTCTCAGTTCCAGTTACCACCACATTCTGTTCAATATGTACAGTACACATCTCATTTTGTATTTTATTGTTAAAACTGTTATTTTATTTTCTGTACTCACAGTAATTAGATGATGTGGTTCAGTTTAAAGCTGTAATTTTGGTTCTTTGTCCAATTTTTATTGATTAAATCTAACATGTCTGTTTTGACCGAGAACAAAAATGAACATAATTTCTAAACAAACAAGTCAAAAATATTTGTGTAACCAGCTCTTTCTGTTTCTCCTGCCAAGAGTTCAGGCACCCAAAAGCTGACCAAGTGTTTGTTTTTGGCGCGCTGGGAGCGAGAATGTGTTGAAAAAATTGGTGTCTCAGAATATAGACCTGCATTTGTCAGGAGCTGAAGTGACCAACAGTCAAGTATGAATCTACTGAATCTGTTTTAAAAAGAAACGTATGACAAAAGTGGCACCTGCTCAGTAAAACCACCAACAGGGTGAAAAATATCAAAATATTGTAGCAGAGATGGGCTACAACTTCTGGATCCATTTTATATAAATTGTTTTATTGATTATCGTCTTATGAAAGATAACTTTGACGTACACGAGTGACTGGTACTGGCTGCTGTCACCTGTAGTGATTTGGTTAAAGCAGCTCTCTGCTGTCTGAGGGTAGGCCCCGCCCACAACGCCACGGCTGCTGTGGCTCCCAGTGTTTTCTTTACTGTGGGAAACGGGTAATAATGGCTCTTTGATGGGAACAGGTTGCCGACTCCTGGCTTACAGTCAGGTTTTCGTAGAGCTCATTCTACTGAAACAGCTCTTCTTAGGGTCTCTAATGACCTTCTGACTCACAGTGATGCAGGGGACTGTTCTGTTCTGGTCCTGCTGGACCTGACTGCAGCCTTTGACACTGTTGACCATCACCTGCTACTGGAGAGGCTGAGAGACTGGGTAGGCCTATCAGGATCTGTTCTGGAGTGGTTCTCCTCTAATCTCTTTGAGCGCTCCTTTTCTGTGGCCATCTCCAAGTTTAGGTCCTCCACCACCTCCCTTACCCATGGTGTCCCACAAGGTTCTGTGCTGGGGCCTCTGCTCTTCCTCCTCTATCTTCTCCCTCTTCAGCACATCCTGAGCTCCTTCAAAGGAATCTCCTACCATCTTTATGCAGATGACATCCAACTGTACATCTCCTTTAAGCCCCCTGAGATGTCTAAGCTGCAGCTCTTACACACCTGCTTAGATTCTATCAAAACCTGCTGTCAGTGTAAAACATAGAGCCAAAGATCCCGTTGGCGACACAGACCCAAAAACACTATGAAAACTGAGAAAAGTGAGAGATCGATTAAATTGAAAGATAAACTATAGAGTATGTATATGTTTAGTGTATTTGTAAAGTAAATGTTTTTAATTTTTATTATTAAAATGAAACAAATATTTCAAGAATATATTTTTAGATTTTGTGTATCTTTTCGTCCAGTAGGACTTAGATAAAGTTATTAAATATTACAGAGTTATTCTCTAATAGCCAACAAACATTTCTATGATTTATTAAAATGATTTCAGTCGTTTTGATACTTGACTTGTGAAAGCTGATTTGAAGTTTATTTTTTCTAGCCATATTTAGAAGGAAAATTTCAAATATATTAAAATCAATATGGAACTATTTGGGTTTTAGTAGCTTTCATGTTATGTGATTTAATAAAATTTTGACATTTTATGTTCTCTCTCTTTGTTGTGAAAAAGTTAGATATGTTTTAGTACTTAAAATTAATGCTTTGAATCTGTCCACACGTGTAGCTGTTGGTCAGCTAATAGCCGTGTCATTTCAGGACATGTTGCTTCAACTATTAACGATCTACTTTTAAATCTTTATTCTGAATTGCTTATTCCGTTTTAGGCCACAGTCTTGTTATTGAAATGAAAACAAAAAGAAAGGATGCTTATGAAGATGTACAAAATTGGCAAGATATTATTGTTGATCAATATCCTCCAGCTCCGTTCTAATGACAATATCCCATCTGTGTGTGTGTTGCTGTCCAACTGTCAGCAGACCAGGTCAGTTGAAATGGCAGAGCAACGAAAAACAGCAGACATCAGGTCGATTTTTAATGCTCCACAACGTCAAGTAAGTAGAAACTTGCATTTTGATAAAGACATCTATAAGAAAGAAATGAAATTGTTTCTAAATGGTTTCATTAGGCAAGGTCCAGTCACTTGAGCACAGGCAGCCAGAGCCTGTCAGACACAGGCAGAGTCACAGGTCAGTCTCTTATAAGGACATACAGTGTTGTATGAAGAGAGCATTTTTTTTCCGTGTCCCCCCCAAAAATTACTGTCTAAAGTTTTACTTTTTATTGTCCCCCCCCCCAAAATTGAAATGGGATTTCCGCCCTTGAGAATCAGCCCACATGGGCTTAAAGGTTGGTTTATGCTTGACACGTCCGCGAGGCGAAATTGCGTCATTTTAAAAACCACGCCCCTCCACCGCACCTCCGCTCGGACCAAACTTTCCGCACCACGCACCTAGGAAATTTTCTAACCACGCGGACGGTCGGACGTGGAAAAACATGGCGGACTGGCAAGAACTAGTATGGCAGAGGTTTGTAAATACAGACATTTGTATGATTCAGCTCTCAGAGATCACCGTGATCAACATGTTGTTAATAATTCTTGGAGAGAAATAGCTCGCACTGTCGGAAAAGACGAGGACGCTGTTAAAAATGCTGGAATGCCGTGTTGTAAACAGTAATTTTTACTTCTACTATGGTGTAGTGTTGGATGCATGCTGTAGAGCTCCATGCTGCCCCCTACAGTTTGGGAGAATATTGGCTCACCGCAGAGACGAGCCGCACGAACCATAAACGCTGCGAGTTGCGAAGCGCGTTCCATCCGCGAGCCGCATCACCAAGCAGAAAGTAAATGCGTCAAGCATAAACCAAGCTTAAGGCATGCTCATTTCATTATCATGCCGATTACCTAGAAGCTGAAAATGTCTCTGACTGCATTCCTTGCATACCTAAGCAAGGATGTGTGGAATCAACCGGGCCAGGCTGGGGCCGACTGGAGCTATCTGGGAGGGCCGACCAGGTACAGATGGGAACGGCCCAATAGTGGAGGAGCAGCAGCTCACTTCCTGCCTTAGCTCTCTTTTCACCTCAGCATCTGCACCACTTCAGGACTCTGTTGCAGAACCATAACTGTGATTTCTCTGCCTCTTTAGTGCAATAGATGCAAACATGGAGTAAAAATAAGCTGCAACTAAATCACTGCACATAGTAGTGACACCTGGGACAGCAGCAGCAGCTTCACAGTCCACATTAAAAATCAACACAAAGACACAAAAAAACACGTTAAACTGTAGCAAACATACTGCGCTACAACTGGAACCAACCAGTATCTGGACAAGTGCTCAAAGCTTTTCAAACACAAGATAAAACCATCAAATTCCTCATTTGCTCTTGGAAAGTCCTGACATGAGCATTACAGAACAAAAGACTGACACTGCTGGACCTGGGCTTCCTGAGCAGAGTCCTTAATGCATCATTATGAGCTACTTTAAGCTTCTGCAAGCGGTCTCTTACACCACAAGGGTGCAGCATACAGAGGTGTGGTGTGTTCTGAAGAGGTGGATTTTTACATTGTCAGAACTCACAGGAAACCACCTGACCAAAACACTGGCTTGGGCATGCAGACTGCAACATTGCCGATAAAGAGCTGATCGGTGACTCAAATATTTAGTTTTGTCACTGACGCTTATCTTCTTGCCACCCAAGTAAAAGTTTGGGAAACAAAGAACAATCTCATTCTCAAGTCTGCTGGGAACATTTACAAAAAATAAACAGACATTTTGTTCTCTAGATTTACTTTAATGAGCAAATTGTTAAAAAAAAAGCCAATATACACAATTAATACGTGCTCAGAATGACATAAATGATGGGTTCCTCTGAAATGTTTGTTTCATAAATAAAAATCTGAGCCAGAGCATGGATCAGAGATTCATCTGAACACAATCAGCAGGGCTCTGCGCCACTATTCTACATCTTTTGATTAGTTGGTGGTTTATGAAACTTGAGATTAGTTTACAATTAGTTATTTAAAGCACAGGTATTGGTATCACACAGAAAATTCCCACTAAAACCTTCCAACTATTACAATACCATCTAAAAAGCCCACACATAAGCAAACGTCTGACGTACAACAAGCTGAAGCTCGTGGCTTTTGCATGAAGGCATTTAAAATACATCATTTGTTTTGGCATCATTGGTTCAGATCCTCCTACTTCCTTTCAAACTGAGCCTCTGTTATACAAAACAACACTGAATCACGCAGCGCTTCCGTTTTAGTTACACAAGTCAATACTTTCTGGTTAGCTTGCATGTACAAAGTTTGAAATGAAAAACATCAATTTCACAGCAAATATATACATTCATAGATCGAAACGTTAAGTCTCTCTATACAACAGCATTAGAAGGCCTAGCTGTGGGTTAGAATTTAAAACATCCCCACGGAAATCCTCAGGAAGTGGCTAAGCAGCAAAGCTCTGCTCAAAATAATAATGGGACTGAGTTGTGTTGATGCAAGTCTCAGTTGTCATCTCAAGCTCATTTCTAAAAAAGTGCATAAACTCCACAGAGCATCGTCAGGTTGGCCCGAGATGTTCCTCCTCTAAGGAAGACGTGTCTACATCCAGAAGAACTGGACCACCAGGACCGCGATGCTTACTGAGGACAAAAGAAGCAGGAAAAACTCATGGACAACTTTTAGACAAACAAGGGTTAAACAGCTTTAGACTGGTGGAAAGGTTTAATTTTATGCTTTTGAGAAAGAGTGGTTGTCCAAGAGGTCAGGCACCAGCTTAAATGGTAGCCTGGCCTGTTTGTGTACAGCGTCATCTTAGGGTTCTACAACCCCCCAAGGCGCTTCACAACACAATCAGCCATTCACACGATGGTGGGGATGAGCGTGATGAAGCCACAGCTGCCCTGGAGCTCATCGACATTACTCTAAAACAGAAACAAGATTCAAAATGGCTGAAAAATCGATTTAAGAGACCCATAAAGTTGTGAAGCACATGTTGAAACTCTCCTATGCAGCCAGTCACTCATCACACCTTCTAAAAAAGAGCAAGAAAACAAATGGGCCATTCCCATCTGTACCGGGTCGGCCCGGGCCGGGTAGCGTAGGTTGTTTACATATCTGGGTGGCCTGGTATTTTTCCGGGCCAACCAAGGCTCATTCTCAGCCCTCTTCTCGAGGGGGTCTGCTTCAGGCCGACCAGGGCCAACACACCCACTGCTGACAGCAAATTCACACCTTCCATTAGAGCAAGCCTCTGATTAGTGGGTAGAATCAGCCCACATGGGCTTAAGGCAAGGATGTGTGGAATCAACCGGGCCAGGCTGGGGCCGACTGGGGCTACCCGGCCCGGGCCGACCCGGTACAGATGGGAATGGCCCATTAGTGCCACTCCTACAAAGCCCCTTTGCATTTCTGTAACTAAACGAGTGCGAGTGACGCACATCGTGTCTGTGAGGTCATTCTGTTGACCTCAGTCAGAATGATGTTATCAGTCTGAAACTCAAACATCACATCAGAGCTTGAGGGACTTTATAGGAGAGCGCTGATTTGAGCGAGCACACCTGACAACACCCCTCTGACAGAAAAAGCTTAAACCAACAAGCCTCACAAATGTGCTACATCTCTACTAACAGAAAGAAAAGCCGCCCTCATAAAAATAACAGAGGAAAGGTAAAGGGCAGATGTGAAAATACATTCATTTACCTGAACGTATGCTACCACACCACCGATGAGAACAACTAGAACTGGTTTCAACAAAAAATGATGATGACATTATTTCTGTGGGTAAAGGTGTGTGGGTGATAGGGCTGAACGATTTTGGAAAATAATCTAATTGCGCTTTTTTTCTTCAATATTGCGATTTAATTCACAATTATTTTCATTTTTTCAACTAACTGAAGCAAAAAAAAAAGATCTGTGTAACTTGTACTGAATATCAACAAGTTTATTTGTCTACACATACATGAACACTCACAAGTAAAGACAACATCTTGCATTTGAAGGTGAAATGCTTTGCAGCCAGGAGCACATCCCTCTAAGGAGAATAGGTATTAGCATCAACTGTGAAAATTTATTTGCAGGAAAGAAGTGCGTCCCGTTTATTGAAGTCTTTTGCGTTTAGTTTTTGACGTCTTGTCCATGCACAGCTTCCGTAGTTCAGTTACGTTCACAGCTGCTAGCCAAAACTCAGTGGAGTTGAAGTACAGTTTTCCAGCTTTACTAAAATATCTGTGTGTACTTATTTGATTAATGGCAGTTTTTACTTTTTATTAGACCCCAAATGTAAAAATTTGGCACGTTCATAATTCGTAATTTGTAAGAATCTATTCTGTGATATTAGCATTAGCATCCTTATGGGTTTTTCAATGTATATTAGCATTGTGCTAACCACTCGCTGCCAGTCAAATCGCAGCCTTTGCGACCACATCTGGACTCTGATATTCACGCCTTTATCACCTCACGTTTGGACTATGCCAACCCAGTACTTTTTAGTGTCAGTGTCTCCTCAATTGAGGGTCTCCAGAGAGTGCAGAATGCGGCAGCTAGATTCCTGACAGACACCTCCAGACGCTGTCACATTTCACCCATCCTTGCCCGTTTGCACCGGCTGCCTGTTAAATACTAATTCAGTTTAAGCAGTGTTTCCCTTCCATAGACATAGCCATGGCAGCCCGCCACGGCTGAAATCCCAGCGCCACGCCTACAAGATCAAGTTTCATTTATATATATATATATATATATATATATATATATATATATATATATATATATATATATATATACATATATATATATATATTTTTTTGCGCCGTTTCCCAAAGAAGCAGCGGGAACTACTCTGTTGTTGCTTGTGATCACAGCCGACAGGCAGGAAGGAGGAGGAGGCAGGGCAGGGTGGTAACAGCTAGGGATGAGATAAAGCATTTTTGATGAATACGATCATGAAACGAGTAAAACTCGTAAATATCTGAAATTGTGCTGAAGGAAAATCCTCATTGGGTAACTGACTGTCTTCACGCTCTGTGATTGGCCAGTCACTGAGAGCACCCGCCCCTCCCTCCACACAAAACTCAGCAGCCGGGAGCTCAGTCAGCTCTAGTGATGGGAATTCTGGCTCTTTTTAGAGAGCCGGTTCTTTTGGCTCAGCTCACTAAAAAGAGCCGTCTCTTTTGGCTCCCAAGTGGCTCCTCAGATTTTCTGTTGCTTAGAGTACATTTATAACCAAAATGATGCAAAACTATATGTAAAATGATGTACTAATGTAAAAAAAATGCAATATATCAAATATTTATCATTTTTATAGATTTAATAACAGAACACTAAGAATTCTCCCCGTTCCGACTGCTGATGCTCATTTTCTCACCGTCTTCGTCACACTCTCCTCCCTCTTGCTCGCCTTTTTCCTCCTCCTCATTCCCTCTCGTCTCCCTCCACCCGCATGTTCTCTGCTGTGTGTCTGGGTCTGATCCTCCCTCTTCCCCGCCCCTACTGCTCTGTGTGTGGACAGTCTGGACACGCAGTTACACATGTTGACCAATCGCCTGTGGCGTTCGCCAAAGCAAGAGGGGAGGGGGGAGGGAAGGGGACGGCTCCCAATGACGAGCCGGCTCCCGTCATTCACTTCAACGAGCCGGCTCTTGGTCATGAGATACAGACATGTGATGGTTTTACCCTTTACCCTGGATCCCTTCTGAATGAGGCTGGTTAAACGTGCAAGAAGACCTTCAGGTTTACTGAACACGCATTACGGATCATCAACAATAATCATTATTATACCCAAAGCACAATAAGTCATTTCAGTAATTAAAATACATTTATACTGAACCAAGATATTATGTATGATGATTGTAATAACAGTAATAAAGTCAAGAGTTTATTAAAATTATTATTTAAAATTATTATTGTGAAACTTGAAGTGTCCTTCATCTTGGGATGCTGGGTTTCCCTTACATAGGCGTAGCCGTGGCGGGCCGCCACGGCTGAAATCCCACCGCCACGCCTACAACATCCCAAGTTTTATTGATGTTTTTTTTTTTTTTTTTTTTATTGTTGCGCGGTTTCCCGAAGAAGCAGCAGGAACTACTGTGTTGTTGCTTGTGATCACAGCCGGCAGGTAGCAAGGAGGAGGAGGCAGGGCAGGGTGGTTACAGCTATGAGTGTACGGATAAAGCATTTTTGACGAATACGAGCAAGAAACGAGTGTAAAACTCGAAAATATCCGTAATCGTGCTGAATGAAATCCTCATTGGGTAACTGACTGTCTTCACGCTCTGTGATTGGCCAGTCAGATAGAGCGCCCGCCCCTCCCTACACACAAAACTGCAGTCGGGAGCTCCGTCAGCTCGGCCCAGGCATCAACGCACACACACAGACAGTAAAGCCGGGCGGACACTGTGTGACTTTTTCACTTTTTTGAGCAGATTTTCCACTCGTGCGAGAATCCACAAGATCGGGGCGAGTTTTGCGCTGAGCGTCGTGTAGTGTACCGGGGGTTACGAGAGGCGATTAACACCACGTGACCAGCTACCGATCAGCAATCGTGAGCTCGCACGGACTTCCGGAGTGTTTAATATTTATCTCGTTCCTCATGAGGGTTGAAGCGGCGCTGCGAGCAGCTGCGACCCAAAGAGTACCAGAACCGCTCACGGCGCATTCGCCATCCTGCATCAACTCCGCTCACCCGCTATTTCCCTAATAACACACGCTGTTCGTTTTTGTTTCTACACGTTTTTTTACTCACAAAGATTGTCAAGAGAGCGTGTTTGTCGTGTTCATGTCAAATTAAACTGATCACAAAACACAGATTTACTTTCTTTATTTTGTTTTCCTCATCCAACCCCCATAAATCCCCGTGTGTCCTCCTGCAGCACTCCCGAAGGACAACAGGCAAAACAAGACAAAAAAGTCTGACGTGTTGTGTAAAAACTGCTATTTTTAGCATATTTTAGGTCCGACGTGTTGCTACCAGACGTACAGTGTGAGCACATGACTCGTGAGATCTGCCCTGCGCTGAAGTCCTACAGTTTGAGCTGAAGCTGTGTTACGAGTGAAAAAGCTGCACAGTGTCCGCCCAGCTTATTATAATGTTCACTGTAATGCATCTTGATGTTCTTAACAAATAAATTAAATCAAAGATATTGGTCAATAATGCCAAATATGTACATTTGTGTTTCAGTCCTTTTTATACTGGCTTAAAAATACTTCATTAAGTCTACTAAGCAGGGGTGTAGAACGTGTTTAATAGGGCCAGCCCAATTGGACCAAAATACAGGGGGCAGAGAGTCAAATAAAGAAGATGTTTTTCCAGACGCCAAGAAAAATTAAATGCCAAATCCCCCCTGCAAAGTGTGTCACTGAGAGTTTAAAACAGAAATTATTATTGTGCAAATATTGGTGTACTCACCTTCAATACTAGTTATTACAATGCAGCAGTCGCTGGATTGGTGCAGTTCAAAGTGGAGTCCATCAAATAAAACAATATTAACATAAAGGTGAGACGTGTCATAACCCCCCCCCCCCCCCCGCCAACAACACCACCACCACAGCTGGAAAAATTCCTAGGGGAAACACTGGGATGGAACAATAAAGATGATGTTTCAGCAGACATCACGGCTCCTGGCATGTTTAATCTGTGGGGCAAAGTTACAGTCGACCCAGCTTGACCCGGCTGGGAAAACGTGACCTTTGTCACAAATTAGAGGCCATTCATGACGCTACAATATTCTTGTGCAAATATTGGTGTATTCACCTTCAATACTAGTTATTACAATGCAGCAGTCGCTGGATTGGTGCAGTTCAAAGTGGAGTCCATCAAATAAAACAATATTAACATAAAGGTGAGACGTGTCATAACCTCCCCCCCCCCCCCCCCCGCCAACAACACCACCACCACAGCTGGAAAAATTCCTAGGGGAAACACTGGGATGGAACAATAAAGATGATGTTTCAGCAGACATCACGGCTCCTGGCATGTTTAATCTGTGGGGCAAAGTTACAGTCGACCCAGCTTGACCCGGCTGGGAAAACGTGACCTTTGTCACAAATTAGAGGCCATTCATGATGCTACAATATTCTTGTGCAAATATTGGTGTATTCACCTTTAATACTAGTTATTAAAATGCAGCAGTTGCTGGATTGGTGCGGTTCAAAGTGGAGTGCATCAAATAAAACAATATTAACATAAAGGTGAGACGTGTCAAGCTGTTTCTAAATGAGCTTTATAAATAAACCTGGTAAGGAGTCTTTCCCTAAGACAACTAATTAGACTCTTAATAACATCCAACATCATGTTTCATTAGAGTTGGTGACTGTCTCAGCTGATTATTACCTCGAATAATCATTCGCCTTCAGTTATTCTGTATAATCATTAGTCGTAGAAATATAGTAATACATATTTTTTTAACTATAATTTTGCTTCTCTGTCAAATTATTGATAAGTGTTGGTTCCCTGGCTACCCAAATGACCTATTTCCAGAGTCAATCGGATATTAAAGGTTCAATAATATTAACGAATCATAGTTTTATGGAACATTATACTTTGTTGAATACCTTTTATATTTTTCTGACTGTTTATAAATTTGGACCACTTACAAAACATTACACTGGTGTTTCGTGTGTGTGACCCCAACGATATTAGCTGTGTTTGCTACGAGCATCTATAAAAAAAAAACTACAAAATGAAGCTGACTGCTTTGATTTCACCTCATGCAGGTGACTTTTAGAACGTAACTCCTGCGATAAACAAGGGACCACTGCACAGCAAATCTTTGCCTGTAAATTCTTTATTAAAAAAATGATACACTACTTTTAAATATTTGAGTGTACTGATAATTTCTTACGTGCGTTACATCCACTGATCGCTGCCTGACCGCCCCTCTGGTTAATAGATGGTGTTTGCCGTGTTTTACATTTTAGACCGTACCTTATTTGGGTGGATATTACATCGAGGTACAAATCTGATACTCACCCAGCCCGCCGACCACACCCCCCACGAGACCATGTCCACTGCCTGTCAAACACAAAAGGAGAACCAATCAGAGGAGACAGCACAAATCCAAAATTAAGAATATTATTAGCTTTGCTTTACTCAAGACAGCTATAGAAAAACTGGGTTTTATTCAATGGCTTTTTAACTTAAATATCTCAGTGAAAAGAACCGTTGTAAATAGTAAATAGCCTGTATTTGTAAAGCGTCTTTTTAGGGTTCTACAACCCCCCAAGGCCCTTCACAACTTAATCAGTCATTCACACGCTGGTGATGATGTCACAGCTGCTCTCTGGCACACTGATGGAAGTGGTACTGCCAAACATTGGCGCCACCGGTCCCTCCGACCACCACCAGCAGGCAAGCAGGTTGAGTTCCTTGCCCAAGGACACAACAGCAGCTTTCTCTGGTCGAAGCCGGGATTGAACTTCTACCTTGTCAAATCCTTATTCAGTAAACGCTAATTTCTATGTCAAGTCATGTGAATTATAACATTACACAAGCAGCAGCATATCCGTGTTTATAGAGAAAAGCTTTTGGTGAACAGACTTGGGAAAGTTGAACTTTGTCCACTTTATTGAGAGAAGAAAATCTAAAGATCTAAAAAGTGGACATGTTGTAAAAATGTGACACCAAAGCAACTTCCTGAGTCTTGTTACCACAAGTTAATCACGTTGGATTTATTATCTTATAAAATGACTTACTGGAGCATTTTGGGATTTCAGGAGACCACCGATTATTCATCCCACATTTCAGAGAAGATGATCCAATCATTGTGAAGCCTGCTTTACAGCGGTACTCCACTGTTGCTAAGTATTCATGTGGAGGTCGAGAACCACCAACAAACTCAGCATTTGGAATCACAGGGTCTTCACATTCAACCACTGCAAGCAAACAAATGGAATAAAATGTTATTTTTTGGTAAATATTTCAAAAGGTTAAACTTAAGACACATGAAACACTCACAGACACATGTTGGCGGAGCGGGAGAGAACGTTCCCTGTTCAGAGCACGTCACTAGTTCATGTCCACTAAGCGTAAAGCCTTTCTTACAGGAGAACAACACAGCATCTTGGAACTTGTAGACTTCTCTTTGGGGACTGAAGCCGCCATTTACAACATCTGCTGGTGGTGAACATGTGACCGCTACAAAAAATCAAACACCATCTATTAGACGGGAAACAAACATGTTTATGTAGGGCTGCTCAATTAATCGAATTTTAATCACGATTACGATCTGAGTTTTGAACGATTATAAAAACAAAACAAGCCGATTATTTGCTCCTCCCGCTTGCGCTGCCCTGAGTTGCAAATGAAGCGCTCCTCCCACAGTGTTGCCAACTTAGTGACTTTGATGCTATTTCTAACAGCTTTTCAGACCCCCTTCTTGACTTTTTAAATCTTAAAAGTACCAAGCGAACACCTCAGAAACATCTCTGGTAACCCTTAGCTACTTTCTGGATAACTGTCGTCGACATTTCCTGCAGGTTAGCTAAACACTCCGCCTGCGCTCCGGACCGTTCTTCAGGACATTAGGAAAGGGAATGATGTAGTGATGTGTCAGTCGCTAAAGAAACGGCTCTCAGAGTCGGCTCTGTCGAATAAACCAGAGTGAGTGACACACACATCGCACCTGCGGACTCCTGAGCCGCTAAAAATGGCTAAATGTGCGCATGCAGCGTGCTAAACACACATGCAGCTTGCCCCTGATTGCTGTGAGACCGGGTTGGGGGTGGGGGGTGCAGCTGTGGTTGGGACAATTATTACATTAACTGATGGACTTGTAAATAAATAGTTTATAAATAAGGTAGAAATAAGTTCCTCACGCTGATAAATAATAACTAATCTCTCTGAGGACACGGTGCTAGTGCACGCTCCTACAGCACCTTGACATGACTAAATAAATGGTATGCAACTTTTTGTGAACATCAATGTATTTGCATTTATTTGTTATAAATGCCACTGTATAATTCTTGCTGTCAGTATTTGCAGGATATTGGTATTTGGGTCTGTACTGGTTAGACTTAAATGAGTTAAACCAAGGTCTATAGCTCTTGGGTCATAGACTATGAGCTATAAGTATATTGGTCTTTTTATACTGGGAATCAGGAGTTCTTTTAGTGATCATTTTGTTTCTTATTTTTGTCCTGATTGTGCCCTGAGCAATTTTATGACTGAATAAAAACAAATAAAATCAACATAAATTGAAAAATCGTCCTAAATAATCGTGATCTCAATTTCAGTCACCATAATCGTGATTATTATTTTTGCCATAATCGAGCAGCCCTATGTTTATGTTTATTTATTTGGCAGACGCTTTTATCCAAAGCGACTTACAATTCATAACCTATAGGGCATGTTGTGGTCTCTGACAGGAAGAATGATGATCACCAACCTTCACACACAGGCAACCTGCTCAACCAGCCTTGGTCTCCACACATGATCTCGTTCGGACCACCAACTAAGTTGAAACTGACAAAAGAAAATAACATGTTAAAAGTAAAAGGGCAAACTATGTTCAAAACCCCATAACTAAACTGACCTAGTCAGGAAGTTTCTTTGTTTTGTAAACTCACTTTCCATTTTTCTACTCTGTCATTATTTATTCTGATTGTGTGTATTTATCTTTTTGTGTACGTGCTCCCTTAATATATGAATTTCCCCACTGTGGGGATTAATAAAGTCTATTCTTCACTGATTCATTACATATTCATTCATCACAGTCTGTTGGTAAAATGTGAAACCTGTCTGACCAGAAACGACTTAACTAATCACTTAACCACTAACCCTGTTTTACAAGTGAGCACAGCTTTAGCATCGGTCTCAATCCCACTGGGGTAGTCAATGTTCCCATGGGCCAGCTCTGGGAGAGGGCCACAGTTAAACCCTGGAACAAAAAAACAGTATTTATACAATACTGAAAAACATCATACATAATCACCTAACATCAGCAGGAAAAACACTGGTGTTATTAAAAACTGTAGGACTTAATTGTGTTGTTTAACTCATGTTTAGTCTCACAAACCAGTGTTTGAAATGGAAAGGAAATCTTTATAGAGCAAAGATGAGCAGATGTGAGTGAGGACTGACTTAATCAACACTAATTACAGGTAGGATACACCAGACTCTGTGTCCTAATGGTTGCACACACCTTGAGCAGCAGCAGCAAAGCTCAGCAGGAAGAAGGCAGTGAGACTCATGATGGATCTGACACAGTGACGTGGTGGCAGCAGGTTCTCCTGGGTAAGAGGAAAAGCAAAATGTAGACAAGAATATCAGAGATTTAATAATTAAAATGTAGCAATATTTCAAGGGGAATGCGGTTTTTCTGATGTTTTTACCTGCCAACTAAACTCGAGCTCATAATAATCTAACTCCAGCTGGGCTACAACAATCAGCACTTTACACACAACAAATCAAATCATCAAATTAAACTTTATTTATAAAGCGCTTTTCATACAAAAATGTTACTCTAAGTGTTTTACAGATTAAAAAGACCCACATATCTCAATAATGTCAATTTTGACACATCTCCCCCCCCCCCACCCCCACCCCCCAACCCTGTGACACGCGCACACGCACACACACACACACACACACACCACTTGGGAACATAAGGAAACACTGGGCTGAGCTCAGATGACTCAGTTTCGTAAGGACACGTTAGGAAGGGGTGTTTCCATTCGCCCAACCTTGTTTCAGAAACAGTACAATTCAGCAATGAATGTAACGGATGTGACTAATTTCCTCCATCACTCAGACTTTGGGTGGCAACCACGGAAATTCATTGTCCAGTATATATGTCGATGGTGGCAACACCCAACGAACAGAAACGTGATTTAATACTAAATTACCTTTAAACGGGATAAAACGAAGTTATTAAGCAAACACGTGATAACTGTTTTACCTTAACATTCCGATTAGCCGAAAATTAAAAAAAAATCTCGTTTCATGGTTACAACTCTCCTTAAAATGACTTAAATGAAGAAAGGGTGAGATAAAAACTAACGGATTAGCTGATGCGCAGTTTTAAACACGTGAATAGTTAAATATAGTAAATAAATACGAAGTAACAGGAGTTTTACCCAACAATCTCTCCCACAGCTTGCAGTCTTCTATTGTTGTGGCAATATTTACTTCTTTTTCCGTTTTTTCTTCTTCTATGGTTATGATGACATCTGCTTCTTTTACACGAAACAGTGGAATAATGGGCGCGCTGCCGCCACCAGCTGGTAGGTTTTTGAACTGTTATTATGCTACTTCAACAACAGCTAATATTTACCTAAATGTTACAGAAAAATAATAGCAAGTTTATAAGTAAGCTATAAATATGATATGTGCTCATATTTCTACAAAAATATATTTTAATAGCTTCCTTCTTCTCTCACTACTTCTGCCACCTCTTGTGTCGTTTTAGCTGCAGTTTTACAACAAAGAATGTTTTAAATGTTGTTTTAGAATATATGAGAAACTTCCTTACGAGTTGAATAATTCTCAGATATGGTCAGTGATTTACAAAAACAGAATGAAAGTATTGAGTTATAATTAAAACAACAAGGCTCTGTCAAAATAACACATTGTTTGGATGAGGAAATAAACACACTTTATGATGAATTGTGTGAGTTAATTTGTGGGGGAAAAAATAGAAAAATAACACACTGTAAACACAGCTATTCTCAGTTTCTTTTTATTAGAAAATGACTAATCTAGTTACACGATTGCCTCCAGTCCTAACAAAATACATATTTGTCTTAAAAAAACAAAATGTTACACAAGTGCAAAAAGCCTTTTTTTGTAACACACATCTATGAGCACAATCCTATTTTAGTTATTTTATAAAAGAACATTATTCTGGAATGTAAGCAGCCAGAAAAAACATTTTTTAATATATTTTACTATTAAGTTGTAAAATCCCGGCAAGTGGGTTATTTCTATGCAATTAAAAACAAAGTATTGGCTTTTAGCATTAAGGCACATTAAGTACACATTTTCTTTTGACATTGTTACCGGTGGAACCTGTGCTCGGCAGCCTCGCCTCTGCCAGTGCACCCCAGGGCAGCTTGGCTAGACCATAGCTCATCGCCACCAGTGTGTGAATGTGTGTGTGAATGGATGAATGATACACTGTAGTGTGAAGCGCTTTGGAGTCCCTACTCTGAGAGACGCTATACACGTGCGGGTCATTTATCATTTATTTCACCTCTCCTTTCTAACCGTAGACCTGATACTTCATGAGCCAACCTGAAATTAAAAGGAGGAGGCTTAGTCTAAAGTGTGTAAACAAAATGTGTGTGTGTGTGTGTGTTGTGATGGGAAAAATGTATTCAATGCTTATATTCTGAGTATTAGTTGAGACCATCTGTTTACAGAGGATAGAGGACCGTCTCTTGTTCTGTTGTATGATGGCCATTGCTAAAGCTAACTGTTTATTACAGACTCTGCTCTGGTATGCAGGGTATTAGTTATGCAGAAGCTGCCAATGAGTAAATCCACAAACTGATTTTAGGAGTTAGGTGTGTTTCTTCTATGTGGGCAGGCATGGGATTTGTGGAGTCAGAGCAGAGTAACGGATTGTAATCAGATGTAGGATTGTATCCATCCCTCCCTGCACGCAAGTTCATTGGTTAACCATGTGTTTTATTCTTTCACCAAGGATCACGGGAAGATTTATTTTCATTAAAAAATGTGTGTGTGTGTGTGTGTGTGTGTGTGCGTGCGTGCGTGTGTGTGTGTGTGTGTGTGTGTGTGTGTGTGTGTGTGTGTGTCATCCCCAGCATGTACATTCACAGGTTGATCCGGTGACCCCTCTTCTCTCTGGGTGTTGGATCAACAAGACTTCTGTGCTCACTGAAGACAAAAGAACAAACATGTGATGTTTGTAAGTAAATAAAGAAAAAATAGAAAATAAAAGTAGAACTAAAAACCACTCATTTGAACCAACTGACTCAGGCAACACGACTCTGCTGGGAAACAAGGACTGCAGTTGTACATAAACCACTGAAACCTACCAGCAGCGTCGTAACGTGTGACAGCAGCACAGCTCTGTTAAATAAACTGTTGAAAAAACATGTTTAGAAAAAAGCCCAAATGTTTGATGAGCCTTCACCAGAACCAGGATATAGAACCACCCACTGTTCTGTGTTTGTAGCAGCTTTGGTAGCATTATTAGGTCCTAGACAATATAGAGGATTTACAAGGGAAGTAAAAACGTCTGTTGACACATCATTACATCATTAATTGGGGCAGCAGTAGCTCAGGTGGTAGAGCGGGTTGCCTCATGATCGGAGGGTCATGGGGTCAAATCCAGCTCCCGCCAGGGGTATCCTGCTGTTGTGTCCTTGGGCAAGACACTTCACCCAACTTGCCTGTGTTAGTGGTGGTCAGAGGGGCCGACGGCACCAAATGGCAGCCTCGCCTCTGTCAGACCTCCCCAGGGCGGCTGTGGCTACATGTAGCTTACCATCACTAGCAGTGTGTGAATGTGAGAGTGTGTGAAAGCGTCTTTGGGTGTCTAGAAAAGCGCTATATAAGTTCAATGCATTATTATCATTAATGTTTCCATTTTAGAACAGTACACTTGACTTTCACCTCATTTTTCTTACTGAGAGCGCTACAGCCTCTTCATCTTCAGCAGCATCTCTGTCTCTCTGGGCGGCGCTGTAACCCACCAATGACCAGTCAACATTACTGCTCAAGTGTGACAAGGCAGACGAAGCAACAGGAGTTCAACCCATCATGACCTCAGGCAGCAAACGGGCTAAACTGGTTCAGCAGGCCTACACACACACACACGCTTCACTTAATCAGCTTGATGGTTAACATTGACCCATTGTTTTGTGAGTGGATGAGATCGGCCAAGAAACGTTTATAATTGGTCATTCCATGCAACTTGATCTTTCCGAGCTTCATGAAGGACAGTCTGGACACAGCTGGCTCTCTTGCTAATCTGCAACATCAATGACAAAATCCCACAGAAAGTAGATAATTATTGTCAGAAATGGTGTTAAAATGTTGGCTTTTGGAAAAAAAGTCATTAAAGGGGTCTGCAAAGTCATTAAAATAGCAACAAAGTTACAAAGCTGCCATCGCTGCTCTGTTGATCTTAATGAAGCCTAATTCTTCCCAAGAGCCTATTACCCAGTGACTATTGAAAGGTTCCAGCTTTGAGGACAAATAAATACGGCATCAGTAAAGCAGCTCTTTCTAGACTTCAGCTGGTCCAGAATTCAGCAGCTAGGTTGCTGACTGGAGCTGACAGAAGACAACACATTTCTCCAATTCTGAAATCTCTCCACTGGTTGCCCGTGCAGTTCAGGATAAATTTCAAAATTATGCTTCTCACTTACAAATCCTTGAACCATCAAGCTCCTCCATATCTGTGTGAACTTGTCCATTACTACAACCCGCCGCGTGCTCTCAGGTCTGAAGATAAGCTCCTCCTAGCTGTTCCGAATTGACGTTTAAAAAGCCGTGGAGAAAGGGCTTTCTCTGTCTGTGCACCGACGCTGTGGAACACATTACCACTGCTAGTGAACCAACAGCTAGCATTTTAAAATCCCGCTTGAAAACTCACTACTTCAATAGCTTATATAACATAATTATGAACCTCACTTACATCTGCATTGTTTAAAAATGGACTTTACAATATCAACTTCCGTACTATTGAGGTTCTTTTTTAAAATGTTTTCTAATTTTTTATTCTCCCTGTGTCTTGTTGATTTTTAGCTGTTAGTTTTGGGAAATTTGTTGTATTTGCTTTTTATCTTTTATCTGTGTTCGACATTTTTGTATAACGCCGGTTTAATCAACTAACATTTTTAGTGTACAGCGCCTTGTTTGGTTGTAATGCCTTGTGAATGCGCTTTATAAATAAAACTGGATTGGATTGGAAATACATCTGCCTTGGCGGCACATAAAACCTATTACAGCATCAGCATATTTATTTTTCTATTTAGTTCCAAGTTCAATCTCACCTTTGCATACTGGAGATCCAGTTGACCATTGACTGTTAATGCCACACGTCTTCGACTGGCTCATGTCCAGGTTTGCATCGGTACGTCACTGAAGACGAGTGTCTACAGGGTGGCTGAGAACCTTTAACTAACTCAGAATATCTGCTTTTTACAATCAACCCCTGCAACAAACAAATACGAGTGACTAACTAGATAAGTACAATCAATGCAAAAGTTTGGGTAGACTTGTTCATTTTTATGAAAAGAAAAGTGTTTTAGCACCATTGACTTGCATTCGTTTTTTCATTCTTCCGAGGTCCGAAAGTAGATGGGTGTGACTTCGGCGCCCTATGACTCCGTACCATCTACTCAAGCCTTCTCTCCTTTTTGAACCCTGCTATTTTCCAGTGAGAGAACCACTCTGCCATTTATTAGTCATTTCTTATAACCCTTTCACTACGTTTTCATGGCTCACAAACACATATGTCTAAATAAATAGTTTTAGATCATTCAAAATTAAATGTTAGTCTAACTTTTATAACTACGGGATCCTGATGTAGCGTAGTAAATCTACATACTGGTAACTAGAATTTAACGCTGTGCTATTCAGCTTTGTTGGATTCTGAGAAAGATCAAACAGTCTGGCTTATGAACTTATATTTACATAGATATCCACAGATATTTATATGATCAATAGAAGTTCATACACCAACTGACTTGGTCTATATTTAATCCAAAGATTAACATTTAATTTAAGGGATTTAATTAATAGCAAAAGTTTATTTATTAAATCAGAAGACTTAAAGAAATCTTTGCTCGTTCAGTGACCAAATGTACACCATTCTGTGTTTTATTTCAAAGAAGAGTCAGGTTTAAAAAGTTAAGAATTTATTACTAACAATTTAAAGATGACAATTTAAATGACAATTTATAAAACTTTGATATTAAAACTTGGTATTGAACAGGGATGTGTATTGTTGAAATTCTGGCGATACGATACATATCACGATACAGGGGAGACGATACGTTATATCACGATATATTGCAATACATCCAGTCAGACGTTACAAGCAATTTTTTTACTGAATTTATTGTAAGAATGTTGAATAAACAGTTCAAACTGATACGTAACATGTTTAACATGAGGTATCTGACCCATGATGGAGGGATTTACATTTCAATGGTGGAAACAAAACCCGTTGCACACTGCTGCCAACTAGTGGGTGGCGATTGAATTGCACAAAACGAAAAGAAAATACACAAATGTTTGCATGTAAATTCTTTCAAAGATTAGATACACGGCTTTTGAATATCGATATAATATTGCTGGAAAAAATATCACAATATATTGCCATATCGATATTTTCTTACATCCCTAGTATTGAAGCAACCCTGTGTCTGGGTGAAAACTAACATGAAATGCGTGTGTTTGGATGTGTGAATGGAATCTCAGAAGGTTTCTTTCAGAGAGAGAAAACGCGTTCTGGGTGAAAGAGTTGTTTTGCAGCTAACTTAAGTCTTTCTTAAAGGGGAACAGCATACGGACACAATCTGTGTTCTACCTCACCTTTCAGACGACCCTCTGTGTGGATCCGGAGGTCAAGGGAGGATGTTGTCAGCCTCTGGGTACTCGGTCCGGTAAGGAAGACCCGAGTGGTACCGACTCTCTGGTCCAAGAGTTGCCGCAGGCACACAGGTGTTGAGTTTGCGTCTTAAATTAACTCTGAAGGAGTTTGCGTCAGCTGGTTGCAGGTGGCGTTTGTTGGAGCAATTCTATCGGTGTGACAGAACAGCTTAGTGGAGGCTTCGAGCGGCCGCCTCGATCCTCTGGGACTCTCGTGCCACGGAGAGATTTTGGTGAGCTTCAAACTGAACTTGAACTGAGGAGTTTTGGTTTTATTAAACCCCAGGACACGCCCCCTCAGAGATAGAAAGCTTGTTGTTGTGAAGCAGACATGTGAGGTGCAGTTACCTTTAACCCTGATGTCTGTGCCCTGCATGGTGTGTGTAAGTTAACATGACCTTCTGTTACTGATCAACATTACTGATTATCATAAATAATTATTAACCAAAGAATAAGAATTCATTTCAGTAATTAAATACATTTATAATGAACCATGATGATTATTTATGAACCTTGTAATAGACAGTGAAAGGTTTATTAAAAATGATTCTTTTAAATCTTGAAGTGTCCTTCACCTTGTGGATGGAACAGAGTCAGATAAAAGGCAGTCAGATTAAAGATGGTTTACAGCAGACTTTGTGTCTCCTGTGATGGATGATCTGTGAATAGAAGTACAGCTTGACCCAGCTCGACCTAGCTGGGGAAGTGTGACCTTTGGGTCACAAATGAGACCATTTGTGTCGCTACACTGAGATGCTCCATTTTTCCACAGAAAAAACATATTTGTCCCGTCAACACAAATTTAGACTAATTCCAATGGAAATTCAAATTTCCCAGCTTCCACCCAGCATTCAAACGCACCATGTACGCACAAATCAGTCAGGTGGGAAAACAGTCTCAAAGGGATTTTTGTACTTGTAAACTGATCTGTGTGTAATGTAGTTTTGTCCGTGTTTACCAGGTGATTTGTGTGTGTGTGGGAGCTGAAAATACACACGAAAATGTAAACACAAGTAACAATTCAAGAGTTACACACACACAAATTTAGGTACACATGTACAAATCTAGACACACACACACACAGACCTTTTGAGACGTTTTTCTCCCCATACCTTGCAGCAAGGTCTGGGCTCCCACCCCCCAGCCTGGGGTCTTTCTGCATGGAGTTTGCATTTTCTCCCTGTTCATGAATGGGTTCTCTGTCAGGTTGATTGGTCTTTCTAAATTAACCTTAGGTGTGTGTGCATGGTTGTATGTCCTGTGTATTTCTGTGTTGCCCTGATATGGACTGGCAATCTGTCCAGGGTGTAACCCACCTGCTTGCCCAGAGACTGCAAGGCACCAGCCCCCCCGAGACCCTATGTGGATAAGCGGGTATGGAAGGTGGATGTGTCCATCCATCGATTTTCATCTGCTTTTCCAGAGTTGGGTTGTGGGGGCAGCAGCCTAAGCTGGACCTTGTCCCTGATCTGGAGAAGGCATTCTACCATGTTCCGATTTAGGATCATGGTGTCAGATTTAGAGGAGCTGATTCTCATTCCAGCTGATTCACACTCAGCTACAAACCGCTCCAGCGAAAGCAAACAGGACCACATCATCTGCACAAAGCAGAGACCTGATCCTCAGGCCACCAAAACTCCCTCAACACCTTGGCTGCGTCTACAAATCCTGTCCATAAAAGACAGTGGAACTTCCCCTGATGTTTGCATGATATTGAAAAGCCGCATTAACCAACACAGCCCCACAACATCCAGAGCCTTCAGGAACTCCAGATCTCATCCACAACCGGGGCCTTCCCACTGAAGATGTGCTGGTGGGACTGAGGTGGTCTTCAAAGCACTCTCTGTTGTTTACTTGAAGACGGACATATTTTTTCAGAAACCATAAACATTTAATTTATGAATACATAGTTTAAAATACACTGAACTCAGTTGATTTTGTCAAAGTTGTTTAATTACAAAAGAAGATCTATAGTTTCATCTTTGTTTCTTTAATAATTTAAGCAAGTGCAAGCCCACAGGTCTATTACAAAAGTCAATACTTTAATCCTAATACTTGTTACCTGAAAAAGTCGTTTCACTTCTGAACAGCAGAAATATCACCACATTGTTGTAAAGTAGAAATAAATTCATTGTATTTCCAACCATGAATAGAAAAACAACATTTACTGGTGTTTATGCTGTGGAACTTAATGGGTTAGAGCACAAATCCACATCAGGCGAAGCTAACATTTTACTTTTTGGCCATCGGTGACTCATTCCTCACCAGGACTCAGTGAGTGGGTCTTTTCTATGCAATCAGAAAACAAAAACACACAGCAGAGTAAAGCTATTGGCTCTCTGCATTAAGGCATGTAAATACACAACTCTTTTAGGCATTATTCAGTTTCTTTTCTAGCTGTAGACCTTCAGGACGGATCCCCTTTGGGTCAAACAAAACCTGCAGCACAAGCTGCTTAATTTTGCCATTTGGTAAAAAGTAAAATAATTTCAAAATGTTTTAATCAGATTTTTTTCCACAGCTACACAACAGGACTCGTTCTTTGACTGTTTAATTTGTGCAAGAGGGCCGGATGAGCGGTGTTTTAGTGCAAATATTTCAAATCAATGTGGAGTTTGAAAAGGAACCAGAAAATGAAGTCAGGGAACAGGACGTGGATATGAGACGCATTTTCTAAGCCACGTGCAGATATGAACAAGTCAGACAAGCTGCTTAAAAGCTCCATGTGAGAGTAAATTTCATTCTGATGAAGTCTGACTCAAAAAGTGTCCGCCCGAACCCAAGCGTCCGAGGTGGGGAGTGGGGGGTGTCATCTCCAGCATGTACATTCACAGGTTGGTTGGAGAACCTTCATCATCTTAGGAGGATCCATTTACACCAAGTAGAGTTGGACCAACAGGACTGCTATGTTTACTGTGGAGAAAGCACAACCCTGTCATTGGTTTGGGGGGGGGGGGGGGGGGGGGGGGGCGCTGCGGGCTGCACAACGTGGCCAGATGAATTCTTAAACAGGACAGAGAGAAGCTAGGGTGATAGAAGAGGGCCGGAAAAACCCAAACCTGATAAATGACACATAAGTGAGCAGCCACAACATTAAAACCACTGAAAAAGGTCGAAACCAAACCGACTGCTGAAATCAGGCGTTCTGCTGGGAAATGAGAACTGTACATTTAGTTAAAAGGAGACATATGACACCTTTTATAACAGTTTCCACAAAACACAACACAATCTCACTTGCTCCGTCTTCGACAGTTTCAGTACTCAGCCATTTCTGGGCTCTGTCACTTAAAGGCCAACAGGCTGCTGCTGGCCACGCCCACCCACTCCTGATTGGGTGCTATGAGGGGAGGAGCTCAGAGAGGGGCTAGAGCTACTGCTTCTTCACAACCAGAAGCCTCCCTATGCGTAACAGGTGGTTAGGGTAGAGGTGTTTCATGCTAATCTTCCCTATTGTGACATCATAATAAGGGACTTTTTGAAACGGCTCATAGAAAGCATGATTCCCGAGACCAAATCTGACAGAAAACAGATGGACGGCTTGAATTCCCTTAGGGATGTTTTATGGAGACAGCAGAGACCCACATGGCAGCACAGGGGGAGGGAAAAACTCCCAATTGAGTTTAAACTCCTTTCAACTAAGTTTTAAACAATCAGCACAGTTGTTCAGTAATCTTTGAAAGCTGCACAGGGGTGCACCAGTTCCTGTTAAAACTGGAAAAAAAGAACAGAAAGTTGACCAAGCCCCAGAACTCTCCACAATGACACATCACCCCACAGGACACATCCATGGTTAGCCAGCCTGCTGCTCTCACATGCCGACAGCTGGTTTAAATACTGTGGCTGATCTGTACATAAATTACTTTTGGGAGAAGTAAAAACAAAAGTAAGCTGAAACATCATCACATCATTAATGTTTCCAATTTTAGAGCAGTACACTTGGCTGCCATCTCATTTTTCTTACCGAGAGCGCTACAGCCTCTTCATCTTTTGCAGCATCTTTGTCTCTCTGGGTGGCGCTGTAACCCACCAATGGCCAGTCAACATTACTGCTCATGTGCGACAAGGCAGACGAAGCAACAGGAGTTCAACCCATCATGACCTCAGGCAGCAAACGTGCACCCCAGGTCTAAATGGGCTAAACTGGTTCAGCAGGCCTACGTGACACCAGCACACCTCCACCAACACAATCTCTGCCTGCAGCTGTCCATCAACCTTTCACCAATCTTTGATGTCATGCTTTGTGCAGATGGTGTGGTCCCATTGGCTTCATCAGATCCAGATCTCCTGCTTTTGCTGGGGCGGTTCGCAGCTGAGTGTGAAGCTGCAGGGATAAGAATCAGCTCCTCTAAATCCTAGACCATGGTCTTGAGTCAAAGAAGGGTAGAACACCTTTTCCAGGTCAGGAACAAGGTCCTGCCTCAAGAGGAGGAGTTTAAGTATCTCGGGGTCTTGTTAACGAGCGAGGGAAAGATGGAGCGTGAGATCGATAGGCGGATTGGTGCTGCATCTACAGTGATGCGGGCGTTGTACCGATCTGTCGTAGTGAAGAGAGAGCTGAGCCACAAGGCAAAGCTCTCGATTTACCGGCCGATATGGCCACGAGCTTTGGGTAGTGACTGAAAATTTTAGATCACGGATACAAGCGGCCAAACTGAGTTTTCTCTGCAGGGTGTCTGGGCTCTCCCTTACAGAAAGGATGAGACGCTCAAACATTCGGGAGGGGCTCGGAGTAGACCAGCTGCTCCTCCAAATTATGAGGGGCCAGTTGAGGCGGCCCAGGCATCTAGTTGAGACGCCTCCTGGACGCCTCTCGGTGAGGTCTTCCGGGCACGTCCAACCAGGGGGACACTTAAAGGAAGACCCAGGAAACGCCGGAGGACCTATGTCGTTGGCTGGCCAGCGAACGCATAAGGATTACCCTGGAGGATCTGGCCCAAGTGGCTGGGGAGAGGGAAGTCTGGATGCCCCTGCAACCCGGCCCTGGATAAGCAGACGAAAAAGGATGGATGGACGGATGGATAAAATGCTGATGAAAAGGAAAAAAAAAACTTGGACAAAAATATGAGACGCAAAAAAATAATAAATAAATAACTACTAAAAAAATATGTCAAAACAAAGTGAGGAGACGAATATCACTGTGCTTGTAATAATTAGGGATGCACCGATACCACTTTTTCCAAACCGATACGATACTTGGATCTGGGTACTCGCCGATACCGATTACTGATACCGACACTTTCACCACACAAAAAAATGCAATGATTTGGAATACAGATTTGATTTTCTTCTCTGCTTTCAACAGGAAGAGACTGTGAGGTAGATAAAAAGTAAAATATATGAAAGGAAATCATCACAAAACAAAAATATTAGGTGAACAGAAATGACAAGTTACAGTGAAGCCATTTTCAAGCAGCTGCATTGGTATCGGTTCCTGGTATCGGTTAACTTTTACAGATACTGGTATTAGCATTGGTATCGGCACCGATACGGATACCAGTATCGGTGCATCCCTAGTAATAATACCGGATTTGTTCCGGTTATTATTATATCTGAGGATTATGATGCCGTTTAGCTCAGATCTTTTCTCTTTTGACTGACTATTCACTTTGATGGATATAACTGATTTTGACGTCACAGGGTCATTGATGTAACAGTGTAGGTGTTTGTTTAAACGGAGGGTCATCAATTTTATTTTACATTTTAGAGAAGTGAAGAATGACCTCTTTGATCGCCCTCCTGTTATCTGTAACTTCCTGAGACAAGATGAAGGTCCAACAATCTGTTGATTAGGTCACCCCGGTCAGCTGGTTCTGAAGAATTGTGTGTGTGGGTTTATCTCTAACTTCTGGGTGTGCCTTCCTAAATAAAAGGAGCTCCAAGGCTTTGCCTGAGTGTGAGAGCAAACAGACCTCCGTCTCTGGTGTGTATCTGATTTCTCTCACCCTTTGCAAAGGATTTTTTTGTTGTTTGTTGTTGGCAGAATTACAATTTACCAAATTATCAATCTAATCCCTCTGTGTGTGTTCTGAACTTTCTTTGAGGTAATATGGGAGTAATATCAAAATTACCCAACACACTTATTAGTGTTAGAGACAATTAGTCACTAGGTTTACAGCTAAAGACGTGGTTCACTGAAAAAAACACGTAATGATTGGTCACCGAGTTTTTCCTGCAGGCTCAACATGAAAATAGTCTCCTACACCTATCTGCTGCATTAGCTTCTAGACGGTGAATCACTAGGATAAGAAATGCCTGACAGATCTACGTCACACTAACGCTTAGCATTCATGGACTCGCCCATCTTGACCTGCAACGAAGAACGCCGTTGTTGGTTTAATGTCCAGCAAACAGCAGAAAACGTCTCGGCTAGTGGAAGCTAACTGCTAGCATTAGCAACTCCATCAAACAGACTCCTTCAGGCTTGAGTTATTTGTCGAGATAAAACATCAACGTTGCAAAGCCAACAGAGTCGGTGGCAGAGTTGTGTTGTTATCCAATCAGAGATGATCCTTCCGTTTGGAGCTCATCTCTGATCTGGCTCTCTCCTAGTTCCTGAAACAGGAACACCGGAGCTTTTGTCCCCAGAGGAGGACTTACAAGGCACGGACTCCTAGTAGAGACCACTGCAAATGTATTGGTTAAATGAGTGAACCACACCTTTAACCACAATGAGTTATGAGGATTAGGGAGGGGGGTGAAGACGGTTATGGTGCTAGTTTTTTTGGTGGATTAGGATCACCAGCTCACCTTCTCCTTTGTTCTTCCGTCTCAAAGACACACACACACAGCAGACAGCTGGTGACTAGAATCTACTGAAGGATAAAAATTACAAAATCACCTACTTTAATACAATCCATGTATAAAATCTGTTTTATTGGAAGAGAGTTGAGTTAACTGAATGGGACACGCATGGTCAGAGTCATTGGTTTAGTCTCTGCAGCGGAACAGCTGACGGTCCATGCATCAGCCCCAAAGTTCAATAGGATCAAAACGATTAAGTCTGATAGAGCATCACTAAAATAATTCACTGCAACAAGGTTAGTGCTGCACGATTTTTTTCACTAATCGCTGCATTGGGTTGACGTGTGTTTAGATTAGTTCTGGGTCAAACCCTGATGGGACAGCTGAAGGAGAGCTCTGTGCAATAACAGCTCACTATGGGAGAGTGCTTTCTTCATAACATACACCACACTCATCATAATACAGATGCAAGAAAACCTCGCAAAGGTGCAAACCATCAACACGCTACAGGCAGGAAAACTCAGACAGGAAGCAAACGCACACATTCACATGGTTAGAAGCTGGGCTGAGGAAAACACATCAGTAAAAACTGGAGAAGCAACTCATAACACAAATAAGGCCAAGTCAGGGGTTAGTCTGCAAAGCTATAAGAAACCATTTACCCTTTTTTCTTCCAGAGGAACGATGGAAATCCAGTGCAATAGGATATAACACCGGCCACAACCACCAATACAGCAACAACTTTAATGAAAGAAACATCCAGATAAATAAAATTAAATTAAATTAAAGTCAGGCTGGCATAAACAGGGAGTGTCATAGACCTGAAAACATCCTGATGTTTAACCCCGTATCCCTCTGGGGAATCTGTGCTTCTCTTTCACGCTGACTAAACCATTTACAGCCCATTATAGGAAGCCTAAGTCACGCCCATCTGCTTCCAGACCATGGGCTTCCGGAAGAACAAAAACATGAACGCAAGTCAATGGGGCTAAAAACTCTGGGTTCTAATTAGGGTTGTCACAATACTAAAATTTCAAACTCGATTCGATACTGGGGGAAAAAACTCGATACTCGATTTCGATACTATTTAAAAACACCAATTTATTGAACAAGTTTATTCAAAAAATAAAATTCCTCAATTTATATTGCAAAAAATAAATGTTAAGAATTAAGTGTGTAAAGTGCTTAAAGAGCAAGTCACCCCCAAATCAACTTTTTTTTGGCTGATAAACTAAATAAACGAGTGTCTAATCGTGCTGCAGACACGTGTCGTCAATAATTTGGCACTTCAGTGCATCTTAGTTAAAATTTAAATATTCTGCCTAAAACTGGCAGTGTTGTGCTGATGTCAGGTAAAAACTCTGCACTGTATTTTAATTTAAATCTGCCACCGCTATTGGCTAAGAAGTATGCTATGATGTAAACTGGTACATTATGATGTCACAATGCTGTCGTGAGCCTGAGTGTGTGTGTATTTGTTAGCAGCTCCGCCTTCTCGGTCTGTCAGGCAACAGCATTTGTTGCATTTTTCAAACATGAAGTGGGAGTGGAGTTAGACTCTGGTAGGGGGTGACTTGCTCTTTAAACCTTTCAAGTATCAGCATTTTTTAAAACGTGCATACAAAAACTGGCGAAAGTTAACACTTTAAATCATGAATTGTCTCACTATATGTACACCATTTGCAGAGTGATGTTTTGCTGCTTAAACTCTGTTTAAGGTGCATTTTTGTCATAAGATGTAATGCCGTATGTTTTGTTCTGTACTTTTGAACAACTCTGTTGGTCAATAAAGGGAGAAAACGAATTTCTCCACAGTAGGACAAAGGTACATCTACCGGTAATCTTAATAAAAACAGACTGGCGCACGGCAGTGACGTCATTAAAAGCGCCGGTTAATTAGCTGCGGCTAGTCTGTTCACACCTAGAAATCCCAGACCCGCTCCAAACAAACAGGGGAATCACGTTAATGATTCCTAACAAAACCTTTCGACATGAAGATGTTTTGGTGCAGATAATGTCTTATTTCGAGGCTGCACCACGGCTGCCCCGTCCGCACCCGTTATATGGATATACACTGATGGCGATTCGCCGATGGATCTAAATACCCCGGGGAATCCAAGTAGCACCAAAGTTGTCAGCGTGAGTAAACAAACGTACTGCATGCTAGAAATTAAGTCCGGGTTGCAATAAACGGGAGTTTCCTTTAAGCACGTAAGCGTGAATATACAACTACGTGTCGGACTTGGTATGCTAATTAAGTTGGGCTGTGAAGCGCCTCCCAAATTCGCTGTTTATGTTTTTGTTTATTTATTTGGCAGACAAAACTTGGATCGGAGACAACTCGCGTGGGAAATTGCAATGTAGCCATGCGGCGTCTTCTTCTTCTGTTTGTCTGGGAGGCGGAGGCTGCTTTACGGCATCTGGCTGTCGTGCGTGTCGGTGTACTTGAAGAAGGCTGTGTATAATAGACCATAATATCGATACCACAGGGATGGAATATCTAATTTAGATACCACTTTTAGCATCGATTTATATCTAGGTATCGATTTTTTTGACAACACTAGTTCTAATCCCGTTTCTTATGTGCTCTAGATTTCACATATGACGTCTGAATGACTAAGGTGCATTCTGATTAGGGCTGCACAATATATCGCAAATATATCGTTATCGCGATATCAGCATGCGCAATATGCATATCGCAAAGAACAGATAAATATCGCAATTAATGGTCAGCTCTAATGTTTGCTACACAACTTACACATTTTTTATTGCTTCGCTTTGCAAAACCATAAAATAAAACTTACCAACCACTCCAATAATCCAGGGTTTGGTTTGATGCGCATCACCTGTGGAAAAGAAACAAAAGGAGTGGCAGGAGAAGGAGCAGAGCAGGAATAAATCTGAATTACTAGATTATTATTTACCAGAGGGGTCTTTTGGGTCGGTGGTAACTGAAACAAAAGATAAAAGATTAAAAACAAAATCTCCATATACATGCATCACATTTCACTGACTACACTCCAACAGGGTTTTTATGAGTCACTGAGAATTAATCCCAACAAATTCCAAAGAGGTTAAATTCTCCTCGGGGTCTTAATACTTCATATGGATAAAACAGGTGGGAATGCATGTGACTGCTCGGTCCAGAGGATCAATATCAGAGAACGAAACCATTAGGATCGGCTGAAAAACGTTATGTTGCAACGGCAGTTCGTTTGATTTGAACAGGCGTGTTATAATCCAGACACACACTGTACCTGATGGTTTCTTTGTGGTGGTGGTAGTGGTGGTGGGCCTGGAGGTTGCTGGTGTTTTTTCTATTAAAATGTAAAAGGCATAGAACACATGGAACATAAGTTCTCCATCAGACCTCTAGAACAAACACATTCTGAGCATGTGCGTGCCGCTGCTGCTCACTGATGCACTGTGGGATTCCAGGTGACCACTGGCTGGTAATGTTACACGTTATGGTAGATGCTCCCTTCATCTCAAATCCAGGTAAACATCTGTACGTGATTGAAGCAGAGAATCTATGTGGAGGCCGAGAACCTTCAACAAACTCAGCATTGGGAATGGTAGGATTTTTACAATCAACCCCTGCAAAAAAAAATACATACAATTACAACAATGTCTAAAAATAAACCTTTGTTATTGCAAATATGAGTGGATTTGGAAGATGAAACACAAAAACACTTACAGACACAGGTTGGAGGACCTGGCTGGAAGTTTCCATCTTCAGAACATGTGAGTAGTGGCGCTCCATTGAGAGCGTTATCATTTAAACAAGTGTAGCGCACAACGTCTCTAAATGTGTATTGCTCTTTTAGTGGATCATAGGTGCCATTTGTAATTGTTTTAGGTGTGTCACATGTCATCACTGCAAAGGAGAACATCCTCTGTTAGACTACATTTCTAATTTCTACCAAATTTCCCCTTGTGGGACTATTAAAGGATTATTAATTAATAATAAAATGAGGGAACACCCAAAAACCACCAACCTTCACACACAGGAGGCCTGCCAGTCCACCCTTGATCGTCACATCTGCTTTCTGCCTGACCAACCAAATTATAACTAAGTAGTGGGATTATAAAAAAAGAGCAAAAAAGTTTAACTAGGCAACTTTATTTCAAATAACACTGAAGGGCAAGTTAGCTTAGAAAAGAAATAAAGTCCATAATCTGCTTGGTTCATGAACACATCACAATCCAGCTACACTGGGTACAGAAAGTTTTCAGACCCCCGTCAATTTTTCATGGTTATACCGTCTGCAGCCATTTGCTAAAACCAAGTTAATTATTTTCTTCCCCTCATTAATGTACCCCACATTGACAGGAAAAACACAGAATTGTAGAAATTTCTGCAGATTAATTTAATAAAAAAAACTGAAATAGCACACGGTATTAAGTACTCAGACCCTTTGTTCATTATTTAGTAGAAACACCCTTTTGAGCTAAAACAGGCACGAGTCTTCTTGGTAAAGATGCAACAAGTTCCTTACACCTGGATTTGGGAATTCGCTGCCATTCCTCCTTGCAGATCCTCTCCAGATGAACGTTGGAGAAGAAACTTTTAGGTCTCTCCAGAGATGCTCACTGGGGTTTAAGTCAGAGCTCTGGCTGGACTAAAGAACAGTAGCAGAGTTGCTGTCAAGCCACTCCATTATTTTAGCTGTGTGCTTGGGGTCATTGTCATGTTGGAAGTTAAACCTTCGGCCAAGTCTGAGGTCCTGAGCACTCTGGAGAAGGTTCTTGTCAAGATATCCTTGTACTTGGCCGCATTCATTGTTCCCTCGATCGCAACCAGACGTCCTGTCCCTGCAGCTGAAAAACACACCCCATCACCTGGTTTTCTCCACACATACCGCCACTAAGTTCCATCTTGGTCTCATCTCACCAGAGAATCTCATCTCGGGGTCCTTCAGGTGTCTTTTAACAAACTCCGTGCATGCTTTCGTGTGTCTTGCACTGAGGAGGGGCTTCCAACGGGCCGCTCCGCCATAAAGCCCTGACTGGTGGAGGGCTGCAGTGACGGCTGACTTTCTACAACCTGACTGCATCTCTGGAGCTCAGCCACAGTGATCTTTGGGTTCTTCTCCCCTGGTAGCTCAGTTTGGCTGGACGGCCTGCTATAGGAAGGGTTCTGGTCATCTCAAACATCTTCCATTAAAGGTTTATGGAGGCCACTGTGCTCTAATCAGTATAATCAAGCACAGCTGGACTCCAGTAAAGGTGTAGGACCATCTCAACAATGATCAGAAGAAATGGAAACACCCGAGTTAAATATATATACAGCAACGGGTCTGAATACTTAGGACGGTGTGATGTATTTTTAAATAAATGTGCAGAAATTTCTGAAATTCTGTGTTTTTTCTGTCAATATGAGGTGCTGTGTGTACATTAATGAGGAAAAAAATGAATTAATTGATTTTAGCAGAGAGCTGCAATATAACAAAGTGAACAATTGAAGAGGGGTCGGAATACTTTCTGTACCCACTGTAGCACTTCCACATTATATTAATACTCACCCTTGATTACAAATGACTTTAGCCGTGTCACCATACAGAGTGTCTCCCTTAGGGTAATCAACGTTCCCGTTTTCCACTTCAGGATAAGCTCCACAGTTCTTCCCTGGAACCAAAGCTCAGACACTCAGTTACTGGACAATAGCATGCATCTAATGTTTGTGAGATACTCTGTTGAACAGGGCAAGTTACCATTAATAAAAGTTTCAATTTTGACATTATAATTATTGCAAGCATGCAGCAAAGCAGTGATGCTAGCACATGGGGTTCCTACAAGGTTTCCAGGTACAAACACTAATCCAGGCGGGATTTATGGAGTCGTTGGAAGGTGTGCATCCTGTTACATCTGGTATAAATCTGGCTGCGTTTCACAGACACTAAATCAGAATAATCAGATGTGGAGGTGGTAGTGTGATGGTCTGGGGCTGCTCTGCCGCTTCAGGAACCCGGGCCACTTACTGGAACTGATGAAACCATGAATTCTGCAGAACATTCTGAAGGAGAATGTCTGACCTTTGACCAAAACATGCAAACTCTATGCAAAAAGGCTGCCACTGGGTGTTTAATCTGCAACCTTTTAGCTGCTATCATGCAGCCCCTTTCCCTCCATATTCTATTTTATTTGTCCATAATGTTAAAATTTTCTAGATTGCACAGGAACCCGGTGAATCCGGCTACATTTAAATATGCAATTGAATGATATTTACTCTCGCAAACCAGCGACACACGACTCCAAGTCCCAGCAGTACAAGTGATGGATGAAGACCCTCCAGCAGGTGTGTAGCCAGTGTTACAGGAGAAAGAAACTTTGGAGCCATCTGGAAATGTGTTTTGCAGAATGGCATCTCCCTTCAAATACATGTTAGGCCCTCCAATTGGTTTAGAGCAGTCTTGAGCTAGAACACAAACAAAAAGGAGAAGTGATGAGCAACGTGAGGAGTGGATGTACAGTAATTACAGGCAGGTTAAGTTTGATCTGCTGCCCGGATTGAACTCACCTTGAGCTATAATAGCAAGGCCAAGAAAGCTCAGTAGCAAGAGGGCAGTGACACCCATGGCCGGATCTGACACAGTTAATCTGATGACAACAACAACAAGCTCATTTAGGTTAAGAAGACAGAAAAATGTAGAAAGGAAGATCAGGTGTTCAACTAGAGAAGGTTCGATATAACAAGCAGTTTTCTAGGTTATAATTGGAACATTGCGCCTTTCGGGTTTTGTTTATGTTTGACATCCTGATTTGATTAGCATGCCAACACAAGAAAATGTAAATAACAATTATTATTATTAAACCACATCATGCCACAGTAGTTGCCTATTGATCCCGTAAGCAAAATAAGCCACGGCGGATAATAAAGACAAACAATTATCACACAAACCCTAACAAAACGAGCAAACTCCCGTGAGCTGTATGCGTCACAGATAAAATAGCTACTGTTAACCCTTAATTACACCCCACTGTAAAACAACAAATGCCGAACGCTCTAACACAGTTTTGTGGGTAGAGAAATCGACTGAAATGGGTTGTCCATAATGTCTGAATATGTGTAACGTGAAATAAGCTTTTAAATTAGACGTAAATATCACTAAGTTCTATTAGTTAGCTGTAGGTTAGCTAGCGAAATAGCAAATAACTAGTGGTGAGTGATGACTGTTTGGTTTGTTAGCTTCCTTTAAATCTTTCTTGGTTTCATGTAAAAGTGAGATCTGTTCAAACTTACCACACCTCTCAACTACACGCGAAGACTCACTGGTGGTAACCTCCACGGTTAGCTCGCTGCTGCCCGGAAGTGGGTGCGGTCCAAAGAAGTCGCAGAGATCGTCGCCAGTAAGGAAAGCCAATGTATCATATAATAAGCTGACTTAACCAGTCGAAATTCTGAATGATTTTCGTTATGTGCACAATCTACATTTCAGACATCAGAAATGTCATTGGTCCCAGTGTATTAGGGTTATATCTGTTGGATCTGTGTATCTGTTTCGTCTGTTGTTTGGTTTGAGTAGTAGGGTACATGTCCATTTCTTTAAAAAGAGGACAGGATGTGCGTGAATGTGTGGCAAAACCACACAAACCACGTTGGTACCATTACTTTTCCAGGTGAAGAGTTAAAAATTAAAATCAGATTCTGCCAACAGAATTGGGGCTCTAAAACAATTATATGTAAACATTTTGCATATTTATTGCATCAATCTCATTTTCTGCTGCTTTTAGTGCTGCAACAACATTATATTAATAAGAAATATGTGTTTTACTACAGCATCGGTAAAGCTTCCTGTGCACAAATTATTAAGGATGCTTGTTTCAGAACACTCTTCACTCACCAGAAGCATCCAGGGAGCAGACATTGAGGTGGTGGATTGCTTTAAGTACCTGGGTGTTCACCTCTACAGAAAACTGAACCAGTCCAAAAACACAGATGCTGTCTATAAGAAGGGCCAAAACCGCCTCCACCTCCTGAGGAGGCTGAGGTCTTTCGGACTTCATTCCCAGCTGCTAAAATCATTGTGTCACTCTGTGGTTGGCTCTGTTATCCACTTTGCTGTGGTCTGTTGGGGTGCAGGCAGCTCTGACCAGCACAGGAAGACACTGAACAAGCTAGTTCACAAAGCTAGCTTGGTTCTGAGCGGTTCTGAGCTGCTCAATGGATTCAGTTGAGGAGACGTGTGAAAGGAGGATGCTGGGGAAGATGACCACTGTAATCACCATCTAATTGACCACAACATAACCTTTCATGCACAGACAAGGCTACACCATTTGTCGGGGCCCAGAATCCCAAAACAACCACTTATTGTTCCTCAAAGGAGACATAAACAGTCTCACTCAAGGTCTCCTGCAAAGGTCCTGCAATCTCTGCGTAAAAGCCAGACTCCAACATTCTTCACTCTGAATAAAGTGAAGCCTAGATGACTTTACAACTCATAAGCTTAAATAATCATATGTGATGAATGAACAAGATGTTTCAATGAAATGTTTGAATAATCTGTGCTCAAACCAATGATGGCTTTAAAATGAATATTGCTCTTAGAATGATCCATTCATTTCAGATGTCACCTACATCGAATCAGTATGTGTCGATTAAACAAGTTAATCAATGTTTAAACTCATACACATTATAGTAAAATACAAATTAAGGTTAATATTTACCTCGCATAAGAGTTTTAAACATTCTCATTCACAAAGTGTTAAAAACATCTTTGTTTCTGAACAAGGCGTGTATTCTGAGGAATGTTTTGGTGAGCCCTCAAGATATGGCGCATTCTGATTCGCCAGAATTGATAAATAATGAGTTTGTTAACCCTCCCACTGTCTTTAAGGGGGACCCCGCGAGGAAAGTTGACCATTGAGCAGTACTGATGGTTGAGGTCCTCGTGGCAGGGGTGAGGTGGTGCTCACTCCTCACCCCTGCCACACGGACCCAAGGGATAAACCATGAACCCTGCTCAATGGTCAACTTTCCTCGCAGGGTCACACCCATTAGGACAGTGGGAGGGTTAAAACAGGAATTACTTCCTGATTCATTGAGTTTTTAGCTGACTCTCGAACCGGCCAATTCGGGAACAAGCATTTTTGAAACCATCTTCTCCTTTGACCTCCAGTCAAAGCCTCTCTGCAACGCTGCGGCTGATACCAGACCAACGGCTCTTCTAAGAGCTAAACAAACAGCCTTAGACACAACCAAGCATTCCAACTTCCTGCCGTCACCTGGAGAAATCTCAGACTAGACGGGTCCTATCGGAGGTAGTCTATGGGTTTCTGATATCAGAGGTTCACTCCACCGGCCGTGACCATCGACCCCCTGGATCGAACGAGAATTTCCACACAAAGTGTGCGTAGACTAGGCACAGATTGCGTTGGACGGTTTTCAAATAAACAACTCTCTAGTTATAAACAAACAACAAATTATTTTACAACCCAGACTGCACTAACTCTCTCATATACAAAGGAAGGTTTTGCTAAAACATCTAGCTTCCATTACAACATTTCACACATCACATTAAATCACTTCATATCATTACATCACATCTCATTATTCATTTCTTGTCATGTTTAATCATTAGTTTAGGAAAAATAATTAAATTAATTTTATAAACTATATACCTGACTCTGTCTGAATGAATACGAAGTGTGTTTATGGTCCCTGAAGAAGCTAAGAACCCTAGAATCTTCTGATTAAACATTCAAAGATCAATCATGTTGATGTTTCAAATGTATATGGAATCATCACTTCTTATTGGTCACAATATAGTGTCAATCATATCATAAATCATCACGCTTCACCACCATCTTAAGAAAAACACCCACCCACTGGGTTCCACTGTGGAGACCATGGACGGCTCCTTCAGAGGCAGACTGAGACATCCCAGATGTAAAACAGAATGCTACCATGCGTCATTCATCCCCTCTTCAGTAAGAGTGTAGAGCTCAACAGGTTGAGCGGGTTGTCCAGTAATCGGAAGGTTGCAGGTTCAATCCCGGCTCCGGACAGAGAATTCTGCTGTTGTATCCTTGGGCAAAACACTTAAGCCACCTTGCCTGCTGGTGGTGGTTGGAGGGTTCGGTGGCGCCTGTGCTCGGCAGCCTCGCCTCTCATCTCCACCAGTGTATGAATGTGTGTGTGAATGGATGAATGATACACTGTAGTGTAAAGCGCTTTGGAGTCCTTACTCTGAGAGGCTCTATACAAGTGCAGGTCATTTATCATTTATCATTTAAGCTGTACTGGCATTATTCTTTTACACAATAACACCAATGCAATATTCATTATGTGTTCAATACTCGTTCAACATCACATTAACATAGTATGTCCTTGTCTCTTGCAGTATGCTGCATGGTGTTGGAACCCAAGTTTTTTCTGTTTTATTCGTGGTTTTTACTGGTCGAAGGTTACAATTCTAGACTACTGCCTATGTGTATGTACATGCACCTTTGTTATTATTTATCTTCAAATAATTCCCTTAAGTGTTGGTGCTGCTGTAACAAGTGAATATCCCACTGTGGGATCAATAAAGTATATTCTATTCTATTCCATTCTACTCTATTCTATTCTATTCTATTCTATTCTATTCTATTCTAATAAAGTGGCATTTCAGACAGCCATTTAAAATATGAAAAACCTCCAAAGCAAAAGACAGCAGTAAGAACCGCCATAAGTAATATCTTATATAAATAGTTTCAGTCAGACATTACTTGAATAACATCTTGTGGCAATATATTTACAATATCTAAAAAGCTATATACACATTTTTATATAAATTAAGACCCTGGCGAGATCCTAGTTTAACTGAGTAGAAACATAAACATAAAAATAAAAAATACACATCAGATAGTTTTTTTTTTTCAGGTGTAATGATTTAAATTACATGTTATTTATTAAGCCATAAGACGTAGGATTCCATAGGAAATATGAAATCAACCTTATGGATCTGTGGGAACTGTTCAACCAGAAGATTGGAACTTTTTATTGCAGGGATTAGATAACAGCTTCGTATTCACTCAGAGACAACAGAAGAGAGAGAGTCAAGTTTAAAAGTTTAAAGAATTTATTACTAAACAAATTAAACTAGACTAACTTGAACACTACATGTATGGTGTAACTAAGGTGGATGAGATGGAAAATGGTGTAATGTGGAATGTTGCTCAGAACCAGCAAATCCGAAGAAGCGATTAGTTGTGATGGGAAATGAAGGTGATGTCTTCGCTCTAAGCTTTGGTTAGGAGATTCATAAACACATTCAACGCCATTTCGTCGGCCTACATACCCTGGTGGAAGTCCCCGTTAGATCAGGAATGTCGAGGTCCAGCTGGACCCTCTCTGGAACTGAAGCCGGTAGGAAAAGCAGCGGTTGCCGACCAGACCAGTCTTGAGATACTTCCGGGTCACAACAGTTTTGTTGGCCTCTAGTGAGACCCAAACCTGGGTCGTGATGGTTCAGCTTTTATTCTGAAAGGAACTGTTGCAGCAGTTGGAACAGCAACATATTTTATCCAGCTTGTCGTTGGTTCTTTCGGCTGAAGAGGAAAGTTACGGATTGGCCACTCCGACACTTCTCTAGAACGCTTTGAACTGGAGTTAGAGATGGCGTGGGCATAGTTTTATACTTCGGATGTTTTGGTTTATGGTCGAATGAAAAGAGGGCAGATTTACCAAGAACCACCAAAACCACGCCTCCGTCAGATCTGGCAGATTCTGATTGGATCAGTGAAAGCAACGTGTCATGTCGTCTCATGACGCTACGTGAGATCAGTCCTAATGGAACATTTAAAGTTATATTACTTATTATATTCTATAGAATCATAGTAAAGTAATTAATATTTTTTATTTCACAGATTGGTCACATCTTATTATTGACTAACACTTTGTTTGATTAGCTTTATTAAAACAGAGTTCTTTGATTTATTAAAAGGAGAGAGTCCTTTCTTCATTCTTCTCTTGAGCTGGAAAGAAGCAGTTTATAAGCAAATGTATGAGACCTTGAGGCCATATCTCATGCAGACTAGTTCTGTGTCAGAGGAGAGGGGAAAATTACTTTTGTTGGAAATCAGTCGTTTCATTCTGTTACACAGGATATTAATTACTGCTGATTAACTTTATTAATCTCTTACTATTGTAAGCTGAAGTGTACACATTTTCGTACGTTTAGTTTTAATTTGGTTTTGCATCTGGCAGTGTGAATGTTCTCTAGAAAAGGAAGGCTGCTGTTGGGCATTTTTTGAGCACATCTTACTTTGCATAGCCTTCTTCTCAGCCTCGGAACACCTCCGATTGCAGATGGTTATGGAAGATGTCAGTAAAGTTTCGACCACACGGTTCCAAAATTCTTTATTAACAGTTTGAGTTTTGCTTTCGTAACTTTTCCAGAGCATCAGATGTTAATGACTTCATCATAAAACCAGGACACAATTCAGCTTCTGTTCACCAACAGAATGATTGGTACAATAACAATGGAGAGCATTTTACTCACGCTTCATTAACTTTAATGAAATGTAGGAATGTCTCTGACAAGAGAATGGATAACCATTTACATAGAAAACATGTTATTTTACATGTTGTTCAGATATGGACAAATCACGTATTTCTACCCGATTTCTAATGGGATCGTTACACGTTTCTATCACACAGGGGGTTAGGACAACTTATATGCACTCATCTCAAATCCAGGTGAACATGTGTACGTGATTGAAGCCTAGTGTGGAGGCTGAGAACCTTCAACAAACTCAACATTGGGAATGGTAGGATTTTTGCAATAAACTGTGAAAAAAAAAATAGAAAATGTATAAAAATAAACCTTTGTTATTGCAAATATGAGTGGATTTGGAAGATGAAACACAAAAACACTTACAGACACAGGTTGGAGGACCTAGCTGGAAGTTCCCATCTTCAGAACATGTGAGTAGTGGCGCTTCACTGAGAGCGGTATTATTTAAACAAGTGTAGCGCACAACGTCTCTAAATGAGTATTGCTCTTTTTATGGACCATAGGCACCATTTGCAATTGTTTTAGGTGTGTCACATGTCACCGCTGGAAAGGAGAACATCCTCTGTTAGACTACATTTCTAATAAAATGAAGGAACACACAAAAACCACCAACCTTCACACACAGGAGGCCTGCCAGCTTGACCAACCAAATTATAACTAAGTAGTGGGATTATAAAAAAGAGCACAAAAGTTTAGCTAGGCAACTTTATTTCAAATAACACTGAAGGTCAAGTTAGCTTAGAAAAAAGTTCATAATCTGCTTGGTTTGTGAACACATTATAATCCAACACAGTGGCTACGGAAAATAATCAGACCTCATTAATTCTTTACTCGTTACAATGCAACCATTTGCTAAAATGAATTAAATTAATTTATTATAACCAGTTGTCCTGTCCCTGCAGCTGAAAAACACCCCCACAGCATGATCCTGCCACTGCCATGCTTCACTATAGGGACTGTATTGGACAAGTGATGAGCAGTGGCTGGTTTTCTCCACACATACCGCCAAACCTTCTATCTTGGTCTCATCAGACCAGCGAATCTTACTTTTCACCATCTCGGGGTGCTTCAAGTGTCTTTTAGCAAACTCCATTCAGGCTTTCAGGTTACTTGCACTGAGGAGAGGCTTTAGATGGGCCACTCTGCCATAAAGTGCTTACTAGTGGAGGGCTGCAGTGACAGTCGACTTTCTACAATTTTCTCCCATCTCCTGACGGCATCTCAGAAGTCAGCCACAGTGACCTTTGTGCTCTTCTTTACCTCTCACACCAAGCCCCCCCCCCAGTTGCTCAGTTTGGCCAGACGGCCTGCTCTAGGAAGGGTTCTGGTCGTCCCAACCATCTTCCATTTAAGGATTATGGAGGCCACTGCTCTTAGGAACCTTAAGTGCAGTAGAGATGTTTTTGTAACCATGGCCAGATCTGTGCCGTGCCACAATTCTGTCTCTGAGCTCTTCAGGCAGATCCTTTGACCTCATGATTGTCATTTACTCCGACATGGATTGTGAGCGGTAAGGTCTTATATAGACAGGTGTGGCTTTCCTAATCAAGTCCAATCAGTATAATCAAACACAGCTGGACTCCAATGAATGTGTAGGACCATCTCAACAATGATCAGAAGAAATGGAAACACTTGAGTTAAATATGAGTGTCACAGCAACGGGTTTGAATACTTAGGACGGTTTGATATATCAGTTTGTCTTTTTAATAAATATGCAGAAATTTCTGAAATTCTGTGTTTTTTCTGTCAATATGAGGTGCTGTGTGTACATTTAGGGGAAAAATAATTTATTTGATTTTAGCAAACAGCTGCAATATAACAAAGTGAACAATTGAAGAGGGGTCGGAATACTTTCTGTACCCACTGTAGCACTTCCACATTATATTAATACTCACCCTTGATTACAAATGACTTTAGCCGTGTCACCATACAGAGTGTCTCCCTTAGGGTAATCAACGTTCCCGTTTTCCACTTCAGGATAAGCTCCACAGTTCTCCCCTGGAACCAAAGCTCAGACACTCAGTTACTGGACAATAGCATGCATCTAATGTTTGTGAGATACTCTGTTGAACAGGGCAAGTTACCATTAATAAAAGTTTCAATTTTGACATTATAATTATTGCAAGCATGCAGCAAAGCAGTGATGCTAGCACAAGGGTTCCTACAAGGTTTCCAGGTACAAACACTAATCCAGGCGGGATTTATGGAGTCGTTGGAAGGTGTGCATCCTGTTACATCTGGTATAAATCTGGCTGCGTTTCAGAGACACTAAATCAGAATAATCAAATGTGGAGGTGGTAGTGTGATGGTCTGGGGCTGCTCTGCCGCTTCAGGAACCCGAACCACTTACTGGAACTGATGAAACCATGAATTCTGCAGAACATTCTGAAGGAGAATGTCTGACCTTTGACCAAAACATGCAAACTCTATGCAAAAAGGCTGCCAACCTTTTAGCTGCTATTATGCAGCCCCTTTCCCTCCATATTCTATTTTATTTGTCCATAATGTTAAAATTTTCTAGATTGCACAGGAACCCTGTGAATCCGGCTACATTTAAATATGCAATTGAATGATATTTACTCTCGCAAACCAGCGACAAACGACTCCAAGTCCCAGCAGTACAAGTGATGGATGAAGACCCTCCAGCAGGTGTGTAGCCAGTGTTACAGGAGAAAGAAACTTTGGAGCCATCTGGAAATGTGTTTTGCAGAATGGCATCTCCCTTCAAATACATGTTAGGCCCTCCAATTGGTTTAGAGCAGTCTTGAGCTAGAACACAAACAAAAAGGAGAAGTGATGAGCAACGTGAGGAGTGGATGTACAGTAATTACAGGCAGGTTAAGTTTGCTCTGCTGCCCGGATTGAACTCACCTTGAGCTATAATAGCAAGGCCAAGAAAGCTCAGTAGCAAGAGGGCAGTGACACCCATGGCCGGATCTGACACAGTTAATCTGATGACAACAACAACAAGCTCATTTAGGTTAAGAAGACAGAAAAATGTAGAAAGGAAGTTCAGGTGTTCAACTAGAGAAGGTTCGATATAACAAGCAGTTTTCTAGGTTATAATTGGAACATTGCGCCTTCCGGTTATGTTTATGTTTGACCAGTGGCGTGTCCAGCTCTTTTAAAATGGGGTGGCCCAGGTGAGGCACAACTTTGTGCATGGGTGGCACCAATGGTTATGCTTTTTTTGTTTTACCCCCAAGCCTTTTGTGGACAATGAAAAGCCCATTTAAAGGTAAATTAGTGTGGTGGAACCTGGCGTGGCCAATCAGATTCCAAGGGTGGCATGTGCTACCCCAGGCCACTCCCTGGACATGCCCCTGTGTTTGACATCCTGATTTGATTAGCATGCCAACACAAGAAAATGTAGATAACAATTATTATTAAACCACATCATGCCACAGTAGTTGCCTATTGATCCCGTAAGCAAAATAAGCCACGGCGGATAATGAAGACAAACAATTATCACACAAACCCTAACAAAACGAGCAAACTCCGTGAGCTGTATGCGTCACAGATAAAATAGCTTTCTTAGCTACCTAGCTTCCTTTAAACCTTTTTTGGTTTAATGTAAAATTGAGATTTGTTCAAACTTACCACAAATGCAAAGACTCACTATGGCAGTAACTTCCTCCAGCTTACTGCTGCCTGGAAGTGGGCGTGGTCCCTAACGTCAGAATAATTCACACAGCTCGTGGTGCTGTTTGGAAAGCCAATGTATCATACAATAAGCAGGCTTTTCTAGTCAAAATTCTGACTGCTTTTTATCATATCTACAATCTACATTTCAGATTGGTTTCAGTTTGTTGATGAAGAGCATTCCTAATAAAATTGCATGTCATATAGTCATTTAAAATATTAAAAACTACCAAAACATCTCTAAATCATAACAGTACGGACCACCAGTAATAATATCTAATATCCATGCTATTATTAATAAATTGTTTCAATCAAACAGTATTTGAATAACATCTTATGGCAATATATTTACAATGTCTATACAGCTATGTATACTTTTTTGTAATTAAGACCTTGGTGAGATCCCAGTTTAACTAAGTGGAAACATAAACATAAAAATAAAAAATACACAGATTGTTTTTTCAGGAAATTAATAATTGCCTATTAACTTTATTAATCTCTTGTTATTGTACGCTCAAATATACACTTTTTTGTACATTTAGTTGTGTAAGAGTGGTAAATGTAGTGCTTTAAGAGCTTAATATATTATCTCTACTTATGACCAATAAGCTGTGATACTCTATACAAATATAGAATATCAACCTGCTTGGTCTTTGGATGTTTAATCAGAAGATTCTAGGATTCTTTGTTTGTTCAGGGATTGTAGATCACTTCGTCTTGATTCACGGAAAGAGTCAGGTTTATAAAAAGTAAGAATTTGTTTTCCAACAATTAAAAACATGACAAGTTAACTAATATTACTGTGTGTGGATGGATCTAGGTGGATGGAATGTGATGTATGGTGCCCATGTGTGAATATGATGTTATCAGAACTTTCGTATTTAGAAGAGCTGAGTTCTGGGTGAAAAGGGGAAGAATTTGGTTTGTGTTAAGTTACGAAGTTGATTCGTATCAAAGCCACATCAGACGCGATCATACTGCGTCTACCTCACCATTTGGAAGACCCTCTTCGTGGATCCGAAGGTCAGAGAGGTCGGATGACCTCTGGCACTGAGGTTGTAGAATGCCCGCAGCACCGACCCTTCTGTCCAGAGATGTTTTCCGGGTCACTACAGATGGATGGAACCATTTGCATCTAGAAGGACTCTTAGGGAGTCGGAACAATATCAGCTTTGTTCTGCAGGAACCGTTTGCTGTGTCAGCGGTAGGCAGCTTTTAGCAGCTTGCCAAAAATGCTCAAGGTTAAAAAGTTTTCCCTCTGGATGGCCGTTCCGTAGCTCTTTCTCCAGAACTGAATGCTGAATGATGGAAAGCTGGAATGTGACTGCCGAATCACCAGAGTGATTCTGTTTTAATATTCTCATGTTATGAATTCTTGGCCAATCAGAACGTGCCACGTTAAGGGATATTACAAAGACAACCTCAGACATCACACCTTAAGATGCCGGATGCTCTGATCTGGGGTAAAGAAATATCATTGTGTCATGAGTTTAACTGAACTTTAATTTGTCCTTGTGTCTGGGAGCGGGTGACAATTGACTTGTCCTATCAAACATTACTGATTACCATATATATATAAATCATTCTATGTAATAATTAATTTCATTTCAGTAATTCAAGCACAGATCAATCAACCTTATTGATTTAAGCACAGATTAATCAAAACATTATTATTATCCATATTATTCGAATGATTAACTCGTATAGGCTGAAAACAGCCAATCCAGTCCGTCCTAGATAACCAGGCAGGCTTGGCACAGAAGGGCCTTGAGAAGGGAACAGTTTGTTGACACTTTATTACCATGTGTTCCGAGCTGCAAAGAGGCCCGGGCTCCAGCTGATGGAATAGGATCTGGCAGATTACGAGCAACACATGCAGACTCCTGTCTCCATGTAGACCAGATACTGAAGGGGTCAAACTGTACATGAAAACTGACAATTTCTGGACATTACAGTTGCATTTAGTTTTAATTTGGTTTTACATCTGGCAGTGTAAAAGTCCTCTAGAAAAGGGATGCTGCTGTTGGCCTTTTCTTGAGCACATCTTACTGTCACGTTGAGAGGATGGTTTGGACCTGAAATGCAGTAACCCAGGATGACACGAGGCAGAAGTGGATATGAAGTAAAAATCCTTTTATTTTAGGAGGCTGGGCATAAATCCAAAGGCAAATGCTGGCAAAAAAGAAAAAACAGAAGCTCTTTCATGAGCAAGATCAGGAGAACACACGAGACGGACATGACAACACTGACAACGACAATGGACCGACAAGACACAGAGACAAGACAGGGCTTAAATACACTGGGGTATAATGGGAGGCAGATGAGCTGCAGGTGTGTGGAGTGTGGGGGGAGGACCAGGTGAAAGCAATGACTATTCAGGGAAGAAACTAACATGACCTAAGAGTGAACCTAAAAACAGAAAAGCAACCATATAACTAAAATTCTAAAGGGAAGGAGTACTACAAAAACCGGTGGGACAAAATGTATTAAAGAGACTAAAAAATGAAAAGCTGAAACTATAAACACTGCAGAGGGATGACTGGCTTCAGAGGGGTGACTGGAGAAGACTAAAGGAACACAGGAGACACATAAATGAGATGCAGACAAAGGACACATGAGGGCGCTATGAAACACAAAAGGAGAACCTGGAGTGGGAACTGGAGGGGCTGGGGAACAAAGGGACACAGAACATGACACTTACTTTGCATATTCTTCTTCTCAGCCTCAGAACACTTCCGATCCCAGGCGATTATAGAAGATACCGGAAAATTTTCTACCACACTATTTCAAAATTCTTTATGAACAATCTGAGTTTTGCTTTCATAACTTTTCCAGAACTTCAGATTTTAAAATGACAGTGTGTAATTTTCCTGGTAATAGGGGAAGTACTTACCTAAATGATATCAAGCAAGCATTACTTTTGTGTTCAAGTGCCGACAGATGACCGTTAGGGTCAAAAGTCCCTGGGAGCACAACCTCCAGCTAAATAACATCAGATTCTCTTTCATCACTGGCAACGAGTGAAGAGGTAAATGTGTAAAACAACAACGTTAATAAACGGTGAACATTTCGTAACCATTTGTTACAGATCAGTAAATGTGTTTTGTTCTCACGGGCTTCCGTAGAAGGAAACAGGTTATCCAATATGGCGTCGCCCAGAAACTTAGACCCGCTCCCATGTATTTGAGAACAGATTTTTATGGTTATATGTTATGAAACTGTCAACATCTTTCAACAACTGGACATATTTTAATTCATTTACATCAAAATTGCGATGGATATTTCCAGAGACTAACAGTAAAAACTACAAATTGTCACTTTAATGAGTTCATCATAAAACCAGGAGGAGACAGCACATCTTCTGTCCACCTCCAACAGAAAAATTGGAATGGAGAGCATTTTACTCATGCGTCATTAACTTTAATAAAATGTACAAATGTCCCAGATAAGAGAATGGATAATCATTTACATAGAAAAACATGTTATTTTTTATGTTAAGATATTGACAAATCATGTATTTCTACTCTGCAATGGATTGGCTCTCTGTCCAGGGTGTAACCCCCCCCCCACGCGACCCTACGTGGACAAAGCGGATTCAGCCAATGGATGGATGGATGTATTTCTACCCTATTTCCACCTAATGTAGGGATCTTTACAAGCTTCTGTCACACGTGGCGTTAGGGCAACTTCTGTGCAGCTCTGTGTCACACAACCTCCCTCTCAGCCGTCAACCTCCTCTAGGGAGGCACCGCAGAGCCGCTCAGACTCCATTACCCAACATCCCTAGAGCCAGGCTTCTGTTTCACATCACCCGCCAAATCTATATAAGGAAGTGCCGCACAACGCCGGCTCACTCAGTCATCGTTCTAACCGAACCTAACCTAGAGTCCAAACCAGATCAGCTCAGATCACGAAGCCTGTTCAGATCAGACCAGCCAGATCTCAGAATCCTGCCTGTTCGTACAGATCAGCTTCAGACCAGGAGTCGCCGTGTTCAGCTGTGTCCCCATACAGCTGCGCACCCGGCTCCCAGATTAAACAGCGTGTCCATTCAACCCGGCGTCAGTCACTCCGCGCTTGGGTTAAAAGCCACGCCACATCCAAACTCTCGCCCAGCTCGAGTCACCCCGTTACACTCTGAGCTTTACACCTGATCATAGGACTATAGGACCCAGGCAGATGTCATTAAAAAAGCATGCCAAAAACATTATTAGCTTATGATGAGCCAACAGTCCAGATGAGTCAAACAAGCAGCTCCCTTTGATTTCATTTAAATGCCACTATATAACCAACCTGAGAGATAGGGTTTATGATCTGAATATAGTCCATGCTAATTAGAAAAGCAGTTTAAATTAAGTGAGATGTGTGTGATTTTTTAGATCCATGAGAAAAACTCAATCAGAAAGACTGAAATCTACATTTGTACAGCGGGTGGGAAAGTCATTCCAAACATTTTCTAGAGACTCTGTCTTACAAACCAAACATACTGGCCCAATATCTTAGTGATAACAAAGCAGCTTGGCATGCCGGACATTCTTACAGAGTGATGAATTAAACCCAACCCTATCGGGAAATTTTATTTACCAAAACTCTTTTATCTTGATTTTTCTGAGAAAGCTGTTAGTCTACCCAGGTCAGAATTATAGCACAACAAAAGGTTGACGTAAACAGGGAAAATGTTCAGAACAAAATGTATTTGATGCAGATTTCTATCAGAAATCATGTTAGGAGGTAAGGTTTTACTAAGGAGATGTAAAATCAGACAAACCCACATAACAATGTCAAGTGATGCCTTCAACTCAGAGAATAAATTACTCATATCCAACTATCAGTGCTGTCTGGAGTAGGAAAACATTTTTATTTTTCTGAATTTGTGCTGCACACATTAAGCCACCCCTTCGAATTATGACCCCACAGCCTTGCACCATACTGTCTGATTTAGCCCCATAAAACCATTAAACGCTGACTCCTGCTTCAACAAACAGAACAATGCTGCAATGTCTGTAATTCTTTAGAAATCTAAAAGATCTTTACTTACGATCAATAAAACTGCTCTCGTCATATAAAATAACAGAGGTGATCATTTTGAAGAACTGCCTGACTCAGTGGATTTAACATGTTGACTCAGACTCTTGGCCTTGTGTGAAAGAACTTTGGTAAACAATAAACCCACTAACTTCCAAAGAGATAGAGCTGTAAGGTCAAAGTCCCTGACAAAGCCTTAGTTGACCTTCTTCCTACTCCTGTTGTGTTTTGGTGTCTTCTTTAAGAAAATCTGAGAACGGCGCAGAGTTACGAATCAGGATGCAAACGAACCCCAGTGGTGTGCACTGGAGTGGGAGCCTGGTTTGTGTCCTAAAAATAGAGATGTACAGATGTTTTCCACCAGTAATCTCACTGATCATAATCTGACTTTGTTACTCTTGACATATCTATTTGCTACACATTTTGCTAGATTTCCATTACATTTAATTTCTGCAAAATAGTAAATCTAAGTTTGTGTAAGTTTTGTTCATTTTTTTCTGAATATGAATTGGAGAACATTTCAGGACTGACTGAAGGTGACAAGCGATTTAATCAACATACTGGGTATGGTGCATGTGCTGCCCTGTACAACTGGAACATTTGACTAAACAGTTCCTTGATCCAAGTGCTGATGTCCTGATCCCCGTATCTATCATCGTCTCAGAGGAGAATAGTTTCCAAATAAAGTCTGAGGCAATATTTGTAATGAGTTTATTAATGAGCCAAATCCAGATGCTAATGGATATACACAAATATTACAATTAATTCAATGTTTTTTATTGGTCCCTGCAGATTTGGGCATATATATGTCATATATATATATATATATATATATATATATATATATATATATATATATATATATATATATATATATTCTGCATGGAGTTTGCGTGTTCTCCCTGTGCATGCGTGGGTTCTCTCCGGGTATTCCGGCTTCCTCCCACAGTCCAAAAACATGACTGTTAGTTTGATTGGTCTGTCTAAATTGTCCTTAGGTGTGAGTGTGTGTGTGCATGATTGTTTGTCCTGTGTGTCTCTGTGTTGCCCTTCGATGGACTGGCAACCTGTCCAGGGTGTACCCCGCCTGATTGCCCATTGACTGCTGGAGATAGGCACCAGCCCCCCCCCCCCCCCCCCACCCCCCCACCCCCCACACACACACACACACACACACCCGCAACCCTACATGGACGAAGCGGGTTCAGACAGTGGATGGATGTATATATATACACACATATATATATATATATATATATATATATATATATATATATATATATATATATATATATATATATACATATACTGGGCTGCATGGTGGCGCAGTTGTTAGCACTGTTGCCTCGCAGACGAAGGTTGCAGGTTCGAAACTCGGCTGCAGCCTTTCTGCATGGAGTTGCGTGTTCTCCCCATGCATGCGTGGGTTTCCTCCGGGTACTCCGGTTTCCCCCACGGATCACAACATGCCCTATAGGTGATAAATTGTAAGTTGCTTTGGATAAAAGCGTCTGCCAAATAAATAAACATAAACATTAACATATAGGCCTGAGCAACACGCTTCTGACACACCTGCTGCTCACAGCATCGGACACTGAGTTTCGTGGTCAGCAGCCGTGGATCAATTCAAGAGTCCTGTCTGAAAACACTCATGGGAGCTACTGGGCCTCTTTTCTGTTTTCTGACAAACCCAACATAAACGGGTGCTTTCTGACAGGTCTGCATTCAGCTTCAGGTGTGGAAACATCAAACGGTTCCACTATTTTCACCCAGATATTGGTTCTCTAGGAGAACATCTGGAAAACAACAGGAGTTTCCTCTTCACTAATCACCAGAACTTTAGAACCGGCTCTGGACCAGAGAACCTTGTCCTAATGTGTAAAACCTGATATGTGAGATGTATACTGATGCAATCGTACGTTTTTGTATTGTGTACAAACAACAGAAAGCAAACTAAACGAAAGGTTTCCTGGAATCAAACAGTTTAAACTCTGCCTTGTTTAACCACCCATCTGCTCTGTAATCAGCTGGAGACTCTTGTGGTTGCCCTTTCAGAATCAGAATCAGAATCAGAAAAAGCTTTATTGCCAGCGCTCCAGCGACCCAGAGCATAGGAACTTGACTTCACAGCACAGCCTGACCAAGGTTACACACAAACATGTAGACAGAACAGATACAGGCAGACCACGAGAGCAGCCATAACGGCGCTCATTTCAAATAGATGAAAAGGGGATTACATGAGGATAAATTGGGGGAGGGAGAAAAAGGCATACCAGAGTTACTCCCGGCACTGCGTAGCTTTACTATGCAAAAAAACCGCAGCATCTGTCTGCATTCCTTCGTGGGGGTTTGTTGTTGGCATTCACAAGGCTGCCATGGCATCAGATTCGGATAACAAGACTTTGTTTGGGTCAGGCAGAGATAAATTTCCTCTCTGCCTTCAAGTCTGTAACTGATCATTCAAGTCCTCCAGTGAAGCCAATTCAGGTTTTACACATCTCCGCACCGTCCGGTGACCCTCTCCGAGATGACATCCATTTTGCGCACTAATACCCATAACGCAGCTAGAACGCTGTCCAGCTTACGATTCACCTCGAGTAACGTCCCAGTCTGTAAGGTCTCCACACGAACGGTGCTTTCCGTGGGTGCGGGTCACCCTCCAATCTCTCCCGTCTTCCCAAATTTCCAGAAAACCAGATATCCTCCCACTCCAATCAGAAGAAATCCAGTGATCATCAGGCCAAACATCCACACATCTTCAACGTCCTCAATGGACAACTGGGAGAGGCATATGATCCTCCATTCTTTCCAGGAATCGAGCATATACCCCGCCGGGTGTGTCCCTTGCGGGCAAGTGGGAGCCCCCTGCTCTGTTCTCATTGTTGAAAAAATCGTAGCAATCACGTTGAATGACCAATTTATCAAATCCATTTCTAAAAAATAGGGTTTTTCAGGAGAAGTGCAGAGAAGCGCTCTGTGGGCAGACAGGACAAAGAGCCTTGGGAAAAAAGATAAGGGAGCAAAAAGGGAAGCGTCTGTACTCTGCGAGTGCCAGAAGAGAAAAGGTGTCCTTGGATTTTTCATGAATAAGGTTTCTACTCTACGGGCCTCCATCTTCCCTGTAGTGTCCCGCAGGGTTCTGTGCTCGGACCATTACTGTTTTTGATTTACATCTTTCCTCTGGGGGATATGTTTTGTAGGTTAGGCATTAGCTTTCACATTTTTGCTGATGATCGTCAACTTTACCTAACCATGGGTTGGATCAATGATTCCTCAATGGACAATGTGATAGACTGTTTGCTTGAGATTAACAGGTGGATGTTGGGACATTTTTAGTGCCTCAATGATGAGAAGATGGAGGCCATCTTATTTGGGTTAAATGGCAGTATTGATGCCACTTCACATGAATGTGAACCTTTTATCTTCCAGGTAAAGGCATCTAGTAAATGTTGGAGTGAAGTTTGGGTGTCAATGCACATGTAAATGGAGCTGTCTCCTCCACTTTTTATCATTTACGACATTTGACAAAGATGAAACCATTTCTGACACAACATGATCTAGAGGCAGTAGCTCATGCTTTCATAACAGCCTGCACTGACCATTGCAGGCACCTTAGTTAGGCTGCAGCTTGTGAAAAATGTGACTGCCAAATTCCTAGAAGGTAAAAAGAAGTTTGATCGTGCTATTTCGGTCCTGGTTGCATTGCATTGGCTCCTCGTTGATTTTAGAATTTGTTTGAAAATCCTTTCATTGGTTTCTAAATCATTGCATGGGTTGGCTGCATCTTACTTGCAGACGCTGTTGCAGCTGTATACCCAGGTATGAACAGTTTGGTGGTACTTTTCAAAGTTAGGCTGAAGACGTTTCTGTATGAATTGGCCTTTGCTTCTGGCTGTTGGACTATCTCTGTTTTTAACCTGCTTGCTGTTTTTATTGTGTTTAAGATTATTTTATTTCTATTTTTCTATTTTATTTTATGTACAGCGCTTTGGTGTTACTTTTGTGCCTGTGAAGTGCTATCTAAATAAAGATTGAGTTAAGTTGAGGAACTTAAGTCTCTCAGCATCTTGCTCAGTCACTTTGTTTTCATCCTCATTATCTTGTACGTCCGCTCCTGCAGGAGCTGCTGTTTCTCAGCCTCCTTCTAACTGAGGAGGCAGACAGAGAAGAAGGAAAGACAGAGACCAGAAGAGAAGGGGCTGAAAGAGGAGGAAGTTCAGCTCCTAGAGATGCTCCTCACACCTGTTGTAGCTCATAGCTTCACCTTAACTCTGTGAGTCTTCATGCAGCAGCAGCAAAATCAGAGCTCACTCCTGAAGAACCAGAGAAGCCATCAGCTGATGCTTTAGGAGCAGCACAATCACCACTGGCAGCTGGAACGGGACTTTTGGATCCGAACCAGGCAACAAGCACCTCACTTGCTGATATTTTCATATCAACATCATGGACTGATCATCCAACATGCTACTATTTCCTAATTACATCAAATTATTTTGACAATGACCGAAGCATACCCTGTTTTCTCCCAATTTAACTAAAATGAGACATCCACCTATTATTCTACTATAATTACTATAATAAATGAATAGGTTTTGACCAATTTATCCTTTTAAAGTGTGTTAGTGATTTGCCGGCTGTACAGCGGTGAAGTGGTTAGCGCTGTTGCCTTGCAGGAAAAGGTCCTGGGTTCACTTACCGGGCCTGGGGTCTTTCTGCGAGGAGTCTGCATGTTCTCCCAGTGCAGTAATCAATTTCCCTCGAGGATTAATAAAGTATTTTTGAATTGAATTGAACGGAATTTAATGTGTGGGTTCTCTTCGGGTACTCAAGCTTCTTTCCACGGTCTAAAAATATGACTGTCATGTAACCACGATAACCTCTGACCCCACTTCCTCCAATCCCTTTATTGTGGCGGGAATGAACCCTGTATAAGTTCCGGGTAAATCTGCTGCATGTTCCCCGCTTACCTGGCTGCTGTTGTCCCTGTGGTTGGCGTACTTGTCAGATATTGACAGATTTTACACTACATTGACAGCGTGCAATAACCCGGCCGATTCATTCATCTTTACACCACCTCACAATCGACTCAACGGTCAGGTTTTTTTTCCGCGATCAGCCCTGATCAGCGCGGGATGGCGAGCCACCCAACCACCGCTGCATTGCGGTAGGATTTGCGAACCTTTGGGCTAAACTAAACGGTTAACACAGGACCTATCCCAGGTCCATGAACCTAAACTGATCTCATACTGGACTAAACCTCACCCCACCTCCTTTTGGAACTTAATAAGCTGTTTTGTATTGTCACCATTATTTTTGTTTGTGATGTATATGGTTATAGTTTTTTGTACATCTGTCTATATAATTCTCATAACATAATATATATATATATATATATATATATATATATATATATATATATATATATATATATATATATTCGAGCTCTCTTTTGGTTTCCTGTGTTCTATTCACACACTCAGGCTCCATAGTCGAAACTACTTCTGATAGCTCACTGTCTATGAAGTTGCAGTCAGGAGACCTGGTCCTTTACCGTGCTACAGTCAGGTTGATTGGTCTTGCTAAAATAGTCCTTAAGAGTGAGTGTGTGATTGGTTGTGTGTCTTGTGTGTCTCTGTGTTGCCCTGCGATGGACCGGCAACCTGTCCGGGGTGTTTGCCCGAAGACTGCTGGAGATAGGCACCAGCCCTCCGTGACTCTGCGTGGATAAGCGGGGTAAGAAAATGGATGGATGGATAGTGATTTGTCAGTTTTCACCTTTAAATATGAATATATTTTATTTTATATTTTTTTTTTAGTTTTTTGTCTCATTTACAATTATTATAATGCCAAAAAGATGAAAGTAGCTTGATTTCCAAAGTAACAGTCTGACACATTCAAATGGAAAACTCAAACAAAAACATGTTTAAAAGGTGTAAAGTTTGTAAAGTGGATAATAACATCTCTTCATAACGTATATGGGGTCCCCCCCCACCCCCCCCACCCCCACACACACACACATTAAACATTTAGCTGCGTCTCACTGAGGCGGGGTATTGTTGCAGTAATAGTGCAATGATGCAAAGTCTTTGCACATCTTGAAATGTTGTCGGAGAAGTTTGGTAATATTAGAACCACCAGAAGACTACAACAGTAAAGTCATGTAACCAAATACAGATTTCGCTTCAAATTAACCTTTTTCCTCCTCCTGTTGTGTTTTCTGAGTCTTCTTTTAGAACATCTGAGAACGACACACAGAGCCATGAGTAAGGACGCAAACAAACTCCAACGCAGCAGTGTGTACCAAAGAGGGACCCCAGTCCATGTCCTGGAAAACAAAGACGGAACAAATTAATCTCATGAGAAGGCTCTGATCATAAAGCCAGAGATGTGGTTTCACCTGCTGAGGAACACACTGTGATGTGTCTGATTGGCTTGTATGAACAGATCTGTGGTGATGGAGGGGAGTTCTGTGGCATCTCTGCAGGTTGTAGGAGGCGGAGTCTCAGCTGTGGTCGAGGTCATTCTGTCCAGACAGTTATAGATAGGCTGGTCTGATGATGACAACATGAATGCATTAAGCTAAAACTCGTCTCTCCAACTTTAAATGATTAAAAACGCTTCACATATTTAACAAATAAAAAAATCTTCAAGATAATTTCTTAATCCTTTACGTATAAAATCTAAAGCACTATTTCAACGTTGTCTGTTAACGTGTATTTTCCTAAAATCATGTTACAAATTAAGACAAATAAAAAGAAAGTAATTTAAATTTATAATGAAGAAGGCGGCGCTTCACAAGAACAACATTAAACGTTATTAATCTTTGTCAGTGTTGGGAGTAATGCGATACAAAAGTAATTAATTACTGTAATGCATTGCTTTTTGCTGTAATATGGTAATGTAAGGCATTACAGGGAAAGAAAATGGTAATATTTACTCGGTACAGTTGTCAGTAACGCGGTAATTACAATGCATTTTTAAACCCAGAATCAAGATGTGTTCCTTAAAAATTCAAATTGCGGGAAACCCGAAGAAAGATCCAGTATCTGCATATATTACGTCATTTATGGACTCAGCTTGCAGGCAGAGAGGACGCAGTGGTAACGGCTCAACTACTCCAGCTGCGTCCTGCACGCGGCCGCTGTAACATTCACAAAATCGCTCCACTAAAACAAAATAATTCACTTGCGATCGTTCATATCAGCGCATATTCTCTGGTATTTTGTGCTTTTCTGACGTTCTTTGCCTCAGCTGAGTTCATAATCTGTGCCCCGGTGATTTCAACTCATTGCTGCTGGAGCGCCGCGCATGTGAAGATCCCTTTGGCTGATTAGTTAGAAAGTAGGAAGTCTAGGAAACAGTTTTTCTGGAAGACGGAGAACACATGCAGCATGCAGGAAGGTTAGAGAGAGAAAGGGCCGGAAATTATTCAAATAAAATCAAGAAAAAAAGTCAGTAGATTTATCCCCAATACACATTTTTACCAGTGAAAAGCAATAATATATAAGCATTTAATATTTATACATGTGATAGAATCAGATCACCCCAGAAGTCAGTCCCACATCCAGGGCCGTATCAAGGCATTTGGGGACCAAGGCAAATATAGGCTTGGAGCCCCCACCACCTCACATCCTTCTCAGTTAATATAAGATGGCAGCATGCTGAGAGTACAGATTGTTGTTGCTTTTATTTAATAAACAATCATTTTAAAGCACTGTTATTATATCCGACTGTTTTTAACAGCAATCCTAGCTCAGACACCACATCACTGTCATGAGCTCACTGAGCATCAGATTACCAGATTCATACTGAAGTTGTTTTGGTAAAAGTAACTTAAAGTAATGCAAAAGTAGTGTAATGCCTTACATTTTAAAATCAGTAATATTGTAATGTAATGAATTACTTTAAAATGAGGGTAACAAGTAATAGATAATGCATACAGTTTTGAAGTAACTTGCCCAACACTGATCTTTGTCAGACATTCTCTGTTGTATTTTGGGCCTTTTTTATTTTAATGGCCTATAGTTTGGTCCAAACCTCCACGATCAAACCGACGGTCTCACATCTGGCTTCAGTACTGTGTGCAGAGGAGTTGTTGGTTAACTCTGAATGTGAGGAACACTCCACTCCAGTCTCATAGCTAGTTTAAGGTGTTGCATGCATTTTCTGCTCCGTTACCAAACCCCTCCGCTTTGATGTCACCGTGTCCAAGCGACATTGTTCCAGAGGTCTTCCAGTTTATTTAAATGTCACTTTGGAAACCCGCCATGCTGTCATTTCCTTTCAGAGAGAACAACACCCCTTCCTCACAAGCCACAGCTAACCTGCTGACTGGAACAGCAGCCTTTTAAAGTTTCATGCATTGTTCCACAGTCTGATGTAAGCGGGCTGGAAACAATCACTTCAAATAGATCCACTCCTGCTTACACACACCTGGATGCTCCAGATAAACTAACTGCTCAAACTCCTGCTTCTATGAGGGTGGTAGTGGTGGTGTGTGTGTGTTTGTGTGTGTGTGTGTGTGTGTTGGGGGGGGGGCTATTTGCGGCTGAAAGCAACCCCTCTCGTTCATGAACGCGCTCCTCTAGCTGGCAAAACAGAGCTAAGACACATTATATTACAGTTATGCTCATATTCTGTTGTTTTCATGTATTCATATTTGAAAGACTCACTTGCCCATGAGTAAGGTCACAACTCTGCATCAACCGAGCTGCGTCATTAAACACACGAGCACGCACTGTGAATGACATCTGTATTGAGCAATAGTCTAATGCTATTGGTTAGTGCTGACTGGCGCCCAGTTCATATTGCATGGAGCTGTATGGGACGGGGGCGGGCTCAGCAAAAGAGAAAAAAAGGTGTATTTCATACATTATGGTACATGATAAGACAATATGTATTTCTAAAAAATCATCCATAATTCCTGAAAGGTGAAAACACCAGATAGCAGCTTTATGGACTTGCTGAAAACATAATAATAATAATAATAATAATAATAACAACAACAACAACAACAACAATAATAATAATAATAACATTAATAATGTTTATGTTTATGTATTTAGCATACGCTTTTGTCCAAAGCGACTTACAGGTGATAAATAATAAGATACATTAATAATAATAATAATAATAATAATAATAATAATAATAATAATAATAATAATAATAATAATAATAATAATAACAATAACAATAATAATAATAATAATAATAGCAACCAAAATGTTTAATTCATGAATAAAATTCTGCCTAATGAGTGGCTGGCCAGTCTGAAACTCACACTTGCTGAGAGCAAATGCCCTCCAGCAATGAAGTAAACTTACAGAATCATAATTTCAACAAAATAAAATAAACATTTTATTTGGTCAAAATCTTCTTTGGCAGGTCAGAAAGGCAAAGCGGCATCGTCTCTAAATTCCAGAATTAGTGCATCACTTTTTTATGTTCTGATACATTAAAACCTTATTACTGAGACCCTTATTTTCTTTCAAGAGCAATTTGCTGTATAGATCTTTCTCTGACTCATATAAGCCACGTCACAATCACTGGGTGGGTGCCATCGTTCTGTTCAGCATAAAAATGAGGTGAAATTTTCCACAGGAGCCTATGGACCAAAGGAGGAATGACACAAGAGCTGTGAGTCAGTTAGGAACAAGAGGAAGTCAGAGCCCAGAGCCACAAAACATGAGTCCGTCGTAGCTGCTCTTCCTGCTTTCTCCACTGATAAACTAGACATGTTTGATGCTGATGCTTTCATATCATCACACCTCAGCATCACTAAAAACCCAGAGTGAACTCTCCAAAAGGCATCACGCCTCAGCCACAGTCATCACTGTGGTACCATGAAGCCAGAGGTTTGATGAGTCCTAAAAAGCATCTCTCACCTGGGATGTTAACAGCATAGATGCAGTTGCCGTTTGCAGACACCAGGACTTGCACAGACAGGACGTCGCTCTGCTCGCTGCCCACGCTGTTGCTGGCAGAACAGAAGTAATCTGTGCTGCTGGTCACCGTGCTGCAGTGTAGGCTCAAATATGGAGAATGACAATGCAGGACGTCCTCATGGAGAACACGCTGATACCAGGCATAGGAAATGTCTGTGCCTTTTGTAGATTCACAGCGCACAATTACTGATTCTCCCCAACACGTCTGTCTGTCCACCAGGGAGGTCAAGGGCCAAAGTCTGGGTTTGGAGACTGGAACTGGCACAAAGACATGAGACGTCAGCAAAGAAGCTCTTGACAATAAGCAATGCTGTCTTGCACTTTCTATTGATTTTGCAAAAGCATTTGATACTGTAGACTATTCAATCTTGATTGATCGACTTGTAGAAATTGGCTTTTCTAACCAGGCTGTAGGATGGTTCAAAAATTACTTATCAAACAGGACCCAAGTTGTACAGCTAGATGGTGCTGTTTCTGAGGAACTTCAGTTAGATAAGGGAGTCCCACAGGGATCAATTCTTGGTCCATTACTTTTCACCCTCTACATAAATAACATTGGTCTAAGTATTCATAATGCTAAATTACATCTTTATGCAGATGATACAGTTATTTATTGTTCTGCCCCCAAATTCTTTTTTTTTAACCGTGTCCTTTCTGGCTGTGAAGCAAACAGAATTGATGTCTGAATGCTGGTAACAAGCCTTACAGATTTACTCTCAGGTGGAGCATCAAAGCATCTGCTTTTAATGTCACGCCTGATACTTAAAACTTTATTGTTGTAGTTTTTGAATGCTTTGTAATTCCAACCAGGCACGGAGACAGAGGTGAAAGAGAAAGGAAAAGAAAAAGTGGGGAGATGGGGGGTCCACAAAAATAAACAATAATGAACAAGAATCTGCTTCTAGACCTGCAGAAAGAGAAAGAATATAAAAAAATGGGACACACAACAATACATCGGGAGCAAGCTATCACTGCATCAGCCTGATGTTGAAATATAAAATCAACATTGTTTAACTGAACAATCACACGATAATAAATCACAGTGCATTTAGTGGCAATGACAGCCTTAAGACATGTGTTGAACGTGCCCAAGCCCATACTTATGAGAGCACCATGTGAGCACCTGTGTGTGTACACGCGCTTGTTTATGTAAGGTTTCTCTATAGGAGCGTCTAATAGAGAGTGTGAGGGACCACAGATCTGCCCCCAAAGATGTGTAGGAGACGGGGGAGCTCCAAGTCCCAGAGATCCAGGCACTGCCCCAGAACACAGGAACCCCAAGGAGACTGCAACCAGAAAGGCCCCCGCCCCCCTCGAGAGGCACAGAGGACCGCCCCCGATCTGCCCCAAATTCTACAAAGGCATTTCAGGATCTCAATCAGCATTTGAACAAGTGTAAGAACAATTGTGCTTTTTGTGGCTTTTACTAAATGCTGATAAAACTAAACTTATGTTTTTCTCTTAGTCGAAAAGACAAACAGAGAATAGGTCAATTTCTACGTGGTCTGGGTCATCAGATTGAACTAGTTTCTAGTTTTAAGTATCAAGGTTCCTTAATTGACGATAAGTTGTCTTTTAAGCATCATATCCAGTATTTAACCAAAAAGTTGAGATTTTTATTAGGATTTTATTACAGAAATAAATCTTGCTTTTCTTTTACGGTAAAAAAGAAGTTAGTAGAATCAACATTTATGTCTGTAATAGACTATGGAAACATCTTGTACATGAATGCCCCTGTGCACTGTTTGAGCATGTTGGACAGTGTGTATCATAGTGCCTTGCGCTTTATCCATGATGTAATTTTCACTTTAGAAGTGGGGGGGGACACGGGGGTGTGGGGTGTGTGCGTGTGTGTGTGTGTGTGTGTGTGTGTGTGGGGGGGGGATTCTTTACAGTATACTCTAATGGGAAACAGGCTTTTCCGCTTGGCCCTAGAGCTCAACCAGTGTCAATTTAATATAGCGTAATATTGTTTTTGGATGGTTAAAAAGTGCAGGGGTCAAAACTTGACTTTGGAAAAAGTGGGGGGGACATGTACCCCTTGTCCCCCCCCCCAAAATTACGTCCATGCGCTTTATAACAAACTGTCGGCCTCTTACCCATCACTGCTTGTTATATTCAAAAGTGAATTGGTCTTCATTGTGGGTACGTCGACACATGCCTTGGTATGTTTTTATTCATAAAGCTGTATGTGGATATTTGCCTTTTTATTTATCACGTCTTTTATCAAGAAAGCGGAATCAGCTCAGCCTCCGCTCAAGTGAACTTTTGCAATTTGTTGTTTCTAAGGTTCGCACAGAGCTGGGAAAGACGGCTTTTAGCTTTGCTGCTCCGTCTACATGGAATTCACTACAGAAAGATCTAAAAATCAAGGGTTTGGTTTCCTTGAGTGGATTTAAGACTCTGATTAGGTCAGTGGAATCCAGATTATCAGTGTGTTCATGTTTTAATTGAGTTTATGTGGAAATGTATTTAAATGTGAATGCATTAATGTTGTAGCTTGTGCTGCTGCTCTGTCTGTCTTGGCCAGGTCTCCCTTGCAAAAGAGATCTTGGATCTCAATGGGACCAACCTGGTTAAATAAAGGCAAAATAAAATAAAAAAAAGAAATGTCACCTGCTCTTCAGTTTGGAGTAATACACTCACCGACCACTTTGATAAGTACACCAGATCAGAAGTATTTTATCAGCCAGTCACATGGAAGCCTCTCAGTTCATTTAGTCATCTAGGCAGGGTGGAGATTATTGCTGAAGCTCAAACTGAGCCTCAGAGTGGAGAAGAAACTGGACTTAAGTGACCCCAGCATAGGTGCCTGATGGGATTTTAACCCACAACCAGTAGGTATGTGGATGAAGATATCTTGTTGAGGTCAGAGGAGAATGGTCAGACTGGTTGTAGATGATTGAAAGACAGCAGCAGTTCAGAAAAGACCTGGTTTATACCAAGCATCTGAGAGCCCCAGCAGCTGCTCCAGATGGACTCCAGCAGCAGAAGAACACACCAGGTGACTCTCTTGTCAGCAAAGAACAGGAAACTGAAGCTGCAATTCACACCGGATCACCAGAACCGGACCAGAAGACACTGAACAACCTTTTCTGGTCTGATGAGTCTGGATTTCAGGTGCAACATGCAGATGGTCGGGTCAGAATTTGGTGTCACCAACATGAAAGCATGGATCCATCCTGCCTTGTATCAAAGCTTCAGGTGGTGTGTGTGTGTGTGTGTGTGTGTGTGCATGTGTGTGTGAACCTTAACCACCACAGCCTACCTGAGTCTTGTTGCTGACCATGTGCGTCCTTTTATGACCACATGGACCCATCTTCTGATGCTATTTCCAGCAGAATCGTGCACCGTGTCACTACGCTCAGATCCTCTCTACCTGGTTTCTAGAACGTGACCATGAGTTCTCTGGACTCCAACAATCTCCACAGTCACCAGATCTCAGTCCAGTCCACAACATTTGGGATATGGTGGAACAGGAGGTTCTCATCATGGATCAAGCTGATGCTGCCATGCCAGTATGGACCAGAACCTCTGAGGAGCATTTCCAATACATTGTGGAAATACATGAAACTTAAGGTGGTTAGGAAGTGAACCGGTGTGCCTACCCAGTAGTCGAGGTATACTTAGTAAAGTGGCCGAGATAACGTGTCTTCTTACCTTTAGTAACCTTCAGAGTGACTGAAGTCATGATGTCAGCATATATTTTATCAATTCCAATCCAGTACTCTCCACTGTCCTGAGTCTGGAGCTGTGTGACCTTCACAAACAAACCTCTTCTTCTGGCATCAACAATGTGAGACCTGTGTGTGTAGGAACCTTTGGTAACGCCGTCTGAATCCAGTAAAACCTCACAGGTTCTCCTGGAGGAGCCTCTGCACCAGTACTTTTTACTCAGCAGGTACCTGCTGGTGTCGTACTGACAGGCAATCGTAAACTCTCCTCCTACATGAGCTGTGATCTGGCTTTTATCACACCAGAGCTGAAGGCTTCCTGTAAAACGAGACAGATCAGAGACAGAACATCGGAGAACTCTGGTTTTAGGCCGCTTTGGTAGACTGGATACTTTGAAACGGATTTTGTTTTACAAAACAGTTTAAAATAAACAGTTTTGAAAGCATCATTAAAGAAATAACTTGTTGATTCTCTACGCTTACGTCTTTAAACCAGCTTTAATCAGTCATATTTCCTTTAACAACATCGGTCCACCAGCAGCCATTCGTTCTCATCAGCTAACCTGTGTGCAGACTGTCCGGAAAGAGAAACTTACATCTAAAAAAAAACATTCTATAAATAGACCTTTGTGTTTACATCAGACAGAAATGAGTTAATAATAAAAATGTGGAAAAGAAAAACACAAATTAATGGCTTACTCACTCTGAAACAGCAAAAACAGACAAAGTATTTCCATGTTGGTGTCAGATCTGAGGTCTGAAAAGGGCAGAGGTGGACCGCTGAGGTTTTATCTTCCTGTACATGAGTCATTGACACGAAGGTTTTAGAAGGCGGCTCTTCCTCTGACGAGCTTCTAAAGTCATGCAGTTCTTTCCTCTGCTATGCTGATCCACTGACTAGCACCTGGAACAGCATCACTGTCCGTGTTTGGATCTACCTCCATCACATAACAAATGAAATATTTTTTAGAGTTCAAAAAGCACATCTAATATTCTTGTTGATTCGTGGAGTTCTGTCCGTCTCTGGTGAACATTCAAATGTTCCATTCCTCTGTGTTTAGGTGTAATCAGTCATCTAAGGCTTTTTAAAAACACTATTGGAGAGCATGCACCACGTTTTCTAACGGGCCCATTCTGATGCTTCCAGGTGGAGATGTGGGTTGGTCCAGCTCTCCTCTTCCCACCCACACGTGGAGATCCTGGACTCCAGCTGTGGTCAAAGTCATCACCACTTCAACGAGCAGAGGTTTCTATTTTCTGGCAGGCCGAAATAGCTTATGTCCTTCACTGGTACGTTTATAACAGTAGCCTGCCCTCTCTCCATCTCAGCCAAGCAGAAAGACACGTCTTCTCTCCTCCTTATGCTGCAGTCGTCTCTTGATTCCACTACCATCCTTCATGGCTGGGATGATGTTCGCGGAATTGTAATCATCCATCTTCTTCTGCATCAAGTGGTGTTTAAACCAAAAACTCATAATAAGGTCTCAGCTGACCTTATGAACTTCTTCAGCGCCTACTCTGGACCATCCAGATGGTCGTTGGTAACCTTCAGACGGGCCTGGACATGAGCTGGTGTGATCTAGTGATGTGTCGGTCGCGAACGAACCGGCTCTAAGAGCCGGCTCTTTGAAGTGAACAACGGGAGCCGGTTCATCATTGGGAGCCGCCCCCCCCCCCCCCCCCCCCGCTTTGGTGAAAGCTGCAGGCGATTGGTCAACATGTGTAACTGCGTGTCCAGACTGTCCACACACAGAGCAGTAGGGGCGGGGAAGAGGGAGGATCAGACTCCGACACACAGCAGAGCACATGTGGGTGGAGGGAGACGAGAGGGAATGAGGAGGAGGAAAAGGGCGAGCAAGAGGGAGGAGAGTGTGACGAAGATGGTGAGAAAATGAGCGCCAGCAGTCGGAAAGTGGAGATTTCTTAAAGTGTTCAGTTATTAACTCATTCACTGCCATTGGCGACTAACGTCATCATTTGCATTTTTTTACTGTTTGTTGGAACGAGCCCCCGCGCTGAGAGAACAAACATCTCAGCCCTGAAGCTGATCTTCATCCGCATACGTCACACGTCACATGATCAGGAAGCAGACCATCCATGTGTTTGGAGATCGTTTTGGGCCGTTCCTGTAAAAAAAGTGAGGCGCGAACCGGAAAAGCATCTGCCGATCACAATTCGACAACGGATTATGAAAGAACGGATAACGCTCGAAACACATGGCTTCTTCCTGATGTAAGAGGTGAGTCTCCTCTTTGTTTTGGTTGTTTTGGCGATGACATCATGCTAGCGTGCAACGTTCTGTGACTCTTAAAAAAACAGTAAAAACGGTGAGAAACGCTGGCAGCGAAGGCCGTTAGTGATCAGGAAACGACTGGCAGTGAATGAGTTAAATCCACAGAAATGATAAATATTTGATATATTGTATTTGTTTATATTAGTAAATCATTTTACATATAGTTTTGCATTATTTTGGTTGTAAATGTACTCTACGCAACAAAAAATCTGAGGAGCCACTTGGGAGCCGAAAGAGCCGGCTCTCTAAAAAGAGCTGGAATTCCCATCACTAGTGTGATCAAGGGGACTTGCATGCATTGCAGGAGTTTAATCGTGTCCTACCCCGTGGCTCTGGGCTGTTTTCTCAACTTTCTCATCATTCCTTTTCCATGAGGAGGGGTTTTGAGTGGAGCTCCAGTCTGAGGGACATGAAGGAGTTTTTTGGGGAATTGGCAGATCGTTTTTAGTTCTGATACACTGAATCCTACTGATGGGCTGTACAAAGAGTGTATTGCTAATTTCCTACTCTTGTACCATTGTACTTGCTTTTACACAACAGGATGAAATTAATCAGCCAGCTAGCTCTACAGATCGTTACTTTATCAAATTAAAATAAATAGAACAGAATTTTTTTTAAGTAAAGACACGCAAAGTACAAAAAAAACTGTCAAAACGAGAAGTTTGATACAATATAAATATCACAGTTTAATGCAGCTCTACTTTTCCTTTCGCCAACTTAAGTCTATGAAGTAACTTATTTTCAGAATGAATTTGATTCCAGTTGGGAAAGCGTTGCAGAGTCTGCAGCCGTTGATGGGAAAGGCAGACTGATCAAATGACATTTTCCATGTAAGTGGGAAAAGTTTATTTATCACACAAAGAAAAATCACAAAATGCTTAAATGTGATCATTTATTATTTCCATTCACCGTGTTTCTGGTTAAACAGGAAAAAACCAACATACCAGGATTAAACAGAAGGGCCTGACCAGTGGGGAATGAACTAGGAACTGTGGAAAGTGAGAACAGGTGAGCAGATAGACTGATTAGAAGCAGGTGGCGCGCAGGGTGAAAGGGTTACTGGGTAGCTGAATGAAACAACAACAATCCAGCAGACAACGATCAAAAGTCATTGATTATTTTAATAACGGTCAGGCATCAGTTACCATATAAAAGCAGGGGTTCAGCCGTTTCCTGGTCTGGAGCGTACAGGTGTGTGTAAACACAAGAGAAACAGCCATCGCTGTCCATCAACCTGGAAGGAGGTGATTTTTAACCATTTCAGGTCAATCACTCTTCCATGAGAAGGGTTATTTATAGCATTTTACTTAACCTTAAACTAATGTATTGGGTTAATCCTAGCCAGTATTACCTTAACTAGTTATTTTAGTCATGACCTAATAAAATATCTCAGATTTGAATCTTTTTTTTATTACTTTAATCAAAACTGATACTTATAGTTGTGGCATCTAGCACAAATCATTGATTACAGCTTTGCTGAGGTTTAGAAAGACTATTGCTTAAGTTTTCTACTGAGCCACTAGAGGTCAGTGTGCTGCAGAGGGTAAAGAACACCTGTTGTGGGAACAGCTTCATGACATCACCTCTGACAGACCTGAGTCTAGTTGGACAGTGATGGAGGCATGTGCAGCTTAATCAAACCTCAGGAAAGGTCGGTCATAGAGCTCTTCTAGTTGCCCTTTAAAGCTTTCTTCATGAAATTATAATCTAGTCTATAGCTGTTAAAGCGGAACTGTTTAAAGCATTTCGTACCCCAGCATGAGGAAACTTACGGTTGCACATAATGACGGGTTGAGGATGATGCTTAGAAGGCCAGGATGGTGCAGTGTGTACCTGCAAGCCCTGCAGCATGACAGAATCTCATGTATAGATGTGTGTGTAGGTCACTGGAGTCTACAAACAGCATGATCCTGTCTCCGGCAAACCTCACACAGAGCATAACTGCAATATGTGGAATTATTGAAGTCTTTACCTTTATGTGACCCTGTAACAGCATGCCTTTATTTTTTAATTATTCTATGGACCTTTATGTGTCTTTGATAAAGTGATCGATCGATTGATAGTCCCTACAATCATCTACAGGAAATAAACTCTGAGAAGTCAAATACAAATGAATCCCAAGCATGAGTTTTGCAGGTTTGCTAAATTTCCAGGGTTGTCTCTACCTCTTTGTGACACTTTACCCTCCTCTACTAAAGGAACTGGTCCAACAGGTTCTTCAGCCTGCTCTGCACTTATGGAGGATCAGCTGTTTTCATGCATACAAGAGTGGCTCGCTTGGTTTCTATCTCTTCAGAGCAGCACCTGGGCAGCGTTAGGACCCAGGGGGCGCAGCAGAGTTTTAATCTGTCCTCAGAACCTTTAAACTGATTTTTGCTTCCTGTATGACAGTTCATTTGTTCCGCCACACCAGTTCCTTGATGTGATAAAGAGAAGTAAGCAGCAGCGAGAAGTGCCACAACACTCGACCTCTGTGGTCCAAGGACAGGGACGTGTGTGATTTGACATGCCTGTGAGAGGATTCCCACCCTAGGCAGCGCACAGCCAACCATGGAGCAGCAAGCCTGGATTCTGAGGAGCATCCTGACCCAGCTGGAGGGCCAGGAGGCTGCAGGGGAGGAGGACCCAAACAATATTGCTGTTGAGTTTCTGGTGAGTTGTCTGTAATCACGTAAACGTAAGTTTAACGTTTTTTTTAGATTATTTTCTTTACCATAAAACAATCTAACTAGAACCTAGAGATCACCATGGTCAAAGTAAAAATGAAAGTCCAGTTTTCTAAAATGTTCTCGAGTCCCCAACCCAACCCCTACCCCATACGAACATGTCATACTTCCTCTTACACCGTTTACAGTCACTGAAAGCACGCTGACCAGAACGATCAAACACATAAAAGCAGCCCAAGCTTGTACACACACACACACACACACACACACACACACACACACACACACACACACACACACACACACACACACAGAAAAAGTCACCTCCAAAGGGTTGACGTGGTTTGTCTCCATACAGGTAAAAGTAATTCTGCTTTGAAGGCTAAACTAATAAATTATAGACTCATTCCATGCAAAGCCAGATATATTCAGCTGTTCTTTGTTATAACTGCAATGACTTTGGCTTACAGTTTATGAAAACCCACATCTGGAATGTCAGACACGAGAAAATGGTGGAAAGGATCAATATTCTAGACTCAAAGTGTCACACGCTAATCAGCTAATGAATCCAGAACACCTGCACAGGTTTCCTGAGCCTTTCAGTCTAAGCTGGCATAAATGCACTCTTGCATATCCTCATTTTTCCAGTCTCACCTGAAGAGCCACTGCTAATGGAACCCACACATCTGTAACATTTCACCACAAATATCATCATTTTTCAAGAAATGTGCAATATCACTACTACTCGTGTTATTTTGTGCAATAATTATCTTAGTGAGCAATTGCTATATACTCTTGCGTTATATCTTCTGTGCTACTGCTGCTATCCTGCCGTCTCTGAGCCGTTGCACTAATGCACTGAAGCCACCACAGGAAATCTTTATTGCATCACTTCCTTCAAGGACAAAAACTAATCTGTGGCTTTTCAGACACAGATGGTCTGCAAAGCTTTAAACAGCCTCTTGAAGCACCTCTGAACAAGGAGTCACGTAGATCCTCATGAGGGGTCTAGCCATTTTCATCTGGTTTCTGACTCCTGACTGAAATCTCACCATTACTTTTAATCTGAAGGGATTGTTAGGACAAGTTGAAGTGGGTTTCTACTGAAACCGTGTAAATAAGGCCTAGTCCACACATAGCCGGGTTTTTTTAAAAATGAATATCCGCCCCTCCAGAAACTTGCATCCACACCACCTCGTTTTTAAAAGAAACTCTGTCCACACGTACCCGGATAAATACGTTGTTAAGGACATGCCAGACCTGTAGGTGGCAGTACTTCCCCCGTTCTTAACCTCGTCCTTCGTCTGTGGTCTTCCGCAAGGAGCAGTAATTCCGCTTGCAAAAACAAACAAGCAAAAAGCGCTTGGACAATTGATAAAGCGAGCGCAGCTCTGAGGGCATCCATGCTGTCGGCTAGTGTAAACACAGGTCGCACACGTGATGTCAGCATTTTTTGTCGCGGAAAGTGACGTTGCGGACCTTAAAACTCCGGTTTTGTCCGTCCACACGCAGACACCCAAAACGGAGAAAACGCAGATCTTCACTTTGGCCGGAGTTTTTAAAAAGATCCGTTTTCGTGTGAAAAAACTCCGTTTTCGTGTGGATGACAGGACAAAACGTAGAAAAATATCTACGTTTTGGCAGATCCCCGGCTACGTGTGGACAGGGCCTAAATCAAACCTTACCTGTGGCGGATATCTCTCTGAACAGCCTCAGTTAAGAGCAGGAGAGAGTTTAAATCTAACCAGAAAAGAATACGCAAAAAACCACTGTAAACAGTCAACGTTGCATAGACGTGCAGATCATGTCTTTATTGAGTCTGTCGGTCCAGACCAGGACGTCCAAACTAGGTCTTTGCACAGTGGGACGGTGCATGGCATTTTAAAAGTGTGTGACATGTTGCTATTATAAACCTCTGTGGCATTTTTAATAAGTTGCTTCTTTTACATGGCAGTAATCCTGCAGTAACCTTAACTCTGACTATGCATTAGCCCATCAGTCTGGTTCGAAATAGAGCGAGCCACATGCAATTTGAACTGAGTGCCGTTCAGCATTAGCATCTGCTAACATACAGATGTCACAGAGCCTTTGAGAGGCGTTTGTACAGAGGCTGATGCAGAGTTGCCGATTTTCTCATGGGCAAGTCTTTATATGACAACACAACGTTAGGCTAATACTTGTAAAACAATGTGTTTTAGCTCTGTTAGCCAGCTAGAGCGCCTTCACCAACAAGAGGCGTTGCTTCTAGGAAGTAGAGAGAGGGGATTAGGCTACAGTACATATTTTGGCCTCTAGATAGTGTCCTCTGCAACAAACACTCTGGATTTTGTCTTCAGTGTTATCAGCGTCTTTCATAATAAAACAGAATAAAATAAATGAGCCAAAGAAACAAAGTAAAGGTTGTTCTGGTTTATTTTTTTGTCTTAAATTCTGCAACAGTTTAGATTGCAGAGGAACAGAGTGTCAGAATTAAAGCTAAAATGAACTTCACCATTTTAAATGCAAGTTAGAACTATTATAACCAATTATTTTAAATGCAAAACTGCAGAATAATTCCATGTTTTCTTATGTAAATCAAGGATATTCTATTGCAGATGTTACTCTTTGACCTGCTAAACATCAAGCTCAATCTTTTCCACACTGGTTTAAGGAGTGCTCTGTAGAAATGTTCTTTGTAGACTTGGCAAAGATGTTCCCCTTACATAATGACATAATGAAACCAACTGTACAGTATGTTTCATACGATAACGACTATTTATAAAGCATATTTAAACAGCATCTGACCAAAGTGCTTTACACGTTATTTACAAGATAAAGTATAGAAGAAGAAGAAGAAGAAAATATCATTTCTATAGCGCCTCTCAAGATAAAAATCACGAGGTGCTTCACAAAAACAAAAACAAAATGTTAAAATATAAAAAAGCATTTAGAAAATGTTTAAAAATATATAGGCAATTGGGATTTAAAAGAAAAAATGTTAAGAAAGAGAGAGAGAGTGAACAGGAAAGAGGGAAATCAGTGGATCCTGAGGAAGGTGGAATAGGTGGGGAGAGCAGGATAAAGAGCGAGAGGTGAAGAAGGTCATACAAAAGCCAGCTTGAACAAGTGAGTCTTCAGCTGCTTTTTAAAGGAGACCACTGAGTCCACTGATCTCAGGCTCAGGGGGAGAGAGTTCCAGAGTCTGGGGGCCACAGCAGCAAATGATCTGTCACCTTTGACCTTTAGCCTGGTGCTGCACAACCAGTAGGCTTTGATCACTGGACCTCAGGGACCTGCTGGGGGTGTAGGGACTAAGAAGATCACCAATGTAAGATGGTGCTTGTCCATGTAAGGCCCTATAGACCAGAACCAGGATCTTGAAATGAAGAGAGAGTTACAGTAGTCTAAGCATGAGGAGATGAAGGTGTGGAGGACAGTCTCAAGTTCAGAGCGGGACAGAACGGGACTCAGCTTAGCAATGTTCCTGAGATGGAAGAAGGAAGAGCGAACAAGAGAACTGACATGAAAATCCAGGGTGAGATCTGGGTCAAAGGTCACACCAAGATTCCTGACAGAAGGTTTGGTGTGAGAAGCAAGCTGACCAAGAGAGTCTCTGACTTTGGGAACCAGCTTGTCTGGGGCACAGATGAGGATCTCAGTCTTATCTTCATTCAGCTGTAGAAAGCTCCCACCATCCAGGTTTTGATAGAGTCTAAGCAGGTGTGTAACAGCTGCAGCTTAGACATCTCATGGGGCTTAAAGGAGATGTACAGTTGGATGTCATCTGCATTAAGATGGTAGGAGATTCCTTTGAAGGAGCTCAGGATGTGCTGAAGAGGAAGCAGATAGAGGAGGAAGAGCAGAGGCCCCAGCACAGAACCTTGTGGGACACCATGGGTATAGCATTCACTGATAAGACAAAAACCAGTTAAAAGATGAAATATGAGTAGTAAGAAGTCTAAAACAGTCTAAAACCAAAAGTAAAAGACAAAATCAATATAAACAATTGATGCAGAAAGGGAGATGTTCTTATTTTCACTTTTGTACATTTGCATGATTTTGGAAAGTATATAAATAAAGTTTTCAAAACAAAAAAGGAGGTAAAATAATCTGTTAATCCCTGAAGACATGAGATGCGTTAAAAGTCCCCTGGACCTGAAGGGTTGACTGTTTTCTCATTTCTTGTTTTTGCAAATGAATTTGAGTCCTTTATGAATGAGATTTGCGTCACATTTCAGTTATGTTTGTTGGATTTTGTCACGCTTAATGAAGGATCTGAAGTCTGATTTTTAGCTGACATGAGGATTTGTGGCGTTCTTGATTTGCTTTTAAAGGCCACTAAAGGAAAATGCCATTTAACACCCAGGTGTTCATTTTTGTTTGTCGTGTCTGACTGAGGTGTTGGTGGTCTGTGATCTGTTAAGCAAAAACACTAGCGTGTGGTTCTTCACTGCAGAGCGATAACGAAATAAATCTGCTGTGAGTTTTAAGCACTTTAGGTAGAAGAGTCTGGCTGCAGAGAGAAGCAGAAGGAGTATTTTAAATTATTCAAACATTTGTTTTTTGTTTTAGATGTTTTCTTGTTTTATTAGAACAAGATGTTTTCCTGTGCAGTTATGTTGATCACTAAACACACCTCTCTGAGCTGTCTCAGATTAACTTCCTTAACCCTAAAATAAGCTTTTTCCAGCTGTGACTCCTCGCTAACGTTAACACTCCATAACATCAGAAAGTCTTTACATCCCACTTAGATTATTGTCATTCATCTCATCTTGGTTTAAAAGTATGTATTGGATCTTTTCACATCTCTTTTTCTAGCTGAAGCCCTGAAGGGTAAATGAGGATATCATTTTCTGTTTCTTCTTCTTCTAAAAATGTCAACCCTTATTTTGTAAAACCTGTGACCGGTCAAAGGTGAGTGCAGAATGGAAGAAGATGTTTAAATGACTCTAAGTCTGGTTCTAAAATATGTTTGAAGCTGTTTTAAGGTGAGAAATCAGACCTTAAAAGATCATAAATGGAGTAATTCGTTCTTTTTCCCTAGCTTCTCAGGGCTTCCATACAATTCTGACTGCAAAGAAGCACTAGTCTGTGTGTGACAAACCACTCCAGGCTTCCTAAAACAGCTTTAACTTCTATATTTCATAGCAGTTCATGCCGATGTTTTGTAAACTATGAAATCATCATAACTTTTACATGTCCTGGTTGGATGTTTCACTGCCAGCTAACTATAAACCAATCTCTAAACTCCTTTTCTTAAAGGGGCTTTATGGAAGTTTGACAGTCAAAACATGTATCGAAATAATAAATTTCTTCTTCATACATTCTCATGCAATGCCCTGGTCCTGTAGAATGAGCCCAGGCATTTTTACTGTGATTGCCTGTTTTTCTGTAAAATCACAGAAAAAGACAGATGCTCGGGTCGAGCAGGCTGCTTCATACGCGTTCACACTCAGGCATAGCCTGTAGCATTTGCTCTCCGTAGCTTTAGTCTTTGTCGCTGTTCCTAAGGCCTAGTGACAAAGCTAGCTACATTTCTGAGGACCCTTAGCTACTTTCTGTAGAACTTTCTTCTAGATATTTCCTGCAAATTAGCAACAAAATAGCCATTTTCACTCCAAACCGTTCTTTGAACGTTGTTTCAGCTGTCATCAAGGATATAAAAGTTACAGATACAATAGACACCACTGGCGCTTAGCTCACCTCGTAAAATGTTGGACTCTCATGCAGAAGACCCGGGTTTGATTCTGGATGTGAACATAGTTTATTTAGAGTTTCGTTTTTACACTAATGGTATATATTTTTACAGTAAGATGGCCAAATTTTTATTTGGGACTCGCCGAACGGCATTGAATTCACAGATAAAAAAGATGTGGGTTCAACTTTCATTTTGGAACAATTTTTCAAGCAAGGGAAGGGAATGATCTGAGCATGCAGGAGGACTGACCCATCTTAAACCTTTGTCGGCTGTGCTGAAGAGAAAGGTACAGAACCAAATTATTTAATTAATTAGCTGTGCGTTCTCCTGTCCTCTAGATCACGTCTGAATACACGTGGGGACAGGGCCTTCGCAGTAGCAGGCCCAAAGCTTTGGAATGAGCTTCCCCACGGCATAAGAGCTTCTTCCTCCATGGCGGTTTTTTAAAACAAGGCTGAAAATCTACCTTTATAACCTGGCATTTTCCTCTCTTAGTTAATCTTAATGTGTATTTTTCTCTATTTTAGTTTTTTTTTTTTTTCAATTAATATATATATATATTTATATATTCTACGTTTGTTTTATGTTTAATGTCCCTGTAAAGCACCTTGGTTGCATATATCATGTCTAGAAGGTGGTTTGACTTGGTTGGTATTCAGTTGTTCTTTGGATTTGGGAAGATTCCAGCCAGTTTCTTTCTGGGTGGTAATTTATCATAGTTCTGATGTGGGAAAAATCTGATGTGAAACTTTAGCACTTTAAAGGTTGTAAATAGCATTTAAATAAACTGCTATGAAATGTTTGAGCTGCTTTACACTCAATGTCTGGTACAATTATTACGAGTCGTATACTCTGTTTGATCAGAACTAATGGATTTTTTCCTAAATGAATATCTAACACAAGTTAGATAATGACGGATCTTAAGATTTCCACAAAGTCCACTTTAGAGGATGTGAACTGTCACTTTAATGTTTCAGTATCAGAAACCTCTGAGACAGTCGGGTCTTTGAGAAGGAAATGTGGCCAGAAAAAAAAAACCCGGAATGATCATGATCGGTGATCACTTACATGTTTGATTAAATCAAATTAAAAACATAAATAAAAAAGCAGCAGTAGAACTCAGGGGTATGATTAATAGGGAAAGTAAGAGCATGTCCACATACACAATGTAAAGGGAACTCAAGGGATTGGGTCCGAACAGCTGTGTAGCTAAAAACCACTCATCAGTGAGGTAAACCGGGGGAAACAAAGGCTTCAGTTTGCTAGCGAGCATAAAGATTGGACTCTGGAGCAATAGAAGAAGGCCATGTGGTCTGATGAGTCCAGATGAACCCTGTTCCAGAGTGATGGGTGCATCAGGGTAAGAAGAGAGGAAGATGAAGTGATACACCCATCATGCCTAGTGCCTACTGTACAAGCCTGTGGGGGCAGTGCTATGATCTGGGCTTGCTGCAGTTGGTCAGGTCTAGGTTCAGCAACAGGATGTGCTCCAAGAATGAGGTCAGCTGACTACCTGATTATACTGAATGACCAGGTTATTCCAACTTCCCGGATAGCATGGGTATATTCCAAGATGACAATGCCAGGATTCATCGGGCTCAAATAGTGAAAGAGTGATTCAGAGTCCAGACCTGAACCGCAGTGAGAATCTTTGGGATGTGCTGGAGAAGGCTTTGTGCAGCGGTCAGACTCTACCTTCAGCAATGCAACACTGGATGGAAATAAATCTGGTGACATTGCAGAAGAAATGCCACAGTGAATGTGTGCTGTAATCAAAGCTAAAGGAGGTCCAACAAAATATTAGAATGTGTGAGTTGTTTTTTTTTTTTTTTTTTGGGTGATGACTTTTTTTTGGCCAGGCGGTGTATTTACAAACACAATTCATTACAGATGGATTAATGGGAACCACACAACTGAAAGAACATTTCTTTATTTGTAACTCCTTCAGCAGTGTATCTTTATTCTGCTACAGTCAAGTCCATGTTTGACCACATTTTCTTGTGTATGTGTTTTCAGAGGTTGAAAAGTCAGTCATCAATGTATCGCAGTGACAAGACGTTCTCTACTAAGACGGCAGAAATGCAGGAAAACATCAAGAAGAACCGATACAAGGACATTGTTCCCTGTAAGTGAAACGTATTCAAATCCTGGACAGCTGGTGGCTTTTGAGAGAATAGAAACAAGGAAATGGAACTACTGCAGGACTTTTACCTTCATAGAAAAAAGGGGGCGGGTTCATCAGGAAAACAGAAGTCGTCATCTCTTCCAGGGAAAAGTGGTTGTTGAATGTGAAAACATTCTGTTGACGCTAGACCTGGGTGATATGGCAACATTTTCACATCACGGTTTATTGTTTATTATATGGGTTTTATGGTATTTGACGGTATTTTTCACAAGGCCGTGATTACCCAGATTATTTTTATAAGAAAATAATTACAGCACTAGATTGGCCTTAAACAGCCCATTTTACCTTCATGTGCAGAATACCACTTTTTCCATGTCCAGTCACAGGTAGGTAAATGCATAACTAATAAAACAATACTAGCCGTTTAAGCCTTGGAGGTGGAGTGTGCAGATCGAAGCTTGAGACATTCTTGGTATTCCAAGACGTGTTTTCGGCTAAGGTGACGAAGAAGTTGCTGGTGTTAGCCCCGCTGGCTGCCACCGTTGCTCGACAGCATTTGCAAGTAATAGTTGTTTGCTCCACGTCCAAATGTTTAAACCCAAAAAACCTCCAAACAACAAATGTGGCTCCTCTTTTTGTCAAGTCAAAGTCATTTATTGTCATTTCTACCACATGTGCAGGACATACAGAGAAACGAAATTGAGTTTCAGCACACACAATTCAAAGATCAGACATACGTGGGTAAGACACATAACAAGAATTGGTGGCTGCGGTCATTCGCAACATGAGTCGCGCTACCTTAATAGATAGATGAAAAGGGTGTTACATGAGGATAAGTGGGGGTAGGTAAAAAAAAAAGGCATAGCAGAGTTAGCCCCAGCGGGGAGTAACTCTATTATACAAAAAAACTCCTTTCACATGGAAGAACAAACAGCACAGATACAACATCAGAGTCCGATGGGGAGGCGGGGTTGGGCGGGATCCTGAAGCCTCCAATGGGAGCTGCCACTGCTGCGCATCGACCAGCTGCAGACCAACAGGTGGGAGGGAGAGATAAGGACCAGAGAGCACATTGAAGTTTCCCGCAGACGTCTCAATCTGAAGGAAGAGGGTGAAGGTCGGGACACAGCATCTGTCAACATTCCTCCTTTTGTGGGGGTGAGTTGAGGCAGCCTTGAGAGGCTGCTATGGCGTCAGATAAGGATAAACATGACTTTGTTTGGGGCAGGCAGAGATAATTTTCCTCTCCGCCTTGGAGTCTTTAAGTGGTCATTCATGTCCACCAGTGAAGCCAATTATACGTTCTAAACATCCCCGCATCGTCCGGCGACCCTCTCCGAGATCAAATCCATCTTGCGTACTATCACAGGCAACACCGCGAGGACATTATCCAGCTTGCGGTTCACCTCGAGTAACGTCCCAGTTTGTGAGGTCTCCGCCCGAGCGGCACATTCTGTGGGCACGGGTCGCACTCCAATCGCTCACGTCTTCCCAAATTTCCAGAAAACCAGATATCCTCCCACTCCAATCAGAAGAAATCCAGTGATCATCAGGCCGAACATCCACAAATCTTCCACGTCCTCGATGGACAGCTGAGAGAGGCACACGATTCGCCAGACCTCCCAAGAATCGAGTGCATATCCCGATGCGAATGTCCCCTCGGGACAGGTGGGAGCCCCCTTCTCCACTCTCATCGTAGAAAAAATTTTGTCAATCACGTTGAATGACCAGTTAATTAAGTCCATATTTCCAAAAAAAGAGTAGTGGTTACAGGAGAAATGCAGAGAAGTGCTCTGTAGGCAGACGGGACAAGAGCCTTGGGGAAGCCGATAAGGGAGCTGAGAAAAAAGCGTCTGTACTCTCTGAAGGCTGAGAAGAAAGGAATAAGTTCTTCTGCGTTCAAAGTTTCGATGTCGCAGTGACAGCTCCCGCCAGCTGCCATTCTTGGTTTCACCACGCTGTGGTGTTTGTGTAGCGGTGAAATGAGTCCCTGCTGAAACACTTTCCTACTACGAACGTTCTGTATGTTGTCGAGGCCATTCACTGGTACAGCGGTATGTGAAAATTTCATATCATCACCAAAATAAACACCGGTTTTTGGTATGAACCAGTATACCACCCAAGGTCATTCCATTCTCGCGCTGCTCTGGGTGGCTTCATGTTGGAGTAGCTCTATTAACTACATGTAAGTTTTGCCTTTTTTGGACATGTTTTCTTCTAGCGTCTTAAGAAAAACTGTATTTTTTTGGACCTTTTACTTTTCTGTTTCTGGAGCTGTGAAGCTTAGAGGATTTTTACTGCTATTTTTTTTTCACTTTTTGAGCATTTTATATGATGCATAACCATGGCATCAAGCTGGTTTACAATCGGGAGCAGCTGATTAACATTGGAAAGGCTGAAATAATACCTCAACTGAAGCCACAATTCCCAAATGAGCTAAAATGCAAGAAGCGTGGATGCAGAGCAGGAGCAAAACGGAGACAGAGAAAGAGGAAATTCAAACCATCTCTTCAGTCGATCATAATGGGCAATGTGATATCATTGGCCAACAAGATGGATGAACTCCAAGCCCTTTCAAGGACTCAGCCAGAATATCGGCAGTGCAGTGTTATGTGTTTCACTGAGACGTGGCTGCAGGACCATATCCCCGATTCCAGTGTCTCTCTGCCAGGATTCCTGACTGTACAAACAGACAGATATCTGAAGAGGAGTGGGAAAAGAAAAGGAGGTGGGGTGGCAGTGCTTGTCAACAACAGATGGTGCCATCCATGTCATGTTTCAGTGAAATTTCGTCTCTGCAGCCCAGATGTTGAACTCTTGGCAGTAAGTTGTCACCCATATTATTTGCCAAGAGTTCACCAGTGCTGTCTTGGCAACCGTTTATATTCCACCTTCAGCCATAGCTGAAAATGCATGTGATGCCATCAGTTCCGTTGTCGCTAAGCTACAAACCCAGCACCCCAATGCATTTGTGGCTATATCTGGTGATTTTAATCATGCCTCACTCTCTGCTACACTTCCAACATTTCAACAGTTTGTCAGCTGCTCCACCAGAGAAAACAAGACATTGCATACATGCCCAAAACAAGACCTCCTCTGGGACAATCATATCACAATCTTGTTTTTCTCTGCTCACAATACAATCCACTTGTTCAGAGGCAACCTGTGACAAGAAGAACTGTGAGAAAATGGTCACAGGATGCTGAAGAAGCCCTGCAGGGTTGTTTTGAGACCACAGATTGGATGACTCTCTGCCAAGGATATGAAGAGGACATCAATGCCATGACTGGATGTGTCACTGACTATATAAAATTATGTGTGGACAACATCAAACCCACCAGAACAGTGAGATGCTTCGATAATAACAACCCCTGGATCATCAGTGAACTGAAGAATCTGCTAAATGAGAAAAAAAGAGCCTTCAAGGAGGGAGACAGGGAATTATTGAGGAGTATACAGAAGCAACTGAAGATCAAGTTCAGAGACAGCAAGGAGGCAAACAGGAAGAAGCTGGAGAACAAACTACAAAGGAACAATATCAGAGATGTCTGGTCAGGGATGAAGAAGATCACAGGCTTCAAGCAGAAGAAGGATTGCATGGACACAGCCAATTAACTGAACAAGTTTTTCAATAGGTTCAGTTCAGGAACAAACCCAGCATCCTCCTCGCCTGTCCCCAGCCAATCAGACATCCCATCCTCCTCTGATCCAACATTTTCCTGTCACACCCCAGCTCTTTTGTCCTCTAACGCAGTCATGGACTCTTCTGGTTCTATAAATCTGTCTTCAACCAAGTCAGGAGATGCTGCTGCCCCAGTTACCTCCCCCTCCCACCTATCTGTCTCTAGAAGTCAGGTGAAGAGGCAGCTGGAGAGACTGAACAGGAACAAGGCAGCAGGTCCAGATGCTGTCAGCCCCAGAGTACTGAAGGCCTGTGCAGAGCAGCTCTGTGGGATTCTGCAGCACCTCTTCAACCTCAGCCTGGCCCAGGAGAAGGTTCCAGTCCTGTGGAAGACATCCTGCCTTGTTCCAGTTCCAAAGAAAACTCGCCCATCATGACTACAGACCGGTTGCCCTGACATCCCACATCATGAAGGTCCTGGAGAGACTCCTGTTGGTCCACCTGAATAAGCGAACTAGAACATATCTGGACCCGCTGCAGTTTGCTTATCACCATGGAGTTGGAGTTGAAGATGCCATCATCCAGCTGCTTCAACCAATCCACTGTCATCTGGACAAAGCAGGCAGCACTGTCAGGGTCATGTTCTTTGATTTCTCCAGTGCATTTAACACAATCCAGCCTGATGTACTTTGCCAGAAACTCCAGAAGACACAGGTGGGGACCTCAACTATCACCTGGATTAAAGACTACCTGACAAACAGACCACAGTTTGTGAGGCTGAAGAACTGCACATCAAACCAGGCGATCAGTAACATTGGAGCACCACAGGGGACTGTACTCTCAGCGTCCCTTTTTCACCCTGTACACCTCAGACTTCCAGTACAAATCAGAGACCTGTCATCTACAGAAATACTCAGATGACTCTGCAGTTGTCGGGTGTATCGGAGATGAACAGGAAGCTGAGTACAGAGAGCTGGTGGAGCGCTTTGTGGCATGGTGTGGAAACAATCATCTAACCTTGAACGTGAACAAAACAAAGGAGATGATTTTAGACTTCAGAAGAAACAGGGTGGAGTCAAACACTGTTTCCATCATGGGAGAAGAAGTGGAGGTGGTTGAGGAACACAAACACCTTGGAGTTCACCTGGACAACAGACTGGACTGGAGAAAGAACAGCGAAGCCGTTTACAAGAAGGGACACAGCAGACTGCACTTCTTGAGGACACTTAGGTCCTTCGATGTCTGTAGCAAGATGCTGCAGATCTTCTACAAGTCTGTTGTTGAGAGTGTAATCTCTTCAGCCATCATCTGTTGGGGTAGCAGCATCAGAAGCAGGGACCTGAAAAGGCTCACCAGCCTAATAAAAAAGGCTGGTTCTGTTCTGGGGACGACTGTGGAACCGCTGGAGGAGATAATGAAAAGAAGGATTCTCCAGAGAAGCAAGAAAATGATGGACAACCCTGAGCATTCTCTTCACAAGACTGTCCAACAACGGAAGAGTGTCTTCAGTCAGAGGCTTCTTCAGTTTGGCTGCAACACTGACCGCTACTGGAGATCCTTCCTGCCAACAGCCATTGTAATATACAATAACTCTTTGATGACTTGATTATTATTATTCTGAGCTACTACAGCAATCAATTTCCCTCTGGGATTAATAAAGTATTTTTGAATTAAATTGAATTGAAGACTAGTTGAGGCTGTTTTACTTTATTGACATAAAATTTAATTATAGAAAATTCCACTACTTAGTGCTTCACAGCACAAGTTAGCAAACAGAGTCCAAAGTATCAAAGCACAAAGAGGACTCAAATGCAGAGCTCACACAGTTTTAATAAGCAGGAGGGATTCCTGGAGTACAACACAACTGAAAAGTCCAAATCTTACTGAATACACTTTTACCAAGTGTTTCTGAGAGCGGGTTCACATCACACAACGGGAGAAGACAAACTGGCAAACTGTTGCAAAGATGCTTAAATGGAGAAGCCAGGACCCAGGTGCAAGACATGAGGCAGATTAGTGAGGAGCCTCATGTCGTGAAGCTGCCTGTAATGAGACAGGAAGTGAATGCACAAAATAAACCAGAAAGTACCAGAAATACAATAAAACCAGAAACAAGACTGCAAAGCACTCAACCTGCAGAATCACCCATGACTCAAAGTGTATGTGTTTGACCCCTATGTCACAAAGGACAGAAGACGGTGTTTCAAATGAGCAAAAACATTTCTTTTATAACAAATTAAAAGTGGACCCTAACCAGGATCACTCTGTACTTCATACGTGCACACACGCTGTTAACCCCTACACCCCAGGAACCACAAATACCACAAACAATAAAAACACATTGTTAAAACCCCTTTCAGTAGTTGGCAGCTAAAATGACCCACAATGAATAGGACATGCTCACACCAAAGAGAGGTTTCACTGTAGGCGGGTCGTTCACAGGCTTAGCAGGGTACTTCACAAGGAAAAACGGCGATTCCAAAAGCAGCTTCATTCTTAGCTATTAGCTCAAAGCAGCTCAGTCTCAGACTCATAGCATCAGACACCTTTAGGGTTTCGGACTGAGCTGGTCTCAGTGCTAGTTGGATGCCAGAGCCTGACCTAGCACCGTTTTTTTGTTTTTTAGCATGTGACATGTGAATATATACCCACATACATGCAGTTGAAGGACCCATCCCATCTCATGCTGTCAGCAATGACTCCTCATGGAAGAGAAATGTCACAAAATCTGAGAAAGGAAATCATTTATTTACACAAAAGGTGAGGACTACAAGATCAGCAAAGCTTTACATATCAGTCAGAATACGGTCGCAGAAGTGATCCAAACGTTTAAGATGGAAAGAAGAGCAACCATCTTACAGAGACGCCTAGGCCATCCACAAAAGCTAACATCTCGACAGGATAATCTTCTGGTGAGAAGGGTTGAAGAAAATGATGCAAGTTCACTCCAGTTAGCTAAAGCTGTAGAAACTGGAGCGAGCGTTTCTCGTGACACCATACGGCGCACACTGCAGAGGAATGGCATGCATGGGTAAGGTTCCAAAGGAAGCCTCTCCTAAAGCCCATGCACAAAAAAGCATGCCCAGGATTTTCTAGGACCCATGCTGAAAGAGATGAAGACTACTGGGACGCTATACTCTGGAGTGATGAGACAAAGATCACTGTTTTTTGAAACTAATGGTTTCTAAACTGCACAGCTGTGTAAAGGTGAGGATTTCAAAGAGAAATGCCTGATGCCTACAGTGAAGCATGGTGGCGGTGGTGTCATTATGTGGGGCCGCATGAGGGCTGCTGAAATTGGGGAGCTGCATTTCATTGATGATATCATGAACTCAACAATGTACTGATCTATACTGAAGGAGAAGATGCCGCCATCACTCTGTGCTCTTGGTCATCATGCACTTTTCCAACAAGACAATGATCCAAAACACACATCTAAAGCTACTTTTGCATTTCTGAAGAAGAACAGGGTGAAGGTGACTTGATGACCAAGTATGTCTCCTGATCTGAACCCAATCGATCACCTGTGGGGAATTCTGCAGCAGCAAGTTGAGCGTCATTCTCCATCCAGCATCCAGGCTTTAAAAGAGGTTCTTCTTGAAAAATGGAAAAAGATAGACGTTGCAATATGTCGCCAACTTGTTCATTCCATGCCTAGAAGACGTGGTGCTATTGTGGTATCTAAAGAAATTACTGCAGCAGTAGAACTTGTTTACCATAAGCGGTCAGATGATTCACTCTGGCCCCTGAAAGCCTTTCTTTGTGTGCAGGTAGTTTTCCTTATATAGAAGAACTGGCCAGTTCAACTGGACTACAGTTGAAAATTAGCCTGCTGGCTAACACTGGCTCATTTACAGAAATGTTAATTAATGTGCACGGTCCCTAAATAAGTAAATGAAATGAAATGAAAGAAGATGGTCTTCGGTTATCCAAAGCTATTATGGTGAAAGTATGGATTGGTTCATCCCCTTCTTACATGGGAGTGGAAAGAGTACCCCGAAGTAAATAAAAGAAGTGGTTTGGGCGTTGTTCGGGGCATTTTCTTTTGGCTGAACCTGTACAGATGTGGGATCTTTAATAGTTTTCTGAAGTTAACCCTTTGATGCATAATGGTCACTGCAGTGGACAGGTACTCAAAATTGTTATTACTTTATTTTTGCTATTAAGCACAGCTGTTGAAGACTTTATTGCACGTGAGCCCCTCCAATTGGACTTCAGTAAGTCAAGCCAACATATTTCATGTTCAGAATGCACGCTGTCCACTGAGATGGACATGTAATAAATTATTTGTAAATTAACAAAATGTTACAAAAAATTTTCATTCACACCTAAAGATGGATGAAAAAATTGTTTAAAAAATCATGGTTGAAGATTTCATAATTCATGCATCAGAGGGTTAAAGAGTCTGCCTCAGGGAGCCTTTCTTCAGAGCGTATTCAGCCCCTGCGACAACCCTGTGAACCCAACCCTACACTGTCCTTGAAAATCATGGTGGCCATACATGGCACTGTGAGTATGGTCTGTGTGTAAGGGTTTTATTTTCTATGTTATGAATCAGAAGTCAGAAATGACATGCTTGGCAACACAAGCGAATGTTTAGCCAGCCGGTTTAGCCCCGAGACTGTGGAAAAGGAATAGTTTCTTTTAAAGAACCGGCTAAACACCATCTATGTTTCTATTTGTGTCAAAAGTCTGTTTTGTTTTGCCTTTTGTCCAGTGGTTTTACTTTAGCAGTGGGTGATACTGGTTTTATCTGGATCTTTGTGTGTTTGTTGGCAAAATATCTCTGAATCGATTTAGATGAAACCCACAGAAGTAACCACTGGATACAGATCAGGGGTCAGCCCAGTTCAAGATGCTTTTCTGTCTTTGCAAAGACAAAACTGGCTACCACTCAGTCGACTTTACAGACATTGACAAAAGATTTAATAGTTGAGAGACATGTGCAACATGAAATCCAACAGTTCCTACATGTTAAATTTAATACCTGGCCCAAACAGCTGAAGGTGATCTTCGTTTAAAAGTCCGGTATGAAAGACAATGAGCATCTCAGGCATCTGCTTTGATCTGATTTGGATAAAGCTGTTTTTCTACCAGACTATGAAAAGTTTAAGCACTTGCATCATGAAAGCTTCATTAGTCTTCTACATTTCTCTCCTTTTTTAGTTGAGCACACCAGAGTGAAGCTCACGCTCACCTCCTCTAAGAAAGACTCAGACTACATCAATGCTAGCTTCGTTAAGGTAAATTAGCCGTATTCTAACTCGAAAATGCTCCTGGGATCATTTTTCTAAGCGGTGTTTGTGCACAGGGAGTATTCGGGTCCAAAGCTTACATCGCCACTCAGGGTCCACTTCCACTCACGCTGGTGGACTTCTTAAGGATGCTTTGGGAATTTAACATTCAGGTAGGTTTGAACATCACCACTAAGTTGACCAACAAGGTGGTTCTGTCTTGTTTGAAGTCTCTGTTCTGATTTATATTTGACTCACCAGATTATTGTGATGTCCTGTCGAGAATTTGAGATGGGGAAGGTAATGCTGCTTTCCACTTCTCCTCTCAAAGCTGTAGACGTGCTGCAATCGTATCTCTTTCCTTCATCCCCGTTTCTTTCTCCTTGATCAGAAAAAGTGTGAGCTCTACTGGCCCCAGAAACAGAACGAGGATTTTGTGTGCGAACCTTTTAGAGTGTATTGTGTGAGTAATCTCTTTCCAATGCCTGGTTTATGCTTCTCCGTCAGCTCCGCAAGGGACAGACACGCACGGATTGATGGAAGCGTTTTGCTCTTTTACTTCTCCGTCTCCTGGAGAGTGTTGCAAAGCAATTGCCCTGCAGGACAACAGAGGGCGTAGCGCTGTTCTGTGGTATCCTGTCATGTATCCAGTCCAAGATAGTGTGTTTATATCGTGTTTTTTGTGTATATAAGAGACTTTTAACACGGACATATTTGTCTCTCATTCTCCCACCGCTTCATGCGCTCCCCACCTCTAAACCCATGTTTCCTGTCATTTCTGTCCACAAATAAAACGTTTGCTGCGCATCTTTTCACTCCTCCAGTCACGGGGGAATTAAACGTTCATATTTTTAGAGTTTTTTCGCGAAGTATTCTTCAAGCTTCTCCGTGTCTGCTGCTAGTTATCCTCAGCTCTCTTTGCAATGGCGGTGCTGTAAACAACAGCGGCATCCTGACCAATCACAAGCTTGCGTAATCCGTCTCGTTCGACGGATGTTTAAAAAAGTGGGCTCGACTCCGTACGTACTTGCGTGCCCTACGCAAGGACCGATAATGGCGTTGCGTGTCTCCGCACTGACGCAGACAGAGAAGCATAAATCAGGCTTTAGAGTCGCACCGTTTTCAACCAGTTTCAGTTTGTGAAGCAGGTTGTTTTAGCTACACCTAACACCCACTTGCGTGTTACTGTATATCACTCTGGTTGTACAATGTTCAGTGATAAATGCCGCACCATAAAAGAAATTCACGCTTTATTCAAGCAGCATGGCGTAACCTGCTAAATGTGAGTTTTGGGCCTTGTTTGCAGGACTCCGAGGAGAATAAAGGAGACTATCTGACGAGGACGTTAAGGCTGACTTATCACAATGTAAGTCCCGTCTGTGATTTACCCAAGCAGAAGAACAAGAGATGGATTTTGTTGACCTCTACAAAAATCACCTTGTGAACTCTGCAAAACCTGTCTTCCTGTGTCTGGGTCAAAGACATGAGCTGGTGATTTATGGAATGCTTGACAGGAAAAGTGTGACAAATGTGTTTGTTACCAATAATAAGCATCATTTTCTATGAGCTTTATTGTCACTATCTGAGGTAGTTCTGATGTTTCCAGTCAAGCCGCATTTTGAAGCAGCTGCACTATATGAACTGGCCAGATCACGGCATACCAGACACCATCACCCCCATCCTGGACATGCTGCATGAGATGCGGGTCTATCAGGCCCATGAGGATGTCCCGGTTTGCCTCCACTGCAGGTCAGAGTCACACACAACTCCAGTGTGGCATTTGTAGTCTCATGAAACACCACAGCCTATTTTCATTTTTTCATTTTTGCTTATTGAGCCTCAGAAAACATATTTTAAATCTGAACAAACAACACAAACTTCCTGAAAACATTTAAAAATGTCTGGTGATCCACAGGGTTTCATACTTGGACCTTTTATTTTTGGAGTCTCTGAATTTCTTTAAGTTGTTTTTAACAATAGGAAAGGATATTTTAGAAGCTAAATTGTCAACTCAAAGACTCAAAGACTGGGCAACAACACAGTCTACGAGGGGTTGGATTACAGGTGCTGTACACATGGTGACAATGTTCAAAAAGCTTCAAACCTTTTGGAGAATGAGTTCTGGGAAAACTCTTAAACACCACTCTTGCATTTTTATGTAGATGATACTTTGGTTTAATTTGCAGGTCGTCTGCTTCAATCCCCATGCTTTATGGAGGCATGCAGTGAACCAAACTGGGGAGGATAAAATGTAATACAATAAAATTAATCTACATTAATCTCGCAATATATGGCATGACAATTATTTTTGCTTTTTACATTTATTTAATCATTTGAATGCCTAAGAGATTTAAAATAAAATAAAAAGTGAATTTGCAACATATTTGTTGAATATATGAAACATGTTTTCACTGTTGTGTAAAGATTTTAAGATAAATAAAGATAATAAAAATATAAATTTAAAACATTCTGTCTTGTAGGCTAACTATGGCTACTTGTGGGCCATACACATGCACCGCATTAAGCCTCAGACGTATTTCAGACAGGAAATTTGTGTAGGTGGTAAACTGACAACCCACTGCATTGGAAAGTGTATGCGAGGGCATTTCCACACCCTGACTAGTCTAAAGCTTGTGTATACCCAGTAACAGCAGAGGTGTCCTCAAAAGAGATATTTGACTCTCTCCAGAATGACGACTTTTTGTCAGATGAGATGCTGAACCACCACACGAATCACTGAAAGTATTTATTCATATGTTTCCATACCTTATGCTTGGCTATGTGTGGCCATGTGTGGCTGCAGCATAAATGAAGACAGAAATAAAGGCCCAGAATCCAACGCACAAGTCATTATTGAGGAAAACGCGAATCTTTGAAGGGACCTGTTAATTAGTCAGTCGTTTACCTCAAGGAGACGTTAAAAAGACTGGATCTTTTGAACGAAGCGGAGCCGTGACAGCGGTGGAGGTGAGAGTACACGGGCGGGGGGGACTGGAAGACAAGGTGAACAGTTCTCTACCAGGACTCGTTCACTTTGAAAAACCGTTAAAAGGTTTGATTCGTTCGTGAACGTCGCATCACTAGAAGAATTACAGTAGACGTGTTTTGGTCACATTTGAAAAACAATCAGATTTATTTATGTTTTTTTTTTCTTTTCATTGTTGGTGCTGTGGGTGTAGTGCTGGCTGTGGGAGGACAGGTGTTCTGATGGTCATCGATTACACGTGGAACCTCCTCAGGAATCAGGTGAGTCTCACCACTATGTGTATTATTACTCTGATTTAATAAAAAAAACATCTGAACATTGTTTGTGTTTGTAGATGATCACTTCTGATTTCAGTATCTACAACTTAGTTCAGGACATGAGGACCCAGAGGCCTTCAGTGGTCCAAACCAAGGTAATCCATTAACTTCTAACAAGCACAATCAGCTTTCATAGTCCGGTTCCTTTGTTCTACATCTTCAGATGTCTTTGATTCTTGTTGTTTTGCCACAGGAACAGTATCTGCTGGTCTACAGAACTATCAAGGAACTTTTTCGGAGGTACCTGGACTCAATGGAGACCCAAAACAGCCCACGAGAGGTGAGAAACAGCATCACACATGTATCAATGAGCCAGAGAAAAAATAAAATGCAAAAGTTTGGAAGAAATCTGCTGCAGAAACATTTTTAGATCTTTATTTGCAAATGTTTGACTGTCGCTTTTAATGAGGATGTGGAGAATTTTTAAAGAGAGGTTTCAGATGTTTGCCACTGATTTTCTATTCCATGGATATTTCTAAAGAATACTCAGCTAGCTATCTGAAAGAATCAAGGAGGTAATAAACACCTGAGAGATTTATCTGCTATCTCGTGGAAAGCAAACCTAAATCAATGTGGGCTAAACTTTATTGTTGCAAGCCGCAGCAAATGCGGCATCTGCATCAAGTTACATAAATGTGTGAGGGGAGGGGGGTGGGGGGGATGAAAGGAAAAAAAATACCTAGTATGTATTCGTATGTGTATATATGTATGTATATAGATCTATAACTTAATGCTTCTTTCTGTGTAAATTGTTTTCTTTTTCTATTTTTTTCTCAAATTCATGGGTTGAGATTTTGTCGGCCAACAGGTCCAGGAACTATATTGTTCAATTTATTTAAGAATCATATGATTATTTCATTTGTATTAATGTTATTTTAGTTAAAAGGGGCAGACAACATAAGTTTTTCTTCTTTCTGTCCCCTTTTTCATTTTGGCTTGCAGCAATTTAGTTCTGACTGTATTTTTATTTCAATGTCAATAAATGAAAATAAAAGATTGGAAAAAAAAGGTGAAAAACACAGTTATTAGATCGAATGGCAGCAGCTGTGGAAACATTTCTTGTGGTTTCAGTAAAAGAATCAAGCCCCATGATCGGTGGAAAGTCGGTGAGAAACAAACTTATTAACAACTGTGGAAGGCGGATGAGTTTCCTTATTTCACATTAAACACAAAGTTATTTTCAAAAATGCACATTTTAAGACAAACTGTTCCCTAAAATGGAAAGGTGTTGGTGTCAGGACGTGATGACACAACTAATTATATTTGTATATTATTTGTATATTTGTATCTTTCATTGTTTTTGATTCGATCCTGTTCTGATCAGGTGCCAACGGCTGAAAATGGGCTCTCTGACCAAAGTCAGGAGTTTGATTTAAACTCTGAGCAACAGCGTGAGAAGGAAAGTGCCTTTCTACTGCGTTACCACACTCCCTTGGCCCCTGCCTCAGAAGACTTTTTTACCTTTGGAGTTGAAGACATGCGGTGGGGTCAGCAACAGTATCAGACCCTTCCAGATGTGCAGCAGAACCGGTATGAAGGACCAAACACCAGCCAAACAGCATCTACAGAGGTTGAGAGCGCTCCAGAGACCTGTGACTTTCCAGTCCAGAACTTCTCTCCCAAAGATACCATGGTGGACCCAAAGACGGTTTGTCTGATGGTGGAGGACCCTTATTTTGACACTCAGACGAGCTCCCCATCATCAGAAGAAGCACCAGCCGATGAGTCCAACTGGACCCAGAGTCCCATCTTCAGTGCGCCCGTGTTGCTGCTGAATGACCAGACCATGGGACCGGGTTCTCCTGTCTCAGGTAAACAGAAACAGTTGTGCATGAACGGATCTCACATTAAGCAACAGAATTAACTGATTTTATCATTCATGTTTTCATACTTTCAAAGTTCTGCCTGATGATGAAGTGCCTCCTCCATTACCTGAACGGACACCTGAATCCTTCGTCCTGGCTGTAGATACAGGTCCGCTGTCAACCCCACATCCTTTAGTCCCGCTACATCAAACAAATAATAATAATAATGATAATAATGCATTGAACTTATATAGCGCTTTTCAAGACACCCAAAGACGCTTTCATGCACACTCACATTCACACACTGCTAGAGATGGTAAGCTACTTGTAGCCACAGCCGCCCTGGGGAGGTCTGACAGAGGCGAGGCTTCCATTTGGCGCCGTCGGCCCCTCTGACCACCACTAACACAGGCAAGTTGGGTGAAGTGTCTTGCCCAAGGACACAACAGCAGGATACCCCCGGCGGGAGCTAAAATCGGACCCATGACCATGAGGCAACCCGCTCTACCACCTGAGCTACTGCTGCCCAAATCACATCCTTTCTTGTGTTAACATAAAAAAACTTGGTTGATCATATCTGTGGTGTAACAAAAGTTTGGAAAGCATGATAAGAAATGATTAACCAAAGACACGGTTCTTACTTTTGCTCATGCATTTGTTAAACTAAAACCTCGGTCAGATATATTGATCTCATTCATCAGGTCCATGTGAAAGGCCAGTCATGATCTTTCCACCCAAAGCTGATGCTACTGAGGATGTAAGTGAAGGTAAAACGATTTTACTTGAATGTTTTCATTTGTGCAGCCATGGATCTCCACTCTTTAGATCAAACTAGTCCACTTGTTTCCATTTTTTCTAAGGGGGCCCACCATCACCTGCACCCCCGCTTCCGGAGAGAACCCCAGAATCGTTTGAGTTAGCTGCTGATCCAAGTAATTTCATCAGCCCCAACAATCAAATAAACAACTAGAGGAAATGGCGATGATTGGTTTGATGTTGAACATTCTTGGTTTTTAGCTCCTGTAGTGAAGCAGCAAGTGGTCCCACTCGCAGTAAACCTGAGCATTGTTGGAACATCTTCAGAATGGTCTGGAAACTCAGCGCCAGAAGCCAACACAATGAACGAGTCATCTTTTATGAGAAGCAAAGTAAGTCTCCTGACTAGCATCCAGATGGCAAAGACTTCAGTAAGGGCCCTTTTCCAGCAGCGTGGCTCAGCTCGGTTCTGCACACTTCTAAGCCTTTTCACCAACTGGTACCAGGTTGCCACACTTTCTTTTGGTATCTGCTTATCTTTGGTTCGAAGTGTAACAAATTGGGCTGAAAATGCAGTCAGACTCTGTCAGTCACTGATTTGCTGGCGGAGGGGTCACTGGTTGCTCCAGAGTGTTTCGCCTCTTAAGGTTGGTTTATGCTTGACGCGTCCGCGAGATTCGTACGGCTCCGCACGGCAAAATTGCGTCATTTTAACAACCACGCGCCCCTCCACCGCGCCTCCGCACGGCCCAAACTTTCCGCACCGCCCACCTAGGAAATTTTCTAACCACGCGGACGGTCGAACACGGAAAAACAGGGCGGACCGGCAAGAACTAGTATGGCAGAGATTCGTAAATACAGACATTTGTATGATTCAGCTCTCAGAGATCACCGTGATCAACATGTTGTTAATAATTCTTGGAGAGAAATAGCTCGCACTGTCGGAAAAGACGAGGACGCTGTTAAAAATGCTGAAATGCCATGTTGTAAACAGTAATTTCTACTTCTACCATGGTGTAGTGTTGGATGCATGCTGTAGAGCTCCATGCTGCCCCCTACAGTTTGGGAGAATATTGGCTCACCGCAGAGACAAGCCGCATGAACCATAAACGCTGCAAGTTGTGAAGCACGTTCCATCCGCGAGCCGCATCACCAAGCGGAAAGTGAATGCGTCAAGCATAAACCAAGCTTTATCCCGTTGCCTTTTCCAGGTCAAAATGCCACAGACTGAGCTAAATGTTCAACATCGCTATCATGCCCCCCCAATAATGTGTTTTTTTGTTTGTTTGTTTTGTTTTAGTGTTACCCCACACTACTGTTTGAACCCTAGGGGGCTGCCCAGCTATAACGGGTGCCCCCCACCAGAGTTATTTCTTGTAAAGGAAAACTGTGGGCGGAAAAGGCAGGATGCGCTGAATGTGGGGCTTCATGACAGCGTAAACATGTACACCAGTGATCCCCAACTCCCTTCCCCGAGGGCCAGTATCCGGCGTGTTTTAGTTGTTTTCCTAATCCAGCACACTTTATTCGCCTGTTCAGCAACTCATTAAGCTCTGCAGAAGCCTGCTAATGATTAAAAGCCGGTGTGTTGAAGCAGGGAAAACAGTAAAACGTGCTGGATCTCTGAGAAGGGAGTTGGGATCACTGATGTACACTTTTTTTCAGTCTGAGAAAAAAGAAGTTGTGAAACTAGGAAGTTGAGAAGAAGATATTTTCACTAAGCAACCTAATAGAACTTAAAAAAGACAACCAGACTTAGCAAATGTATGCATATGTGAAAGAATTCATGTAAGTGTAGAAAGTACTGGTTACCAGTTCATAACAGCTTTTGACTGAATACTCACTTTGCACCAGTCAAAGCCCTGATTTAGTAATTTACATATTCACTGTGGTTTTAAAGTGTGAAATTTAAGAGTATTGATTGTTTCATTTCCTTCCCTGTAGAGTGTGAGAGCAAAAATGACTTTTTCAGGTAAGACATTATAACAAATGAGCTGACTGGTGATGAAACCTTAATCACCAATACAAGCTTAAAACCATACTGTGCAACTTGTTCATATTTTAAATCATTTTCTTGAGCCAGTATGTGCAAAGATGATCCTTTGCAAGGTTATTGAAATGTCACTCAGACCCGTACCGCCTCCTGTGGCCAGATTACCGCACTTGCAACTTCAGAGTGGCAGGCACCACCTGTTTAACCTATTAAAATTGGAGATGACATGCCTGGTGCTTCAGTCTGCTTCCAGCACGTTTTCTGCACATTTTCCATCATGAATACAGCGGACTTGTTTACTTTAGTAATGAGCCGATCCTGTAGACACTAATGAAGGCTGAGGAGACAATTCAGCTGTTAGATTAAGGGTTTAAAAAGATGAATGAACAGCGAGGAGATAAGTTTCATCTTTTTGTTTTAATAACTGAACACTGGGGGGGGGGGGGGGGGTCTCTGGCAGTCTCCTTTTTAACCCTTTGATGCATAATAGTCACTACAGTGGACAGGTACTCAAAATTGTTATTTACTTATTTTTTCTAGTAAGCACAGCTGTTGAAGACTTTATTGCATTTGAGCCCTTCCATTTGGACTTCAGTAAGCCAAGCCAACATATTTCATGTTCAGATTGCACGCTGTCCACTGAGGTGGACATGTAAGAAATTATTTGTAAATTACAAAATTTTACAAAAATATTTGTTGAAATTTGTTTCATTCACACCTAAAGATGAATCAAAAAATTGTTCAAGAAATCGTGGTTGAACATTTCATAATTCATGCATCAAAGGGTTAAGAGATTATATATATATTATGTGTGTGTGTGTGTGTGTGTGTGTGTGTGTGTGTGTGTGTGTGTGTGTGTGTGTGTGTGTGTGTATATATATAACTGGAGTTGTCCCTCCAGAGATATGCTCATTTGTACTTTTGTTGTGGGAGAGTACTTGATGCGGACAACTTCTAATGTTGCTTGTTTTGTGTTTGTGTCTGTGATGCTGTCGTCCTCCACATCAACCTAGGGATCTGGAACCTTTATGCAAAACACTGTTAGCTTAGACATGTATTTTATCTCTGCACAAAGATGATCTACAGTAGCAATACCTAAATCCCTAGGTTTTATTTTGTTAGCATAAAAAAATGGAGAAACCGCTCTTGATAATGACTAGAAATGGTGTTTTTGCCCCCCGGTGTTGTGCACATGTTCACCATTACATCTATAGGTTTTATATTTATTCTATTTTAGGGTTTGATGTGTTTTTAAATGTATTTCTCTTGATTTATTAAACCTTAGCTAACCCTAACCTTAAACATTACAGGTGCTGGCCAGTAAATTAGAATATCATCAAAAGGTTGAAAATATTTCAGTAATTCCATTCAAAACGTGAAACTTGTACATTATATTCATGCAATGCACACAGACCAATGTATTTCCGATGTTTATTACGTTTAATTTTGATATTTATAGGTGACAACCAATGAAAACATCAAATCTGGTATCTCAGAAAATTAGAATATTCTAAAGGCCAATGTAAAAATGTTTGTTTCTCTAATGTTGGCCAACTGAAAAGAATGAACATGAAAAGAATGTGCATGTATAGCACTCAATACTTAGTCGGGGCTCCTTTTGCCTCAATAACTGCAGTAATGCGGCGTGGCATGGACTCGATCAGTCTGTGGCACTGCTCAGGTGTTATGAGAGCCCAGGTTGCTCTGATAGTCGTCTTCAGCTCCTCTGCATTGTTGGGTCTAGCGTATTGCATCCTCCGCTTCACAATACCCCATAGATTTTCTATGGGGTTAAGGTCAGGCGAGTTTGCTGGCCAATCAAGGACAGGGATACCATGGTCCTTGAACCAGGTGCTGGTGGTTTTGGCACTGTGTGCAGGTGCCAAGTCCTGTTGAAAGGTGAAGTCTGCATCCCCATAAAGTTGGTCAGCAGCAGGAAGCATGAAGTGCTCTAAAACTTCCTGGTAGACGGCTGCATTGACCCTGGACCTCAGGAAACAGAGTGGGCCAACACCGGCAGATGACATGGCACCCCACACCATCACTGACGGTGGAAACTTTACACTGGACCTCATGCAACGTGGATTCTGTGCTTCTCCGCTCTTCCTCCAGACTCTGGGTCCTTGATTTCCAAAGGAAATGCAGAACTTGCTTTCATCAGAAAACATAACTTTGGACCACTCAGCATCAGTCCAGTCCTTTTTGTCCTTGGCCCAGGCGAGACGCTTCTTGCGCTGTTTCTTGTTCAAGAGTGGCTTGACACACGGAATGCGACACCTGAATCCCATGTCTTTCATGAGTCTCCTCGTGGTGGTTCTTGAAGCGCTGACTCCAGCTGCAGTCCACTCTTTGTGGATCTCCCCCACATTTTTGAATGGGTTTGTCGTCACAATTCTCTGCAGGGTGCGGTTATCCCTAGAGCTTGTACACTTTTTTCTACCACATTTTTTCCGTCCCTTCGCCTGTCTGTTAATGTGCTTGGACACAGAGCTCTGCGAACAGCCAGCTTCTTTAGCAATCACCTTTTGTGTCTTGCCCTCCTTGTGCAAGGTGTCAATGATTGTCTTTTGGACAGCTGTTAAGTCAGAAGTCTTCCCCATGATTGTGGTGCCTTCAAAACAAGACTGAGGGACCTTTTAAAGGCCTTTGCAGGTGTTTTGAGTAAATCAGCTGATTAGAGTGGCAGCAGGTGTCTTCTATATTCAGCCTTTTCAGAATATTCTAATTTTTTGAGATACCAAATTTGGAGTTTTCATTAGTTGTCACTTATGAATATCAAATTTAAATGTAATGAACATTGGAAATACATTGGTCTGTGTGCATTGCATGAATATAATGTACAAGTTTCACGTTTTGAATGGAATTACTGAAATATTTTCAACCTTTTGATGATATTCTAATTTACTGGCCAGCACCTGTATACCCTGGATGTTTGCGTTAAATGCTGTCTTTTGTGACCATGCAGGTGAGGCCAGTCTGGCACAGCCGATTCGGGACAGAACCACAGAACCCTTCGTCCCCACTACAGATGACAGTGAGCTCATCCTTTTTTCTGTTTAAAAAAAAAAACAGACATGGGTACCGAACCCCCCAAAATAAAATAAACGTTTTCAAAGAAATTGTGTTTGATTCCTTAGATCATGAGAAACGATTGATGCGCCCACAATCTGTAGGAGCAACACCTCTACTGAGGGTGGGACTGTCGTCTGAGTGGGACGGCACCTCTCAGTCAAAGAACATCCTTGATGTTGTCATGAACCGGAGCAAGGTAGTAGTAATTCCTTTTAATTCGGTTTGTTTGTACAAACACGTGTATGCCAGTCAGTTAAAAGTTTCCTGTGTAAGGAAACCCAGCAGACTGCATCGAGTCACTGACTTGTTTATTCGGAAACTACATCAAGCCCATGGACGTAATTTTTTTTTTTTTTGGGGGGGGGGGGGGGGGGGGGGTGGGGGGGGGGGGCATGTCCCCCCCCCCCCCCCCCACCTTTTCCAAAGTCAAGTTTTGACCCCTACACTTTTTATCATCCAAAACCAATGTTACGCTATATTAAATTGACACTGGTTGAGCTCTAGGACCAAGCAGAAAACAACCGTTTGTGTTGAAGCCTGTTTCCCATTAGAACATACTGTAAAGACCCCCCCCCCCCCCCCCCCCCCCCCCACACACACACACACACACACACTTCTAAAGTGAAAATTACGTCCATGATCAAGCCTCATACTAAGCAAGCATGTAGGGACAGCAGCTGTGTGCTGACTGTGTGGAAATATCAGTTTAGCACAATGCGACATGACCAAACACGAAAAGGGCTTCACGTCGGTGGGTTTCACCGATGTGAAGCTACAGTTTGGTGTGGTAGTAGCAGCTGAGAGTGTCAGCTCAACCCTTTATGTTTGACGACTGATAACTTTATTTCTACGATTTACTTCCTCAGAGTGTTCGAGCTAAAAGCTCTAAAGAAGGTAAGCTTTTTGTTCTCTGATATTTAGTCACTTAGCCACATTGTTTGGATATTTGCAAATACAGCTGAAAATAATGTATGCCCTTGAAATCTTCAGGTTGGGTCAGGCTCTTTTGGGTTTGTTTACTAAAATCCAGCAGTTGCTGTCATTGGTGCGGGAGAGTACACTTTTACAAGAAAGAAATGAAGTGTTTGATCATTAGTGGAAATAACTGTGGGGGGTTAACCGATATGTTCCTACTGCAGAGCCCCTCAGTGCCTCAAAGCAGCTCGCTCTCCTTCCTGAGGTCGCAGCTCAAGGAGGAAGTGGTGAGTCGGGTCGTTACGTACTACACACACAGTAGCCTCTCTCACACGTACGTTAGATATTAAATGTGCATGCACGAGTTTGGATCTGAACCTTCAGATCTTATTTACTATCCTGCACAAACATTACACCGCTCATCTAACGGTGTGATTGTCCCCCGTTCATCAGCACAACGTGATCTGAACCGCAAGTCCTCCCTGGACACTGATAGAACAGGACGCAAAGCAGACAAAAGCAATCAAAAGGGCATGTCTCGAGCTAAGGTAACAGAGCATTGATAACAGGGATTGTGTGTTAAATCTTGGCATCACCATAAATATTTTTACTCCTTTTAGAGTCTGAAATTTTTCAGAAGCAGGCTGAGACGTAAGTGATGCTTTTCGAAGAATTGTGTTAAAAATCAACGTGTGTAAAAACATAATAATTCAAATGTCTGATATTTCCAGCTGATGTTCCTCCTCCACCCCCACCTGCTGAAGCCAGAGCTAAATCTCCATCGCCCGCCACCTCGTCCGCTGTGTTTAAACTAGGTAAGAATATTGGTTTGTTTCAGGGGCTGAAACCTGACATTGGGTCTGGATCTTGGTGGGATTACTGAGTTCACATCTACACAAGTGGATCAGCAGAAATGATCTAGTGTCAGCCATGTACTGTGTGTCTATTATGGGCTGTTTTCACACATGCAGAGTCACTTACCCACATAGTTTCTATAAACCAAACCCTGTGTGACAGGGTGAGCATTCTGTGATTGTGTCCCAATTGATCATGCGCCCTGGCTACTTGACCACGGGGACATCCCTTTGGCTGACTGGTTAGCGCATGACTCTCACCCAGGAGTCTGGGGATCGAATCCCGCCTGGGCCCTCGTCTCTCCACCTGGCCACATTTGGCGTTATCGGCAGGATCCATGTAGTACTGTGAAGTTGGTCCATGGATTTAAAATATGTGGCACCCTGTGCGAGAGCACGGGGACATACTTGTGGAAAGAGGGGGGAGATGTGACACGGTGAGCATCTTGTCATTGTATCCTGATTGATCGTGCGACCTGGCTACTTGACCACAGGGATGTCCCTTTGACTGACTGGTTAGCGGGCATAACTCTAACCCGGGAGTCTGGGGATCGAATCCCATCCGGGCCCTTGTTTCTCCACCTTGCCACACCTGGTTCATGTTACCGTTTGACGACGTTCATTTGTACAGGTGTGTACACCACAGTCAAAACAAGCTTTAGCCTATAGCCAGGTGTGTTTTGTAGTTTAGCATGAGGTTAACATGAACTACTGTAGCTAACAGCTCACAAAGATTAACAACGTTGATTCCTCGTCGATTTTGTTCAAAAATCTTGAGATGTTTGATAGACTGGTGTGCAGATGTAGCCTAGTGAACTAGACCAAATTCTTTCTTTGCAAAGTTTGGTCTAGGCATGCTCCATTGGAACCTCAGCAGCTCCTACCAGGACTCTGGCTAGCCAATCACAGCTCTCTAGAGGGGTATCAAACACATAAAGAGCTGTGATTGGTCCATAATGGTGGGCCAGTCATAGTGCTCTATCTGCTTAGTGAACAAATCACAGAGCTTTATCCGCTTTGTGGGCCAATCAGGACACTCTATATGCCTGGTGGTTGGGATGATGCAACAGAGTGAAACAAGAGTATGTCACATTCATTGTCCAGTGGAATGTGGAGATCATTTGAAAGACAACGGTAGAACCCGCCCCACAACCGAGAGCCGTCAATGGAGCATGGCCAGACTAAATAATACATTTATTTAGTCTGGCTTGCCAGGCTAGTGCAGAGGTGCAGCTGTATGCTGAGGAGTGTAGGGGGGACAAGTACACAACCCTGAGGGGAACCAGAACTGATGGATAAACTTCCAGACTTGTAATTTCTGTGCGAGTTAGGATACAGTACCAAATGTACTCTGTAAACAAATCAAAGCAGAAAAACATCTTCATGAATACACAGATCAGTGAGTTTGGAGTGGACCTGACCTTTTATTTCAGGACTTGACTCAGTCATTTAGTGGAGAGTGACTAGGTCTTCCCTATGGTAGTTTTTTGGGTTTTACAAAGAAACTCTTCAAAATGACCTTGAAATCTTTTCAAGCACAGATGTCATGACACCACCCTTATTCTCCTCAGGATTTGGGAACCGCTTTGGAAAGCCAAAAGGCCCCAGGACGTATCCAGAGACCTGGTTATGAAGCAGCTCTTGAAAACACCCTCAACAACAGACACAATGACTTGTTTGACTGTTCACTGATTGGGAAAAGAAGCAGGTTTATTACAAATTTAAGTTACATCATGACAGAGGAGAACATAAAGGAGCTGCCTTGGTGTGAGCAAGTTTTAAAGAAGACCAGGGCAGCAGCGCCTCCATCTGGACACACACAGGAAGTGCCCACTCTGTACAATTTGTGTGGTAAAGCAGATTTGAGTTACTGACCGGTGGACTCAGAAGCAAGACTCGTTTAAATGCTCAAGAATAAAGTGCTTGTAGGAGAGAGGTCTGCCGAGAGAAGCTTACCTCTTTGTGATTGTGTGTGCGCGCGCGTTCAGAAAAAAGCCATTAACGGGTAAAACATCACATTTTTGCTGCCTTGTTACTTTTGAACTTTGTGGATACGTTTCACCAGTGTTAATGGACAGTGAGTGCCATGCATACAGTTATTTATTAAATGTATTTTCACTCTAAATGTGAATTCATGGGCTGCGCAGTGGTTATAGGGTTGCCTTGCAGCGAGAAGGTCCTGGGTTCACTTCCCAGCCTGGGATCTTTCTGCGTGGAGTTTGCATGTTCTCCCTGTGCATGAGTGGGTTCTCTCCGGGTTCTCCGGCTTCCTCCCACAGTCCAAAAACATGACTGTTAGGTTAATTAGTCTAAATTGTCCTTAGATGTGTGTGTGTGTGTGTGCGTGCGTGTGTGTGTGTGTGTGTGTGTGTGTGTGTGTGTGTGTGTGTGTGTGTGTGTGCATGATCGTTTGTCCTGTGTGTCTCTGTATTGACCTGCGACGGACTGGCTCTCCGTCCAGGGTGTACCCCGCTTGATTGCCCTTTGACCGCTGGAGATAGGAACCAGCCCCCCCCCCCAACGCGACCCTACATGGACAAGCGGGTTCAGACAATGGATGGATGGATGTGAATTCACGTTTCTGCCTTAATCTCATTGGAGTGCCTCTTTTCCTGTCTGTAACAATAAACCATTAACAATGTCTCGATGCAAAAGGAGAGAGATGAGAGAACAGGATGTGAGAAAAGCAGATCTAAAAAGCACGTCGACACGTTTCTGTCAGTCTTAGTTTAGAGACAGTTCTCCCTTTTTGACGAGGGGTTCTGTGAGACGGTTATGAACAAATAACATCTCACCGGTTGGAGGTTAGCTCTAACCAAACTGAGAAGCTAACAGAATCCTTAGTAAATAATGGGGAATGTTTGATTCGAGCGACTTCAGAGCGCTGTCCACAGCAGCTAAGATTTATAACCGTCTCACAGAATGACCTCATAAGCTCTAGTAAATTACATTAGAGATTCTGGGTTTGCGGAAAGGCCTCATTTCCAATCACACCACGTAGCAGGTGTCAGATCATTGTCCTCTTCAGTCATCAACGCTAGGTGAGGCCGATCGTGCACAAGACAAGGCACTAAGATGCAGTCAGGGCAAAGGAAATGAGCATCATTTCCTTCACAGCGGGCTACTTTTAGACGACACGACAACGGCCGCTTTTCACATGTAAAAGTCAGATGTAACGGAATGAAATGACTGTTTTCCACCTAAAAGTCAGTTTCCCCCTCTCCTCTGACACAGAACTAGTCTGCATGAGATATGGCCTCATGGTCTCATGCATTTGTTATAAACTGCTTCCTTTCCAGCTCAAGAGAAGAATGAAGAATGGACTCTCTCCTTTTAATAAATCAACGAACTCTGTTTTAATAAAGCTAATCAAACAGTGTTAGTCAATAATAAAATGTGACCAATCTGTGAAATCAAAATATTAATTACTTTATTATAATCCTATAGAATATAATAAGTAATATGACTTTAAATGTTTCCACTAGGACTGATCTCATGTAGTGTCATGAGACGACACGACACATTGCTTTACTGATCCAATCAGAATCTGCCAGATGTGACGGAGGCGTGGTTTTGGTGGTGTTTGGTAAATCTGTCCTCTTTTCATTCGACCATAAACCAAAACATCCAAAGTATAAAACTATGCCCACGCCATCTTTAACGCCAGTTCAAAGCGTTTGAGAGAAGTTGACGGAGTGGCCAATCCGTGACTTTCCTCTTCAGCCGAAAGAACCAACGACAAGCTGGATAAAACCTGTTGCTGTCCTGTCTATGTGTGTGTAATCTTGGTCAGGCTGTTCTGTGGAGTCAAGTTCCAATGCTCTGGGTCGCTGGCAATAAAATTTTTTCTGATTCTGAACTGCTGCAACAGTTCCTTTCAGAATAAAAGCTGAACTCACTGACCTCCTGGGTCCATCTGACGCTGTCAACCAACTGTCGGTTTTTACCTGGAGATAATCCAAAGACTAGTCTGTCGTCCTGCTGACACTGTTTCATCGGCTCCGATACCGAAAGGGGGGTTCGAGGACCTGGCATTCTGGATCTGTACGAAGTGGTTACCTAATCCCTGCAATAAAAAGTTCCAATCTTCTGGTTAAAATGTACCCACAGATCCATAAGGTTGATTTCATATTTACTATGGAATCTCATGTCTTGTGGCTTATTAAATAACATCGTCGTCGTCGTCTTCCTCCGCTTATCCGGGTCCGGGTCGCGGGGGCAGCATCCCAACTAGGGAGCTCCAGACCATCCTCTCCCCGGCCACCTCCACCAGCTCCTCCGGCAGGACCCCAAGGCGTTCCCGGACCAGATTGGAGATGTAACCTCTCCAACGTGTCCTGGGTCGACCCGGGGGCCTCCTGCCGGCAGGACATGCCCGAAACACCTCCCCAGGGAGGCGACCAGGAGGCATCCTGACCAGATGCCCAAACCACCTCAGCTGACTCCTTTCGATACGGAGGAGCAGCGGTTCTACTCCGAGTCCCTCCCGAATGTCCGAGCTCCTCACCCTATCTCTAAGGCTGAGCCCGGCCACCCTACGGAGGAAACTCATTTCGGCCGCTTGTATCTCGTTCTTTCGGTCATTACCCAAAGCTCATGACCATAGGTGAGGATTGGGACGTAGATGGACCGGTAAATCGAGAGCCTGGCTTTCTGGCGCAGCTCCCTCTTCACCACGACAGATCGGCTCAGCGTCCGCATCTCTGCAGACGCCGAACCAATCCGCCTGTCGATCTCCCGATCCCTCCTACCCTCACTCGTGAACAAGACCCCGAGATACTTAAACTCCTCCACTTGAGGTAGGACCTCTCCCCCGACCCGGAGGTGGCAAGCCACCCTTTCCCGGTCGAGAACCGTGGTCTCAGATTTGGAGGTGCTGATCCTCATCCCAGCCGCTTCACACTCGGCCGCGAACCTACCCAGCAAGAGCTGAAGGTCAGAGCTGGATGAAGCTAGGAGGACCACATCATCCGCAAAAAGCAGAGACGAGATTCTCCTGCCACCAAACTCGACACACTCCACACCACGGCTGCGCCTAGAAATTCTGTCCATAAAGGTAATGAACAGAACCGGTGACAAAGGGCAGCCCTGGCGGAGTCCAACCCTCACTGGGAACAGGTCCGACTTACTACCGGCTATGCAGACCAAACTCACGCTCCTCTGGTAAAGGGACTGAATGGCCCTTAACAGAAATCCACCCACCCCATACTCCTGGAGCGTCCCCCACAGGGTGCCCCTGGGGACACGGTCATAAGCCTCCTCCAAATCCACAAAACACATGTGGATTGGTTGGGCAAACTCCCATGCCCCCTCCATCACCCTTGCAAGGGTATAAAGCTGGGCCACAGTTCCACGGCCAGGACGAAAACCACATTGCTCCTCCTCTATCTGAGATTCAACTATCTCATTAGACTAGCTTATTAAATAACATGTCATTGAAATGATTACACTGACGACCTCCTCCAACACAATGATGGCATTTCATCACGAGACCTTGTGTTTTTGTTGTAAAACCAGATCTAATCCAACCGAACAGAAACTTCTGCATTTACGTCCACATCTAGACTCAAACTCAACACACTTGGTTACCTGCTAAAACTAAGCAATGTTGAGTGCTTTCAACAAAAGGAAATGAGTGACATCATTCTCCACCCTCAGCTAGAACAGAAGTATTGTTCACAAAGTGGAATCTGAAGAAAAACTCCAAACATGAATTATTTACGTATGCATCACTAAAAGCAACACGACCCGTGCTCGGGTCTCTCCTATCAAAATAAAATAAATATGACGAGTATAAAACAAACAAGGTTCCAATAAAGACCTTTTTTTGAAGCCACTACAAACATATAAAAGTACTAAGTGCTTCGTGTTGTTCTTCTTAAGCGGGAAACCATCCTGTCACCGTGCATGTGTCGTGTTTTCAAGTCACACGTCCACAATCGGGGTGGGGGGTGGGTGGGGGTAGATCATTTTGAGATGTCAGGAGTGTGGGTGTGGGCATCTGGCAGGGGGGGCATTTTGGGAGGTGTGCACCCAGAGTGGGCAGAGGCTGAGAACAGGTGAGGAAGGTGTGCAGACTTGGTGGGCTGAGGAGCAGCAGGCTGAGACTCTTTGGACGGCGTCGCTGGCCGCTGGAACTCCGGCTCTTCCGTTTTAGCCACGCCCCCGTGGATGCTGTCCACCGGCGGTCTGGCACAGGGGGCGACAGTGGAGTTGAGCCTAGCTGGGGAGGAAAAGGAGACCCGGCCCGAGGTGGGGCTGAGGTCTTTGGGGCGCTGCCCCTCCTTGGCGTCCTCGGAGTGGTACCGTTTGAGGCGGATGTGCCAGGCCAGGCTGCAGACGGCAGACACCGTCTTAAACTGGTGGATGACGTTCCTCGGAATGAAGTAGATGTCGTCGTCACATAGCTGCGTACGGACGTAGCGAATGCCTTCCCGCCTCAGCTGGTTGAGCTTGGCGTCATCCACCCACTGAACACACTGCACGAGGACACACACACACACACACACATTTAAATAAAACCTAAGCACAACCGGGAACACTTTGGTCTGAACTTCTTACTTGAGAAACCGGGGGCTCGTACAGATCCAGCTGCAGCCTCTGGACAACCTCACTGAAGTCTCCAGCATCAAAACACACCACATCTTTGGTTATCCGGGGCCGGCGCTCCCTGTGAGACATCCAATAAAACCAGCTAATTCACAGATGGTACATTTGAACAGATGTCCGATGTGAGACTTCAGACCTCTAATCTGTTCAGTTCAGATCACAACGTTATGAATTATGATCAGATGAGTTATAATTAAAATCCCTCATTTCCATAAATATGTACTTCCTATGCAAAAGTTCCATTTCTACTGCCTTTGTGAAGAAACGCTCAGGGTGCCCAAGAAAGTCCAGCAGCACCAGGACCGTCTCCTAAAGTACATCCGTCTGTGGGAACGGTGCGCACCAGGACCGTCTCCTAAAGTACATCCGTCTGTGGGAACGCTGCTCCATCAGAGCAGAGGTTTTCCAGCAGGAGGGGTGGACACCACCCCACACGCAGCACAATGGAAGCCCGGCATTGAGAGAACTGAAGCACCGTTCCTTTGGGTATAAAGATGTCGCTGTGCCGGTGTCGGTACAGGATCAGCTCGGGGTCCTTCGACTGCCGATGACGTCACATGACTGCAAATCTACTCGGCTTTCACACACACACGTTTTGGAAAGACATCAGCAGTTTTGTTAATGAATTCTTGTTTGTTAACACCTAAATGTTTTCTTTATAATTGTATTTTGTTAATAAAACACTGTATTATCTGTGTTTTGTAAAGAATGTGAAACTGCATAAAACCAACATCAGACTGACCCAAAATAGAACAGTTCTTATACGTGAAGCCACATCTGTTTGTATTAATGTGGAGTTCGTCTGTAAATCTCCTTAGTTGTTATCTAAACACATTCTTTGATTCAAAATGTTGCTTGGTGTCTTTCAATAAAGTTCTTATATTTAATTTTGCCCCATTTCATCAACATCAAGAGCTTTTGAGGGTCACCGTTTATCATTTGCTTATATTTTACATTTCCTTTAGAAATTCAAACATATTTTCTCTAAAAAGTGTTGATTTTTACATTACAGGACTACGACCGCAAATTTGTTCTGACCAATCAAAATCATAACGTGGTAACGTAACTTCCGTAAGCTTCACGTTTAGCCAATCAACTACTTTGACGTCATCGGCAGTCGAAGGACCCCGAGCCGATCCTGCACCGACACCGGTACGACCGATGATTGGCTGCTTGGGACATCCCTGCATGCACCCCTCCACCTCTTCACTGGCCTGGCTGTGCAGGCCTTAACTGCACGGAGTGGCTGCAGGACAAAAGCCTGTTTGAAGGGGTTTAAAGGTTGGTTTATGCTTGACGCGTCCGCAAGGTCCGCACGGCTCCGCGCGGAAAAGTTGCGTCATTTTAACAACCACGCCCCTCCACCGCGTCTCCGCACGGCCAAAGATTTCCGCAACGCGCACCTAGGAAAATTTCTAACCACGCGGACGGATGGACGCGGAAAAACATGGCGGACCGGCAAGAACTAGTACGGCAGAGGTTCATAAATACAGACATTTGTATGATTCAGCTCTCAGAGATCACCGTGATCAACATGTTGTTAATAATTCTTGGAGAGAAATAGCTCGCACTGTCGGAAAAGACGAGGACGCTGTTAAAAATGCTGAAATGCCATGTTGTAAACAGTAATTTCTACTTCTACTATGGTGTAGTGTTGGATGCATGCCGTAGAGCTCCATGCTGCCCCCTACAGTTTGGGAGAATATTGGCTCACCGCAGAGACGAGCCGCACGAACCATAAACACTGCGAGTTGTGAAGCGCGTTCCATCCGCGAGCCGCATCACCACGCGGAAAGTGAATGCGTCAAGCATAAACCAAGCTTTAGGTGGCGATGGTGAGATGACGCCTCGTGATGAACTGAAGCTTTCCATCCAAGCGGTCGACTCGAGGCGCAGTGATGGTTCGCTTGCTCCACCGAGCCATCAAGTGGACGCTTTGTTTGAAACAGGCACAGTGATTATAATGAACCTTATAAACAGAATAAATAAACGAATATTTGCAATGGCAACATATAAATTCGGAATACTGACTTAACCTGTCCTTTTAGTACTTTGACTGGGGGGTTTTTGCTGCCGCTTTTATTTTGAATCCCATGTGAACCAGGGAGCCGGTTCCTGAATCGGTCATGTGGTACGGCCGGCCGGCGAGGCCTCGAACGTTACCACGTATGTAATCAAAACGAGCCTCGATACGTGCTCACAAAAAATCTCCATCCCGACGCGCTTCGAAGCATCGACACAAAGGACACATCGCCAGGTTTAGGGGCTCACTGCTGAGATCAGAGTGATCAAGGAGCATCCATCAGGGACAGGCTGATGTTCTGCTAAAGGTCCAGGATTGGTCTGCTGCATAAAAAGTCATTTTCTCTGATTGTCTGGGGAAGAAAAGGTCCCCATAGGTCCTGTGTCCTTCAACCATATAGCACTCTTGGACCGTTCAAGCCCCTCCAACAGTCTGGTGATGAACAATGTCTCCTCCAGCATGGTGGAGCACTGGGCCAGAAGGTTAAAGTCAGAGCTAAGTGGTCCTTGTCCAGGACACTCTCCACTCCAAAAGCAAAACACACAAATTTGAACAAACGGGGAGTCTTATGTCAGGGCCTGGACCAGAAGCTGACCGGAGCTGCAGACGTCTTGGAGAAGAAGGACCAACACAGCAAATACTGACTCTTTGCATCGACTTCACACCTTTTTATAATAATAATTACAGGAAACCCAGACTTAGTGAGCATGTCATTCTCTAACCTTGTATATCCACGCATGCTCATCGATATTTACCCTTCTCCAAAGCGCACGGCCTTCAGGACACCGACAGCAGCTGTGCTCTGCCAGTCAAAACTCTGACCCACGTGATCAGCATGGGCTTTGGTCCGGTCCTCAAACAGAACCTCTCTAGGCTCGCTGGCTCTTGGCAGGTAGTGCAGATTCTTGATCTCGTTCATGGATCTAGGACAGCAAAACCAAACCACGTTAAAGCTGTAAACCACCATATTTACGACCCTTAAACCATCATTCTGACATGTTTACCGGCGCCGTTTGAACGGAGACTTGGGCATATCGGCGGTGGGCACCATTTGTTCTCCTGGTCGCACCCACATGATCGGCCCGTCGTCGCTCTGGGAGCGACAGTCCAGCTTGAGACTGGAGAGGGTTCCCCAAGGCAGGGTCATCTGCAGTTACAGACACAAATAACTCCAGCTGGAAAGCCTCCATATGACAGGATCAGCACTGCTTTGGCTTACAGCATAACAGGCGTTGAAACCAGACGTCACAAAGCTTCCCAACATGCTCCCTAATCAAACCCTCATTGCAATATGTGCACAATCGTTCGTAGTTCATCAGGTTTCCTTTAACTTGCTTAACTCCTTCACTCTGCTAAGGTCATAAACATCTTGCTCACACCTTGAGGAATGGCGACTCTTCCAGCATGTCCAGGAACTCTGGGAAATAGTCTCCGACTTCCTCATCCACGGCTCCGACCAGGCTGATCTGCCTCATGGGTCCGGCTCGGTATGTTCCTGAGCAGTATGTGCGGTTCACCTGAGACACAGCAACGCTTTAATGCCTGTTCCAAGCTGAACTCACACCAAGCACTGATATATTGTAACACCTCGTTGTAACAGGGACTTCAACTTCACACACATTATTCTTTGTTCATTTGGTATCATTTCCCGGTGAGGGCTGCAGAATAGGCACCAGCTCTCCGACAAGAGACGGGGGACGCCCTGGACAGGTCATCGGTCCGCAGTTCTAGGCCTATTCACCACTGAACAGCTCAACGTTTAGACTAGTGAACTAGACCAAATTCTTGCTTTGCAAAGTTTGGTCTAGGCATGTTCCATTGGAACCTCCGCAGCTCCTACCAGGACTCTGGCTGGCCAATCACAGCTCTCTAGAGGGGTTTCAAACACATAAAGAGCTGGGATTGGTCCATAATGGTGGGCCAATCATAGTGCTCTATCTGCTTAGTGAACAAATCACAGAGCTTTATCTGCTTTGTGGGCCAATCAGGGCACTCTATAAGCCTGGTGGGTGGGATGATGCAACAGAGTGAAACAAGAGTATGTCACATTCATTGTCCAGTGGAATGCAGAGATCATTTGAAAGACAACGGTTGAACCCGCCCCACAACAGAGAGCCGTCAATGGAGCATGGCCAGACTAATAAATACATTTATTTAGTCTGGCTTGCCAGGCTATTCAACGCTGCCAACTGCTGACAAAAATCAAATACCTGCTTAAGATGTGACCTCAGGATGGTGTTTCACAACTCTGAGTGTTGTGTTGAATACGACAGCATTAACTAATACACACATCTAGCCTCAGGCCTAGGGAGAATGACATTCAGCTGCTGATATGGCACTTTCACTATCTAAAATTGAAGTAGTTGTCGTTTTGCACAGAACTGTTTAAAATGTAATCATGCATGATAGGACGTATATGATGTTAGTAACCTAAAATGTTTTATTTTTATGAGGGGGGGGGGGCACAGCATACATCAGTATAAGAAATTAAAGGGAGACAAGGCTGTTTTAGCTTGCTTTTAGCACCACCTAGTGTCAGTTTAGTACAGGGGTCGGCAAACTGTTCCCATCAAAGAGCCATTATTAACCGTTTCCCACAGTAAAGAAAACACTGGGAGCCACAGCAGCTGCGGCGTTGTGGGCGGGGCCTACCCTCAGACAGCAGAGAGCTGCTCACAACAGATGACAGCAGCCAGTACCGGTCGCTCGTGTACGTCAAAGTTATCTTTCATAAGACGATAATCAATAAAACGATTTATATAAAATGGATCCAGAAGTCGTAGCCTGCCTCTGCCTACAATATTTAGACATTTTTCACCCTGTTGGTGGTTTTACTGAGCAGGTGCCACTTTTGTCATACGTTTCTTTTTAAAACATGTTTAGACTGTTCAGAATACAAATCCAGGCTCTGTCACGTTTGATTGTTGTAATTAAACTTTGTAGGTGGGGAAGGTCAGAAAAGGATCCGATCAATTTGTTTTTCCCTCATTTACAATGACGTAGATAACGGTGCAGTGCGCCTGGCTCTGGTGGTAATCAAGTTAAATTATATCTCTTTGCAACAATTTTCACAAGAAAACAGAACAGTTAAAAGCAGGGCTTGAGTTGTGCTGACCGGACAGTTCCAGTATTTGACCGTTTATTTTGACGGAGAAAGAATAGAAAGAATTGCCCCGATGCATGCAGACGAACTGACACTTTATTCGTTTCGCACATCGCAGATGTAGCTAAATCACTCAAGAAATGATTCCCATCTGAACATCTGAGCTGGACACTGCTCAGCGCAGCTCACTGTCAGCGTGTATTACATAAGGTCCACAGCGAGCTGAAGATGTGGAGAGGGGCTTGGAGCGTGTCGCAGAACCAGAGCGCATGCGGAAAGATTCCTCCGACTGAAGCGAGACTTGTCACTTAGAAAATGTTCCCTGATTATGAAACTTTGGCTGAATAGCGCTTGTTCCTGTCTCCAATGTGGCGACACATCCAGGAGCCGTCTGAGGAGAATCCCAGAATCTCACATCCTCTTCAGCTCAGAAAGCGCCTATATGATTACGCACAAGCGTGACGCGTCAACCCGGTCTCACAGTAGACCGGGTTGGACCTGTTCAGGTTTACGCAGACAATCTTTACATTTAGAATTGGCATACAGATGTAAAATTAATGCAGTAAAATATAAAGCATTTTATTTAAATATCCAGTCATTATTTTACAAGCACAGAGAGCCGCATCAGATGGATGGAAGAGCCGCATGCGGCTCCAGAGCTGCGGGTTGCCGACCCCCGGTTTAGTAGAACCAAAAGCAAAATGTATCTCCTCGCTGTGCGTTCATCTTTTTAACACCTTAAAGTGACAATGTTTGCACTGTTAGTCTATGGAAATATCCATTGAAATGTTGTAAATTAATTAAAAGATGCCCATTGTTGAAACATATTGGCAGTTTCGTAACATATAGCCATATAAATCTGTTCTAAAATACATGGGAGTGGGTCTAAGTCAATGGGCGACGCCATATTGGATGCTATGCTTCCCTCTACGGAAGCCCATGAGGACAAAAGCATTTACTGATCTGTAACAAATGGTTACAAAACTTTCACCGTTTGTGAATGTTGTTGTTTTACACATTTACCTCTTCACTCGTTGCCAGTGGTGAAAGGGAGAATGATGTTCTTGTTATTTTGCTGGAGGTTGTGCTCCCAGGGATTTTTGACCCTAATGGCCATCCATTGGTAAGTTCCTACTTGAACACAAAAGTAATGCTTGCTTGCAATTATTTAGGTAAATACTGCCCCCTATCGCCAGGGAAAGTACACACTGTCACTTTAATCTGAAGGATGAAACGTCTACCCAGCCTTCACTAGTGTCTACAGGAGCAGGCCATCACTAAATTAAACACATCAGCTGTGTTCATGATCTAAAACATGCAGGAAATGTTCTGGAAGCAGACTGCAACACCAGGTATGTCAGCTTCAAGTCCAACAGACCGGACCGGCACTCTGAAGTTGCAAATGCAGTATTCTGGCCACAAAGGGAGGTGGGGGTGTGAGTGACATTTCGCTAACTAAAGGGTCATTTTAGCACATCCTGGCTCAAGAAGATGACTTAAAATATGAAAAAGTTGCATAATATCCCTTAAAAAGTCAGAAAATTTTAAATACATTGATAAACACTAACCCAGTGGGACCACGCTGGAATGCAACTTATAGTAAGTATATGAAACAGCACAGCTTGACATCATCACAGCTTTGTTTAACTAAATGACAAATATGATCCAGACCTTCTGGATTCTGGCTTTCTCAGAGATCACTGCAACTCTGGTTTGGGTTTTCTAGCTTTATTTCTAAATTTGGCGAATCTTTGACCTTTTACACATACCTGAGCATGAAAGTTGCCAATTGTCGTGGTTTCAATGTCCTTCTTGCCCAGTATTTCCATTTTGACTGGCGTGTTGGGGAAGTTGAAGGCAAAGTAGTCCAGGAAGTCAGGCAGGTACGACGCTGCGCCGTGCACCACCGTTAAGGCGTAGACCGCTGCACCTTTAAGTTTCTCAGCGAAGGTCAGATCCAGGAACTCCTGGGCAAAAGCCTCCATCTCAGCTGGACTGAGGAAGGCCAGCTCGTCGGCGTACGCGTGCAGAACAGCTCCCCCACCATTGGGTTGCCTTTCTTCATGCATGAAGCAACTGTACCTGGTTCCCATCTGGAGGCATTTGCTTCGGATGTAGTGGTCTTGATGGGTGAGGAAAGGAACACCACCCGCTTTCAGAGCATGGGGGTAGGAAGGGCAGTTGTCGGCTGTGCCACTGACAGGTCGTCGAGTGGCTTCCTGCTTTATGGCAGCAGGTAGAGAAGAATCAGGGTGAACGGGCTTTTTGACGTCAGCTCCAAGCCCAGCGCACAAGGTCTGGACTGCTTTGGTGTGCATGTGTCGGACCTTCTTCCCACCGTGATCATCCTCGTGATGCTTCTTCTTCTTTTTCTTCTTCTTCAGAAGGTAATCCTCCAGTGTTAGGGACTTGCCATTTTCCTTGTGGGGCCTGGACTCTGCAAAATAAATAAATGAAAAAAATTAAAACAATACGTTGGAATAGGTTTTGCTGACGGTTGCATCAATTAATGCAAAAGTCAATGTTTGCAGTACATCTGTAGTTCACCCTGACATGCTGCTGGTCACAACAGATGGAGCTCATTCATCATCATCATCATCATCATCATCTGAATATGTGTTTTTCATTTGGCCTAACCATGACTCAGGACTGACCGCAAATCTTAAATGGGATTAAGGTCTGGGAAATTTCCTGATCTTTGGTTTGTGATCCACTTAGTTCTGAACTGGTGCTCCATCATCATCACCATCATCAAATCCAGGAAGAGCAGCTGTACAAGTTGTGACGACTCTGGATTGGACTGTTGCCGAATGGTTGGAGGAGTCCCCCTGGGAGGATGTTTAGGTACTTTTCTTTCTTTCGTCGTGGCTAAAACATGATTTCACTCCCTTTGCTGAGAAGGAACATCAGTTTGTCCTTTCCTTAGACACCAGTTATGCTCTAAAGGTATCAGGCGATATCAATGCCAGCTGACGTCCCAGACCAAACTCATTCTGGGGCTGCTCTGGTCCATCAGCTGGATGAACTTTAGAAGATGGTCGTGGTGCAGCTGGACTTTAAAAGGGCATCCTGAACCTTTCTTCCCACACGCAATGAAAATGTCTCTTTGTAAGGAATTAACTTTAAAGTAACTTTGATTTTGATTCCAGTTAATCAGATCACTCTTCAGGAAAGTTCATGCACACTGATATAAAAACGAAGGACTTTGCAGCCGATATCGTCACTGTTCTCAAAAGCTGTGAACTTGATGCAAAAGCCAATAATTGCAATCTACTCTTCTCACTAAGTATTTCAAATTAGGGAAATACAGCATCAGACAAAATAACACTAAAGTTAAAATGCACAAACAGACAGTAAAAAGATGAAGTCCATCACCATTAATTTCTGGATTTTGGAGAAAACCTGCAAACATATTTATTGCTAGTTATGGAGCACGGTGGTGGAAGGCTGATGATTTAAGATAAACAAACCAGACTCAAATGTGGCCACACACCTGAGAAATTATCTAAAATAGAGAGTCAAAAAAAAGCTTGGTTTAATAATGGTCAAATTATTATATTAACAGTAGTAATATCCTTATTATTATTATTATTATTATTATTATTAAGCTTACCTTTATTCTGCAGCGGGTGCTTCACATTGGTCTCAGAGTTCTCCTTCTTCAGCCGGAGTTTGGGCTCCTTGTCTCGGGGCTTGTCTTTCGGCTCCTGCGGCCGGGCCTTGACCACTTTGAGGGGCGTGAAAGTGAAGAGCGCAGGTGGCTGTGGAGGTGCCGCTCGGTTCGGTGGAGGGAAACCGGGCTGCAAGCTCTTCTTGGTGCAGTTGGTGAGACCGTGGCTGTGTGGGCGGTGGTGGTGGTGGAGGTGCAGGGCATGCTGTTTATCCGCGCTGAAGTGGTGTGTTTTGGGGTTCTGCTGCAGCTGATGCGGCTGCTGGTGGGTCCGGGGCTCAGCGTGCTGCTGCTGCTGCTGGTGGTGGTGATGGAGCTTCACCTTCTTCTCGCACCTCTCCCGTTTAACATCTGGCGGCGACAGCTGCCTCTTGTTCTTCCTCTCTTTGATGAATCTGTCAAAGCTGTCCCTTACGCGTTCATCTTTTACTTTCGCACGGAGCAAGTCCACTTGGGCTGCCATCTTTGCACGTACAGTCCATTTAAAGGACTGGGGGGGGGCTGCTACTGCGCATGCTCGCGACAATTTGTAGTCCTTCGGCTGTCAGTTTGTAGTAAACTGGAGAAGGGTCCAGATGCTTACTGTTCTGCGCATGCGCACAGACTGCATTGTGGTTGATGTAGTTAGTAGGTGACGAAATGCATGCTGGGAGTTGGGAGTTGAAAACGCAGCGAACGTGCGGAATGGCACGCACTCATCTCCCCTCGGCTGACGTCACGATTCATGTTCTCACCACCACGAGAGGGCGCTTCCACAGGTGGAACGACGTTAGTGAGGGAACCGTGCAGATGTTACACAGAACTCCTAAACACACATACATTTCCAGCAACTCCCAAAGAATATGCCATACTGTTTGCTGCAACACCTATGGGTGTCAGAATGCTTTTTAAAGGTGTTCTACCAGTTGTACCTATTTCTCCTCCCGACCCTGTGAACACATACGTAGGAAAAGTTTGTCTTACCGAGCATAAAAACAGTGATAGGAATATTCGTGCTTTATTTCAGAGAGAATCCTTATCTGTTCCGTATGTGATTTTTTATTGGAATTCCTTTGTCACTGACATCAGTTGGAAAAGAGTATGGACCATACTTATTAGGATAAGTATTTTGTGACAAATAAGGTCAAAGAAGTTTCATTCAAAATACTTCATAAGTGTTACCCAGCTAATCACTATATGACAAAGATTAAGAGGGACATTGATGTGAATTGTTGTTTTTGTGGAAGCCAGCTGAGACCGTTCAGCACCTCTTCTGGATCTGTTCACATGCTACAACGTTTTGGAAAGACTTTAGCAGATTTATTACCGGACAGCTCTGCAAGGACTTTGTTTTAAAATGGGAAAATGTTGTATTTTGTTTTTTTCGCAAGCACAGAAAGGAAGATGTATGCTTTGTTATAAATTTGTTAATTATTCTAGCTAAATTCTATCTCCACAAATGCAAATATAGTAACCAAAAACCTAATTTCAAGCACTATTATAGTGACACTCTATCTTACATAAACTTGATTAGTGGATCACTAAACAAAAAAGCTTTAAAAACTGTAACTATTTGCACCACCTATAATTTATTTGGATGTGTGTAACATTTCTGTAGTGCACCCCCTGGCATATGTTTCATCTTCTTTGTTCAATTTTGTATGCAATTTGATTGTATACTTTCACCTTGTTCAATAAAGTTTTGAAAAAAAAGGGAACTGTGCAGATGTGGCAGGTGGTAGAAACCAGGAAGTGACAAGACATTTATAAAAATAAGAAAAATACATTCCTAATGAAGACAAATAAAAATACAAAACTTTCACTTTCATTCAGTAAACTTTATTTATCAGTGCATGAACATTTGCCATAATCATATAATTTCTTTTCACCCATCTTATATCATTTCTTCTCAATTCCCTTAAAAAAATAATGAAACAATTTACAGAGGATTCTGTTTGTTTTTCTTCACGAAGGCAAATATTTATACAGGTGCTGTACACTTTATAAACATTTACATCTACTGTGATGTCAAAACCATGACTTCTATTTTAAATATGCCAGAGCAACGCAAGGCCACCGTATCGGACATGGTAACGACATGAACAGTAAGTCACACAGGGGCCCGTCGTGGTTATTTAGTGGCCTCAAAGACAATAAACATCCTTGTTTGGAAGCAGGCAGGTGGACGAGGAGTTCAGGTTAAAGCTATGACTCGTTTGTGCACTAGACGGCGCCATAGTCCACAGCAGAAACATGAACGCTACATTTGTGTTCAGATTCCCAGAGAAGCAAAGTTTAACAACTACACCATAAACCAACTATTTGAATTTGGGTTTCAAATGAAGAAAATTTTGTTTTTGTGCCTAGAATTATAATAAAAACACTAATCTCTAAAAGTTGAGTAAATCAAGACAGACTTCTTGCCTTTAATCAATCTGACTCCATAAATTTCATTTTCTAAAACATGTGTCGATACGTGAGGAGCCACATAGTTAAATAGCATGTTTCTAATTAAATATAATCAATGCTAGCTCAATATGTTGAAGGTGTGGCCTACCGGTCAGCTTGTAAACACACACAGTGCAGCCAACGTGATGGATTACACTTCATGAGTTATAATCTGGTGGGATTTTTGATGCTTATCTACATGGTCTGCTTCTATCCAAGTGCACGTCCAAAGGGAGATGCCTCTGCAAGGACAGCTTGTTTTCTTATGGAATGGACATTATGCTTAATTGTCACAACACAAACATTGTAATTAACATTAAATTTAGAAGCACAAGTATCTGGTCTGCTCATTGGTACGTATAAAGCTCCAGGGTGGACGCACCGCCCAGATTCCATACATGACTTCACAAGGTTGCATTCACGAGTCACAGCTCTGGTCGGGTTCTTAAAAAAATCTTAAGTTTACAGTTGTCCACTTTGCTTTGGTCCATTTGAGACGACAGTGAATAATTCTTGCTACGTATAAAAGCTGCTAAGAGTGCAGAAAAATGCCTGTAATCCTGTAAGGTGAGAAAAAGCGGGTTCCTTCTGGTGGTTCGGATGGAGAGGAGGAGCACTTCATTCAATCACCTCTAATCTGGTTCACAGTGAGCTTCTTCTTAACCGGAGTCTCTGATTGGCACGAAATAGACTTAAAAAAATAACACACACACACACACACACACACACACACACACACACACACACACACACACACACACACACACACACACACACACACACACATATCAGCAGCTTGATGTAAACCATCTGAGGCATACTGGGTGAAACAAACTAAAGAGAACAGTTGATGAGGTGTGTTGCTGGTTATATCTGTCCAGTTGGGGGGGGGGGGGGGGGGGGGGGGGGGATCCTTCCGCTCTGCTCTTCCATCTCTGAGAGGCTCAGGTCTCATCTGGTCTTGTCTGGGTTTCATACATCTGCATAAGCTGTATCCACATGGGAATGGACCTTGGCCGAGCTGGGGACTTTCCACGGGCCGGGGGTGATGGGGGCCTTCTTGCTGGTGTTTGTCCCGTCGCAGCTGGGGTCCTGGATGATGCTGCTGGAACCTCTGGGATCCTTCCGACTCACGTCGCCTGCCTGCTGCTTGTTCTCTCCATAATCTCTGTCTGCTCTCTCCCTCTGGGTCGCTGTACCGGGATTGGCGCCTGACCCCATCCTCTCCCTGTAGGATTTCGGCACTGCAGCCTCTTTCCCAGCCCTCCTTCCCTTCCTGTGGCGGTCGCCAGTCCCCCAGTTTTTGTCTCTATTCTCTTCAACTCCCTTCTCCTGCCAGTGAGCAGCATCCTCCTCCACAGACTTCCACTCTTTTGCTTCCCCTGTGGAAACGCCGGGCTGTTGGCCAGCTGGGCGCCGGGGGCTCTGAGGCTCTTCCAGGTCTCTTGAATGCAGTGTCGGTTCATGGTCCCTTTTGGAGCCCTTCCTTGCACCGGAGGAGTAGGGGTCTCTCTGTCCTTGGGCCTTTCTCCCCTTGTTCATGTCCTCCAGTGATCCACTCTGGCTCCGCTCGATTTTCCGAGGGCTTTGAGACCGCTCCCTGTGATCTGACTGGCCTTCAGTGGCTCTCCTGAGACTTCCAGACTTAGAGTCGTTCTTGGCAGCCTGTCTGGTGTGGGCACTAGGGCTGGTGGTGCGCCTAAGATTGTGGGATTGTGATCTGTTGGCTTGTCTGTGTTCCTGTTCAGCCCCCGGTGATTCAGACTCCCTGTAGTTCAATCCTCCAGAGAGATCTGTAGGGGTGGACAATTTGGGGGAAGATGGGGATCTTTCTGAGGTAAAGAAGGAGGGAGAGGCGGGGGAGGACGGAGATGACTGGGCGTCAGATGCAGAGAGTCTGGGGTAGTTGGTTGGAATGGCTCGTTTGTCTTTTGAACCTAAAAAAAACAAACATTAAAATTTCAGAAAATTATCCAGCTAACCTCTAATCTGCTGCAGGAATTCAAATAAAATGCCAAAGCTAAAGAAAAAAAAAACTCCCTTAAAGGGAATGCTTTGCACATTCAACAAGAATCAGCATTAATTGAAAATGTCATGCAACAGAAGCACCAAGCAGACTGAAAATCCTCTTTGCAATAACCATCTAAATGCTGGAGAGATATGCATCAGCCGGGAGGGTGCCGGGGCTCAACCCGCACTGACGTTTCAATTTTCCTATGAGCTGATAAGGGCTGCACAGCCATGCTTAGGAGCAGAAATGTGCAGCAGGAAACCCCAGAAGGGGGTGAGGGCTGGGTAGGAGAAGTAAAAGACAAGAAGTAGACTTAGTGGTGCAGAAATTAGGTTTCTGGTTTCCTGGAGTCAGAAATTAAATCTCATTTTGCTCTTTGGAATTGAAGGGTTGATGCTGATGAAAGCACAGGGACGGTTGTGCTGACCACCAAGCAGCATGAGGGTGCCGAGGCCTCCAATCAACCCTCTGGAGATCAGACTGAGGACTGCACCATTATGGGCCATTCCCATCTGTACCGGGTCGGCCCGGGCCGGGTAGCGTAGGTTGTTTACATATCTGGGTGGCCTGGTATTTTTCCGGGCCAACCAAGGCTCATTCTCAGCCCTCTTCTCGAGGGGGTCTGCTTCAGGCCGACCAGGGCCAACACACCCACTGCTGACAGCAAATCCACACCTTCCATTAGAGCAAGCCTCTGATTGGTGGGTAGAATCAGCCCACATGGGCTTAAGACAAGGATGTGTGGAATCAACCGGGCCAGGCTGGGGCCGACTGGGGCTACCCGGCCCGGGCCGACACGGTACAGATGGGAATGGCCCATTAGTCACACAAAACTCTATGAGAGGGATAAACTAAGTCAACAAGAGGTCAAAGGAAAAAACAAGGAGGAGTCCAAGATTTACCAAGGTTATTAGGACAGACCGAGAAAAAGCAGTGAGGCCCTTATTGATGCTCTGGTTTCATGTAGAAGCACAGGGTGGAAGAAGAGTTCAGACCTATAGGAGGAGGAGGAGATAAAAAGGTAGAAAACAGACAGCCGTGCCAGAGCAGAAAAACAGAGAAAGCAAAGGTGATAAACAGCAGCAGAGGTCATGAGGAGACACCAACGAAAAGGTCAAAGAGAAGCTTTGCAACCCATGCATGAGAACCAAGAAGCATCCTGCTGCCAAGCATCTTCTGTACTCAAGTGGATGGCGTGTTGAGCTAAACACAGGCGATCCTTCAGCCGTGACTCACTGTGATCCGGAACCAGGCCCTGACCAGGTCGGAGCAGCAGGTGAACCTTAGTGCCTCCTGCTTGGATCAGCTCAATCGCCCGAGTGTGGGTGATGCCCTGCGTGGCCTCGCCGTTGATCTCTACGATCTGATCTCCAACCTGCAATTCAGATTTAGAGTTTAAATTCACCAATCACAAAAAAACAACACATGCGGCAGTATCAGGCATCCATCTCAACTCTCTCACTCTCCCTTCTCACATACTTCTTATTCCACACTGCCCCTAGTGGTAGACACAAGTAACTTCTAAAGCTGGTTTAGCAAGTAACACAAAATAAACACGTCTTCGTTCATCTTATGCATTCCATCCGTCCATTTTCATCCGCTTATGCGGGGTTGGGTTGAGGGGTGGTGGCCTAGACAGAGGCCCAGACATCCCTCTCCCCAGCCACTTGGGCCAGCTCCTCCAGAGGGATCCAAAAGCATTCCCTGGCCAGCCGCGAAACAGTCTCTCCAGGGTGTCCTGGGTCTTCCTTTAGGTCTTCTACCAGTTGGATGTGCCCAGAAAACCTCACCAGGGAGGTGTCCAGAAGGCATCTTAACTAGATGCTTGATGTGGAGGAGCAGCGGGTCTACTCCGAGCCCCTCCTGGATGACCAAGCTTTTCACCCTATCTCTAAAGCCGGGCGTACACAGTGTGACATTTTCACTCGTAGCACTCAGCTTCAGCTCATACTGTACGACTTCCTCGCAGGGCAGATCTCACGAGTCATGTGCTCACACTGCACGACCCAGTTCTCGGATGCGATCTGACTGCTCACGCTACATCTGGTAGCAACACGTCGGCCCTAAAAATGTGCTAAAAATAGCAGTTTTTACTCAACACGTCAGACTTGTTTGTCTTGTTTTGCCTGTTGTCCTTCGGGAGAGCTGCAGGAGGACACACAGGGATTTATGGGGGTTGGATGAGGAAAACGAAATAAAGAAAGTAAATCTGTGTTTTGTGATCAGTTTAATTTGACATGAACACGACAAACACGCTTTCTTGACAATCTTTGTGAGTAAAAAAACGTGTAGAAACAAAAACGAACAGCGTGTGTTATTAGGGAAATAGCGGGCGAGCGGCGTTGATGCAGGATTGCGCATGCGCCGTGAGCGGTTCTGATACTTTTTGGGTCGCAGCGCCGCTTCAACAGTGCGATACCCTCACGAGGGACGAGCAAAATATTAAACACGCCAGAAGTCCGTGCGAGCTCACGATTGCTGATCGGCAGCTGGTCACGTGGTGTTAATCGCCTCTCGTAACCCCCTGTACACTACACGACCGCTCGGCGCTAAACTCGCCCCGATCTCGTGGATTCTCGCACGACTGGAAAATCGGCTCAAAAAAGTGAAAAAGTCGCACAGTGAACACCCGGCTTAAGGGAGAGCCCATCCACTCTGCGGAGAAAACTCCTTTTGGATCGCTTGTATCCGCAATCTCGTTATTTCGGTCACTACCCAAAGCTTATGACCACAGGTGAGGGTAGGAACGTAGATCGATCGGTAAATCGAAAGCTTGGCCTTCTGGCTCAGCTCTCTCTTCACCACAACAGACCGGTACAACGCCCGCATCACTGCAGACGCAGCACAATCTACCTGTCGATCTCGTACTCCATGAACACGACCGAGATGCTTAAACTCCTCCACTCGGGACCTCATCCCTCACCTGGAGAAGACAGTCTTATGTACTAAATTATCTTTATTCAAGTGGTGTCTATGGAGAACCGTGACTTCCTGTTCAGGCATGGGCAAGTACAATCCACCCATTCATCCCCATTTTCTGACGTGTTCTGTTCTATCGTTACCAGTTTTACGACAGCATTTTGGTTTATAGGGGTTTGCATAGATTTCTGATTGAGCTATAATTAAAAGAGCAGATAAATGAACCCACGTGTATCCTCCCATCTTTGAGCGCAGGCCCCTCCTCAGCGAGCCGCAGGATGTACAGGCCCATGTTGTACTCTTTTCCTCCTCTCAGGCTGAAGCCGAAACCCCGCTGGCTGCGCTCGAGCTCCACACGAGGCAGCCCTGTTAGTCCAGAGAGAAACAAAATACGTCTTTACGACTGGGGCACTTCATAAAAAGTCCACCGCAAACTCAAGACAATGCAGCAAAAATCAGTTTCACCCTTAACGTGACTTAAAACACATCACGGTTTGCTGACATCATTAAAATACAGCTAAAGCCTTAAACACCAGACGGTGTCTTTGGTTTTACCTGCTTGGGGCCTGATGCGATGAGTGCTCCCCGTTCATTTGGCTGGACCGAGTTCTTCAGATCAGAGTCACCATTCCTGCCACAGATTTAAAAAAAAAGGAGTCAACCACACTGGGTTGTTCTTAAAGCATAAAACCGTACCACTAAAAACTCTGATCCACGCCTTGATT